CCGTATTTTTCCTCATTTTCCCTTTCTTTTTTCTGTTTTATTTTGTTTTATTTTATTTTTTTAACCCATTTTATTTCTTGATTTCCATTTTCAGATTTATTTCCTTGCCTTTTTTAATCCATTAATTTCCTGGAAGTTAAATCATCCAACAGTAGATCCCATCTGTACCAACCAGCCCGGGCTTTCTATATCAGTCCACCCTCCGCCGCTTCTTCACCTCTTCTGCAGCTTCGGATTTCCCTTTCTCTCCGCATCCTTCCTACAGTTACATCACATTCGCCCTGGATACCTCTTGATTCCTATATATCTTCCTCCCCTCTCCCTCCTCCCCTCCAACGGCCTTTCCTTCCCTTTCACAGAATGGCCCGAGGACCCTCCGAACAATCATCAACAGCCACGACATTGTCTTCCAACCCTCTCGTCTCTGTTCTGAACAGCCCGATTGCTTCTAGCTCCCCGTCGCCAGAACCATCTCCTACCCGGTCGTCAACCCCCACCATGGTTGGCCGCAAGAACACTATGTGCCGCAGCCCGCAGGCCGACGTATCCACCTCTGTCACCTATACTCCCACAACCCACCGCATCAGCAAGGCAAAGAAGGGAAAGCGCGTCCATGCATGTGAATATCCCGGATGCACCAAGGTATGTACGCTCTCGATTCCCCATGCGCCGGCGCAATATGCTGACCCCAATCGCAACTAGGTCTTTACCCGCGCCGAACACCGTAGACGCCATGAACTGAACCACAACCCCGAAGCCTCCTACCCTTGTACATATACCAGCTGCAAAAAGGCTTTCCACAGGCCAGATTTGCTGGCGCGCCATATGGAGCGACAGTGAGTAGCCCAGAAGCTCCATGTATGGATTATTGCAGAACGCTAACCGAGTGACAGTGAATTCGACTCGCAAACAGAGCAGGCTCAATGGACAGCACAAACCCAAGCAGCCTCTGTGGGCGAGCCTGTCCCGCGCTGCATGTCTATGGATTCTGGATCTTTGATTGCGGGCAGCCCCCAGCAATCTCACTCCATGTCTATCGGCTCGATTGTGGCACCAGGAGTCCACCCTGACCTTGCCAGTGACTGCGGTATGGTCTGGAGCAACATGGAGTTGCCTTTGCAGCAACGTCCTTCTGTCAACCTGTTTCAAAACCATATCCCAGAAACTTCCGACGACAGCCCTTTCTACTCATCTCCGGCAGAGACCTGCCCCTCGCCTCTATCTGACGCGACATTCTCTCTCCCCACAACCTCCAGCTCCTCCATTTCCTCCATTTCGATGATCGACCAGTATCCCAAGGGTCTTCTCAAGGAGTTGACTTCGTCTCCACTTCAGATGGCCTCCCCACTGCGATGGGACGGTCCGGAGACCGGAATGCCTCCGTCGCATTTGGTTCCCATTTCTCTCGAGGAGAACCTCATCCAACCGGTACGTGGGAACTCCTTTTGTAAAAATTTCCAGAGTGATCATTCATTTACTAAATAATCCGTTTCCAGCCTGTTCAGTGCCACTACCCCTCTCCTTCCTGGTCTAGCGCGGACTGCCTCTCCTACGACGACCCCCAGTCACTGGCTCATTATCAGCCAATGAGCTGGAAGCAGTGGGCGATGTGAAGCCCAGCTTTCGGTCTCTGATTGAGCGCGACCCGTGTCTCATGCACTGCGCGACTCCATCTCACGACTTATGACGATTCTGACCACTCCCCTCCCGGCCGCCTCGAGCAGCCAAGCGCGACCCACGCACCCCACCGGGCGTAGGCGTGACCGGCAAACTTGCCCATGACCATGACCATGAGCTCCCTTTCCCGCGCTCCCCTCGTGGGCGGATTAACAACTGGCCAAACTATGGCTCGGTTGAGGGCGAACAAAGAGATTCGCCAAAACGCCCAACCCGCGCTCCCCCGCTGCATCCGAAGCCGGATCCCCCGGTCTGCGGCTTCGACCGACAGGCGTCAAAGCATCATTCGCAGGTCGGGGATGACCGGTGCGCGACCGAGGAGCCTCCGGTGGAGAACCTCCGGTTCAGGCAGGAGTTCTCCACATTGAGGCCTAAGCCAAAGCCAAAGAAGAAGAAAAAAAACACAAAAACACAAAAAAGAATAATTTCCTTTGTGCCTCTCTTTTCCTTTGTATCTCCTATTTGTGATGCATTGAACTAGACTAAGAATTTGTTGGGAATAGATCCTTTAGCGGGTGTTCTTTGGTGTTGATTCAATGATTATGAAATCCACGCACTTTGATTTTCTGGTTGCTCTATACCCTGGGTTAAGATACGATTACCCTTATGTACCATGTTACTGCGATCTTTTTAATTTATACCAATATCCATTCTAATGTGGTTGCCTTGTCCCTGTGTAGTACCGCAACCTTAGGAAGCATACCCCAAGCACCATGATATCCATAAGCATAAGCCCTATCAAATAGACAACCATGGATCGTTTACTCCGTAGAACTTGAACGAGCCGTGGTTCTGCGATCTTCGCCTTATTCCAAATTCCCGATCCTCTATTTTCCTACTTGAGCTCTAGTTGATTTCAAAGGACTTCAAAGGGCTTGGCAGGTTAAACCACGCCCTAAGCTAAAATCTCCAGAGCAATCAAACTTTGCCATCAAACTGATCGTCGTCGTCTAGACCACCGGGGCAAATGAGCCAGAGGGGAGACCAAAAAAAAACCGCAATTCCAACTCGGCTATTTCGTTCTCCATACTACATTCAATCCGCCAAAAAATCAAATCAAAGGCAGAGCTCCCCCTCAACTTCCGACGATCCGGAGTTCGCATTCGCGTCCAAGTGCTAAAGCTCTCTGCACATCTCGTTCATCTGGTCGCGATCGGTCGATCTCCGCCCTGCTGAACGGGTCTCGCCCCGACTCTTCCGACCGCCAAATAGATTAATTGAAATTGCCTCTCCGTGGCCCTGGTACCCTAATCCTCCCAGACCACCTTAGTACTTGCTCGACCTGCTTTCTCATACGCGAACTCAAACCCCGATTCATCCGCCCTATCTCCTGTCTCCTGCCTGGCGCGGACTCCACCTCGCGGCCCATGGCCCACGCCCACAATCGCGCGATGCCCCTTTCAAGCTATAGGCGAGCTGCGATGCGACACGGACACGGAGAACCCGACCAATGCACCCGGGTGCCATAATTCGATTCCAGCCCACAACGCACTGTCCAGGCGCCCGTCGATCTGGAGCCGGCATGTGTCCGCCGCGGAAATGATTGACAGATGTTGGAGGGCACGGAGTAGGGAGAAACTAAACCCTCTTCTCTCCCTGCTTCCAAATCCAGTTCCCGTGGGCCCCCGCTAGTCTTCTTTTCTCCAACTGACGTGGAAACGGTTGACTCGTGCGGTTGCACTGGAGCGTCGCGTAAGGTAAGCGTATGCACATACATCGTGCGGGCTCGTTTATCATTTCTTAGCTGAGTCTAATTAGTTCTCTCTCGCGCGCCTCCCTCCTAGCTTCGTTCATCTTGCATCGGGGTGTGCGCTCCTTTGGGGATTTTTAAACGTGGAACTATTCCGCTTTTATTTTTTTCGAGGGGGTGTCTCATAGGCTGCTCGTTAATGTTGCTGAGCTGGGCTTACATGCCGCAGGCAGCAAGAACAGGCAGATAGGCGGGCAGGGACCGTAGCAGACAGGGGTGTGTGGCAGATCTCGCCAAAGGATCGGTTATTCGCGTCTGTGATACGATGGCACTTGCTGGGATGTAGGCGAGTGGAGGCGGGTTCGGGGCGTGTCGATCAGGGGGGGGAGGAAGGAGGTATCTCCGTTGTCACGAGGCTCTTGGGCGAGGTCCGTGTGGATGAGATGAAAGGAGAGGTAAGTCTGGATAATTCCGAAGTTGTTGCGACGGCTGCCGAGCAGGATTTTAGCCTTCATTCCCAGGTTTTTCTTTTGTAAGCGTGGTTGGTGGAGAGGGTGAAGTGGAGATTTCGAGAAGTGAGAACTTGCCCGCCTTAGGTAGGTAGGTGTATGGAGTTGTTATGGAGTAAACTCCGTAGACGTACAGATGGACCGCACTTCCGCGCTGCTAGGTGGGGCTTTGCTTGTATCTAAGCTGTCGCCACTCTTATGAGGATAGAGTCTAGAAGAGTAATTCTCAGTCTGGGCTTAGTGAATTATGTTTTGATGGCCTAATTAGCTTCCATTCATTGGGCTGTTCTATACTCCCTCCAAGCCCTAACTCTAACCTAGCGGAATACCCCAGTACGTACTGCTTTGCTCGGCGTTAATAGGACCCAAGGAATGAATTGAAGCTATAACTATCTCCTTCAGCCACCGGTTTACGTTCCCAAGTCTTTTTATCCCTTGAGCTTTCATTTTCTCGTTTCCTTTCTCAGTTGGCACTGCGTTAAATCTCTTGTTCGACCTAGAGTAAACGCCCACAAGATAGAGCCGGACTATGGAACTCTATATTACTAGTATACACTTGTTGGGGAGTTTTTTCATCACAGCGGTACTAGTAGTTTTACACAAAAACAAGGCAGTGGAATAGACGGATAGGAAGAGCAAAGAGTGCTTTATAAATTCAATAAGCACCACGGCTTAGAGTTATGATACAGAATCAAATGTAGATTCTAAGAATGAGTACTCATCCATTCTTCATTCTTATTTTGCCAGAAAATAATTGAAAATCACTAAAACACAGTAGATCGACATGACATTGGTCGCTGATAATATCCCGGAGCTCAATTAAGAATGTTACGGATCTAGGCCGCAATTGTACAAACAATGGTTCTAAGCGTGGTAGGGCTGGGCTAGAGTTTTGATATCGACGGAAAGTAGATTTCCCATTTCGTCTTGGTTCAGCGATTAACGTTGCCCTTGAGGGAAAAGTTCCAAAAAAGTAGACTGACTTCATACGAGCTGTTCAGGGGAGGATATCCTGCTTTCAGGACGAATGAAATTTTGGTCTGGTTCTAAAAGGCCTAAGAGACATCAATGACTGCCCTTCATCACTCCATAATTTTCATCCTATATTGAGTGTCCGCATCGCATTAATGGTCGACTGGCGTAAATTTCAACATAAGCTTCCTTGAGCGTGGCAGCGCAATAAATTCGTATACCTGATCGATCCCTTCATCGTCGATAGTAGTTGTCGTAAAATTTGAATATACAGCCGCCATAACCAATTTGATTTCTGCATCATTAGTCTCAGCCTCGTAGATCCGTAGTTGAGAAACGCACCTTGCATTGCGAAATTACTTCCTAGGCACATACGCCCACCGCTTCCGAAAGCAAAGAAAAGCCGCCTCATATCATGGATATTTTCGCCTGCATGGAGCCATCGCTCTGGTAACCATTCCTCAGGTTGCGGGTAGACCTCGTCGATTCGGTGGAGGGAGAAGGCGCTTGAACTAACTCTTACGCCGCTCGGGATATTATCGTACCCATGTATAGAAGTGCCCTTCTCTATGGTTGGAGTGACGCGGGGGAGTTGCGCTGGTGCAGGGGCATGCAGACGGAGGGTCTCGCGAACCATAGCGTCAAGCAGGGGGAGGGCGTCGATGGCGGAAGGAGAAGGAAGGACATTCTCTCCGTCTTTGTTCAAGTCTGAGTACCGTAGGGACGGAGATATGGTCATCAATTCCTTTCGCAATTTTGTTTGAAGCTCTGGCTGCTTTGATAGCTCCCACATCATGTATGTGAATGTGATACCGGTCGTTTCGTGGCCTGCAACTAAATGGTCCAGCAATTCGGACGCAACTGCTAGATTCAGCGGACGTGGATCGTGTTCCTTTTGAAAAATGAGGCTCTGCTGCAACTGGTCATAGATGACTGGATTTGTGGATGGCAGCAGCTTCTCTTCATCGCTGAGGGCCTCCTCATTCTCATTTTTAGACGCCTCCGTCCTCTCGCAGAGTCCCATGCACCACTGCTCAATAAACCCCATATACCGGTCATCCCGACTGAGAAACTTGAATTTCTCATACTCCTCCAACCAAACCATCCACTCGGTAATATTGAACAGATACCTCGTCCCTTGCCTCGATCCAAACAGGAATGAGGAGATGAAGTCCATCCCAAGGGCTTGGAACATCGGTAGGACATTCAGCACTTCTCTATCATCCCCCGCTTTCTTAAGAATAGGCATCAACCGATCCCTTAGAAGAAACTTTGATATCGTTTGAAGATCACTAGATTCCTGGAGGAACGACTTGGAGAAGGTCTTGCTCAGCATGCGCTTCTGGTGCGCATGCGGCGAATTATGCACCATTCCGACCATATTTGCAACGTGAAAGTTGACAAAGGCATCGTTATAGAAATCGTGCTTTTCAAAAGCACCCGTGTATATGATTTTCAGACCGTGAATGGAATTGACACTCAGTTCCTCTGGGCCGAGCCGGACGATGGGGCCGTACTTTTGATGCAGAGCATAAATGGCGAGGACTTCTTTGCATGTTCTGCGCTTATGGTCAATCCAGCGACTGGATAAGGGGGATGTGAAGTGAGCATTTGGGATTGAAGACAGCGGGGAGAGAAAATAAGGGTATATAACATGGTGATAGATGAGGTAGGAGGCGAGGAGGAACAGGGCGAGGATGAAGGGGATCATGGTATTGCGTGGGGAGGGGTGAAGAGGAGGAAAATCAAGATGCCAATCAGACGGCAGTCATTTCAATTGATGCTCAGTCACAATCGATGTCATGTTTTTCCCATGCAAGGAGTCGCCTCGAGTACCCACCAAAGCAAAGCAATTCCTGGCGTGGCAATAAAACCGCGCCGGTGGGGCCGCAATCAACACAAGGCCCTAACCGTCTAGCTCAAACTAAACAGCGGGATATGCTGCAACCATGCTCTAGTCCAACTACAAATTTTAGTCCAACTACAAATTTCCACTGACCTCAGCTGTCTGAAACGCAAGTTCTGTGCCGCGCGAATTGCTTCACTGCCGGCCAGACGCGTGGAGTGGATTCTAGTATGAGGGGCGTAGGATTCTGCAAAACTTAATGCCACCCTTCTTTTATAGTCACCCGAAGCGACCTTCCGTCAACCCCCTGCTTTTTCTCTGATAATCCTTCATTATCTTCGCCATCTCTGCTCCATTATGCCCTGGATCAAAAACCCTTCAACGGTCGCCATGACTATGGCCGAGGAAGCCCCGTCCAATGGCCATGTCGCCCCTAAATGGCGCGGTACCCAGGCCGACCAAGCCGATATGAGTGCCCTGGGGAGAGATCAGGTTCTGCGGGTATGTTCAAGATTCTATCATTGCGGCCAATACACATGAACTGACCCTGCAGCGTAACTTCCGATTCATCTCCATTGTTGGATTTGGCTGCACATTGATCGCTACGTGGGAGGTTGTTTTGACGTATGCCATCCGTTCCTATAATTGAATTCGAAGACTGAGCATCGTGTAGTCTACTGCAACAAGGCTTGACAGACGGAGGTACTGCCGGGCTGATTTGGGGGTTCCTCATTGTCGCTGCTGGGTTTCTTCTTGTATTCTTGAGTTTGGCCGAAATGGCATCCATGTGAGTCTGCCTGGCCATTGAGGCTTTGTATCCCTTCTAATTCTACAGGGCCCCTACTTCTGGTGGACAATACCATTGGGTATCGGAGTTTGCCCCTCCTAGCTGTCAAAAATTCCTCAGCTACATAACTGGTATGCTCTCATGGTTTTCTAACTCTATTCGCCGAATCAAATTGACAATTTAGGTTGGCTGTGCGCCATGGGCTGGCAATGTGCCATTGTGTCGATCGCCTATTTGGCTGGAACGATTATTCAAGGTTTGATAGTGTTGAACAATCCAGAATATGGCATGGAAGCGTGGCATGGTACCTTGCTGGTGATCGCCATCACGCTGTTTTCGATTATTTTCAACACCTTTTTGGCCAAGCGACTGCCCTTCGTGGAAGTGCTGATTCTGATTCTCCATGTGTGCGGTCTGTTTGCTATCGTGATTCCCCTTTGGGTACTTGGTCCTCGACGCAGCGCGAAGCAGGTGTTTACTGATTTTAACAATGGAGGGTCCTGGAACAGCGCGGGGACTGCCACGCTTGTCGGATTCTCAACTACCATCACTGCGCTGATTGGATACGATTGCGCAGTGCATATGTGTGCGTATCTTCCCCATGATTTTCACGACTTCTGCTGATAATGTGACGATGTAGCGGAGGAGATCAAAGATGCGTCTGAGACCCTACCAAAGGCGATGATAACCTCAGTCTGCACCAATGCCGCCTGTGGATTCCTGGTATTGGTGACGGTCTGCTTTACCCTGGGCGACGTTGACGACATCCTGGCCACTCCAACACGGTACCCGTTTATGCAGGTGTTCTATAACGCGACAGAGAGTCTTCCGGGCACGAACACCATGACTGCCATTTTGGTACTCACCTTGACGGCGAGCACGATCACAGAAGTAGCAACGGCATCGCGCCAGTTGTGGTCTTTCGCGCGTGATCGCGGCCTTCCTTTCTCTGACTTCTTTGGATATGTACGTCTTTTCAATCTATCCTTTTCAGAGTTGAACTCACTGACAGAATAAGGTTAACCCCGGTTGGAATATCCCCTTGAACGCTGTGATGGTCTCATTGGTAGTGACGATCCTTTTGTCGCTCATTAATATCGGCTCTTCAGCCGCGCTGCTCGCCATCGTGACTCTTACTATCAGTGCAATGATGTCGTCGTATATTATCACGATTGGTTGCGTACTTCTCAAACGTATCAGAGGGGAGCCCCTTCCACCGCACAGATGGACGCTCGGTCGGTTCGGCATGGCCATCAACATCGGGTCGCTGTGCTTTCTCTGTCCAGTTTTCGTTTTCGCCTTTTTCCCCCTTACCTCGACTGTTGAACCTGAAAGCATGAATTGGTGTGCAGTCATGTATGGGGGGGATTTTGATCATTGCAGTAGTGTATTATGTGCTACAGGGACGACACCATTACATCCCGCCTGTCGCGCTGGTGAAGCGCGAGATTTAGTTGATACTAGTACTTACGTGTATGATTGTAGCGTTGGGGGAAGCAAAGAAACACTGATTTCTCCTATTGAAAATGGATCATATTTGGCCGTTTATAATTCAGAGGGCATCGAAGGCCCAGTGGCGCGTGGATTTATCAAGTGGAGAAAACCAGCCAGGCTTTTAGTGTTGAGTACTAGATTGGATATTAATGAGCTGTGCTAAATGGAAGGAATGGCTTGGCAGAGTGTTGTATGTACCATCTTGGGCCATAAGTCTGAAGACACCGCCCAATCGGGTAATTCTGCCATATGACCACTCTACATTCAAATATATATATTGCATACAATATGCAATATTATTGCACCAAAATTAGTTACGATATAGATTAATCAATTACAAAATATATGATAAAATCTCAATTGCTAAAACCGAGTATAGTAGCCACGTGCCTTACGAGTCTCGCTTACACGCTGAGGCATCGATCTAATTATACTATCAATTTTATTTTGATCTAGCACATCCCAGGCCTCCGATATACACTCCCTAAATAGCTTCCAATCTGCCTCAGATGTACCACAATGTAGTAGATTAGGATACAGCTCATATAATTTACGTTTGAGCATACGCCACACGAGTTCAATAGGGTTAAGATCTGGTGAGCGTGGCGGCCATTCCATAACATGTATACCATAACGTTCAAACCATCGCTGAGCAACGTAGGAGCGGTGGATTTTAGCGTTATCTTGCTGAAATATAGTTCCAGGTTCATAGTGCTCAATAAATCCTTCTTCAAGTGCTTTTAGGTAGGATTTTGTTGTATAACCACCTCCGTGACCTCGCTGTCCTTCTGAAAAGTCACGCTCCATAATAACAAGTTTTGTACGCCCTCCAAGCCATATTCCAGCCCAAACCATTTGACAAATATCCTTCACATGAACCTTAACTTGTACCATTCCCTGCCGGTAAGCTTCTCCTCTAAGCCGGGTAATATATTGGCCGTTTAAATTAGGGATACGTTGAACGCTGCATTCGTCGGAAAATATGAAGCTTTGTAGTTGGGAATTGTAGCGTTCGGTCCTCCAATTTCGGCAAAATTGGACTCGTTTGCGGGCGTTCTCCCTCGAAATTGGGATACAACGTCTTGCTCGATAGCGCTGGAGGAATTTTGAACGTAGGAATCGCTTGATTGTTGATCGAGATGGATGACTGGGTATACGGGCGCTCAGCTCACTAAGGCTTAGCCAAGGCTCACGGCGTGCAAGTAAACAGGTATATTTGATAGTTGAATACCTATAGACTTTAGGGGCACCTGAACGAGGCAGTGATTTGAGCGTTTGGTGCTCTCGGAATCGTTTGATTGTAGAGTATATTGTTGAGCGTGCGACGTTGAACTCAGCAGCCATTTTAGTAGGCGATACACCACATTCATGAGCGTATATAATAGCTGCGCGGGCCTCAGATGAAAGCTCACCCCCTGGTCTTCGATTGCCACTTATTTCAGTGCCAAACCGACGCATATTGGTGGTGTAGGGGGTAGTTGAAGAAGATGGGTGGGGGGTGACGCGAAAATCGCGCTAAAAAAATAGCGCGGTGTCTTCAGACTTTTGGACCGCCTTTGTATAATGGGACTGAAACAAGGTAGTAAACATGACCTAGACATCGCTTCGCACCGAGTCTTCCCGACTTGGCATCTAGGAGTTACATCGAATAAAAGGAAGGGTCAATTGAACAGTTTGAAATACTCAAAATTTCTCGACCATGTTTTTGACTGAACTATCTTTTCCTCCCTTTTATTCCATATGGTGGCGAATGAACTTCAAACGGAAGTGGGCCCCATGCGGCCCCATTTCCCTCCCGCTGCGGTTGGCGTAGGGAAAGGCTGGCGCCCCCTATGTAGTATACAGCCCGACTCCATATTTCGCCAACTCTATCTCTTAGCTAGCGCGCTCCCAAATTGCGAACTCCACCCTGTCGTGTACCAACGTACGTGAAGTTCATTCCTTTCGTCTTTCTTTTTCCTGATTGGATATTTGCCATAAAGGACGGAGCCTTGTCGTTTTCGATCTGTCCGCTGTCAATTTCTATGTATCATGCGTTGGCCGCCATGCTGAGTAGGGATATTGGCTTAGGGATATTGGCTTGGAGCAGGTACCAGGTATCTGAGATTTTCGAGCTTCGGTCACGACGCCTTGTGTGCATGAGCCGGTCCGTGGCTAGTTCCCAACAGAAGGATTGCCCTAGCTGATTTCACAGCCCAAAAAACTTAATATATCACATTGCGTTGGATCCATGTTAGACTCCTTTGTTTGGATTCTCCGAGCTGCCTAGCCGCTACTATCCATGGAAGCGCCATCGTCATGATGGCCGATTATTCCGAGCCCTCTCCGAGTCTTCTATCTTTGTTCCAACCATTTTCTCCCTGGTACTTCAAGTTCTGCATCACACCTGGGCAAACCACAATTTGGGAGCCGTACCGCAATGGCCATCAAAGTGCCTCCGGGCCAGTCGCCGCCTTTCGAGACAATAGACGACAAGCATCATGCTGGAATTATAATCATTACTGCCGCTATCTGCTTGCTGATATCACTGGTGAGCCTGTTGATCCGAGTGTATGTGCGAAAGTTTCTTAGTCCGCCATGGGGATCAGACGATATCATCTTGCTCGGGGCGACGGTACGTAATTGAAATCCATGGATAGATCGAATTACTTTAAAACGAGCCTAACATGATATCATAATAGATCACTGCTGTCGCTGAATCGATCATTATCTTCCACTCCTCGAGTATCGGATTCGGGACAGATATTTCGCTGGTGGCCGAAAAGTCCGTCAATCATATACAAAATGTACTTATTCATTACCTAATGATTCATCAAATCCGATATAAGGAAGATACTGACGGGCATAGTCCCTCGTTGCTGCCGACATACTCTATTTATTAACTATTTATCTCTCAAAATGCTGCGTAATCGCCATCTACCTGCGGTTGACCCCGCGACAGCGCCACAAGAGTTTTCTGTGGGCGACATTCGGACTGAGCATAGTTGGGGCTATCATTTCCGTGCTGGTTATCTCGGTCGACTGCGAGGGAAATAAGCCATGGGCTATACCTGGCGTACAATGTCAGGATCTAGTATGTATACAATTCTTAAAGCTGCAGAAGTGCCATCCACTTTTGAGCAAAAGTCGTGAACCAAACGAGCGAAAGCCCTAGGGGTAGACTGACAATTACAAATTCGTCCGCTGGCAAGCGATTGCCGCGCTCGACATCTCGATCGAAATTTTACTATTTACCTTCTGCATTGCTCTGATCTGGGGTTTGCAGATGCATTTTTCACATAAAATCGTGATTGTAGCATCTTTTGCCGCTAGACTACCGTGTGTCACCCTTCTGATTCATAAGTACCATGATATACGACAACTAACACAGATCTTACTGCTACTAGGTTAATGATATTCTCCTCTCTGCGTCTCTCCGCTCTCAGGGAATACACAACTACCGAAAACCCTACTCTCACCGCAATCAGCCACACGGTCTTCACCCAGCTACAGCTCAACTATTCGCTTATAGCATGCACAGCCTTTTGCCTGCGCCCCTTCATGAGCGCTCTCACAACCAATTATGGCACAGCTGGCGACTCCAACCTCGGCAGTAGTAGCGGCGGCTACGGTTACAGGTATGGATCCGGGAGACAGGGGAATATGGACCCCTACGCTTCAGGGCGATCGCGGGACTACGAGATGGGGAGAGTAATGGGGCGAGCCGGTCGCCGAGAAAGTGGAGTATTCAGAGACAGGCCAGATGTGACCGATGGAAGGGGGAATAAGACAGTTGTCAGTGAGGCTGCGAGGCCAGAGCACTCGAGGGAGGGAGGCAGTATGCACAGCGGGAGTGATGGACGTACAAGGATGATTATTCGGAAGGATGTAGAGTATTCCGTTTCAGTGGAAACTTGAAAGTCTTATAAACAATTCCCTTCGCACAGCAACCATCGATTGAGCCACATGCAGTAGTCAAGTCAAGTCAAGGAGAGAGAGAGAGAGAAAGCAGTGTTTAGAAGTAGAGGGAGGGTGGTTGTGAATTAAAGTGGGGCCCGCTGACAGGAATTACCCTTTTGGGACTGAACTGCTGCACTGCCCTCGGCCCCCAAAACGCCTCTCCCTTATATTTTAAACAAACCGCGCTTTGACTGACAAGCTTTTGTTTTGCGCCAGTCATTTCTTCCTGTTATCGCAGCCACGACGTATAATCGATTTATCCAGAATGAGCGCACTCGTAGTTACTGAAAGGAGGCCACCAAAGAGTGCAGTCGACGAACACGAAATAAAGCTCCGCAGGAAATTTCAGAACAAGCTTAACCAGAGAGCTCATAGTAAGCACGTCAGAATTGACTCATAATACTGCGCAGTGCTTTGATAGCTAACTAGTACTATCCCACAGGAGAACGACTCGCCGCGCAGAAAAAAGAGAAAGTCAAGCAGGTCCCTTATCAGATTGGCCGTTGGCGCCTCGTACACCCTGAAGATAATCCTGAACAAAAGCCACCTATTCCATACCAAAAAAGAAATTTCGCCAATCATCGCCTGTCGACTCACACTATAAAACACCGTCAAAAGTCAGACTGGACCGGCATAGCATCTACACCTGCTTACCAACCTCAGATGACCCCTTCTCCACAAGCAGACTTTCTGCTCAGCCTCGTCCAGTTTAATGTATACCGAGGCCTTTACGACAATAAGCTAACTTTATCCCGATCGGTCGACTCTCTATTGCCGGGGCATGACCCGGTGTCCTTTGACACGGCTTTCCCGGGCGTTTTCCAAATCATTTCGAGAGCGGAGACACCGAGCTCGCTTGCCTTGACAGAACTACAGGCAGGCATAATCCACGCCCCTTGGATCGACCTTATTCCATTCCGACAAATGCGAGATGTCTTAATTCAACAGCAAAGTCATTACGATCATATCGCGCTTCTACTTGATATACTTGGAAATGTACCTGACCTTGAACCTCTTTCTTCAAGCGACGTGTTCCCGGCCCTTCAAAATGATCCAAAACGCTATACTACTCTCAGTCTCGAAAATATTGAGGAGGACGAAGATGAGATGACTTCATCTCGAGCAGGATTTATTATTTGGGGAGATCCATCCGACGAGAATAATTGGGAGATCACACCAGGATTCTTGAGAAAGTGGTCCTGGATAATGAAGGGATCGGAATATTTGATACGATCGAGTAATAAATGGAGGGCTTTCAGGGGCGAAGAACCGATGAAGCAGGTGAAATTCCAATTCGAAAATCATGAGATATAGTCTCATTAAAGCGAAAACAAACAAACGGCATATCCAATGCGGCATACATGGTAGCTGGGGAGACCAGACTAGGCCCTAGTCGGGGTGGCTTTTACTGGATGTTACCATGTGTGATAGTCGTACAGCCATCCGCAAGACATAGTTGCTGAATTGAATTTTATTCCAGTAAGCTTCTCGAAATTGTAAACTCTAAGATTTTCGGGAGGACAAGCAAGGTAGGGTACACTGTCTCGTGTACTGTAAAGCTCGGGCCTTCTGGTAGATCGGGGATCCCGACCCCGCACAACGCAAACGGAGATCACTCGGTTTAACCGGCTCACTCTGAATCATCGTTTAGTTGTAAATGAAATGACACATATCATACGTGTTGAAAGTAGAGGATCTCGGAATTTGACCATGACTATTCGAGGCACTGCTGCCCATGAAGCTTTGATGCAACAGGCCACCCTCAGCTGACCCCGGGATCTGTATTTCCTTCAGCCATGCTGGTTGCCTTGCTTGTATTTATTTAGTAAAAAGTATCATTTTCGAATAATTTTGATAGCACTGTGAATCATTGTCTCAAAAAAAAATAAGCCTTCGTAGATTCTTTGACCTAGCTGGGAAAGCAGTTCGATTTCCATGCCGTATCTCGATACTACTCCCTGTGGAATGATGTCATATTGCATAGCTTGGACGAATAGCAAACTGAGATGTAAATAGATCGCTGACCGACTCAAATCGCGGGGCAGAACGTGAATGTTCAGTGCTGTGTTAAAGCACTACTAGTAACAACTACGATATAGCATAAAATACTACCGAGAGTTGCAAGAAGTCGATATTCTCGAAGCTTGCTTGTTTGTTGAGCCAAGAAATAAAATGCCAGTAGAAATCATTCACGGAGAGACACATTTCTACAAGCTACAGATCCACACATGGCACATGTACACAGCCTTATGAGACGACACGCGTAGAAGCGGGCGAGGTAGGTGAGACATGCTTTTCGCCCCCCCAGTGTGTACACTTTTTCGTCAGATTATGGGAAGAACTAGCTTTGTCGAACCTGACCAGGTCTTCCAAGAATAGAGCGGATTGACACTCATACCTTCTGACAAAAACGATGTTCAACGTTGCCAAGCCACAGGAATGTGGTATTTAAAAAAGGGCAGATCCGCAAACTTCTATCGGATCATCAACAAGATTCATCAACATCACCAGCCTTCTTCAAGAACCAGTCTCGATTTCTACCACATAGAATCCAAAGCCACAATGCAGTTCACCACTATTCTCGTTACCGCCATTGCCCTTGCTATGGGCGCATCCGCTATGCCAGCTCCTCCCGCCGACACTCGATATGCCCAGCTCCGTCTCTTCGGAGAGCCTGGCTGTTCGGCACAGAACGAAGGCGAGCTCGGTGTCTATGGCGACTATGTCAACAAGTGCAATGTGTTCCCCGGCGACACCCCTTACAGATCTGTGAGCTTTGAATACGCGATCAACAACTGCAGCCGTAAGTAGTCCATCAACCTGATGTACAATGGTTTAAGAACTGACCGGTATGATCAGTGCGTGTTTATAGCGACGTCACTTGCCACTTGGACGCACATGACGTTCCTGTTAAGAGTTGTCTATCTGGCGACAAGGTCTATCGAAGCTACAAGGTTCACTGCGATCACCTCTAGAGCATCCATCCTTTCTTGGAACTTGAGATGATTTGATTGATTCAAGTTCGGACATAGCATGACGATACAAGCGTGGACATAATATTGGCATTTTAATTGGGGTGTGATTGAATAATAGACAAGGACTTCCTAGTATAGTATAGTATTGAATGGATTAATATTTATTACTGAAAATCTGCAGCAACTTGAAGCAAGTCGAAGTGCTGGGTGGGTCGAGATCGTCGTGAATCCCTTCAAAATACCCCTCAAAAAGAGAAAATCGACAAAAGTCCTGTGCATTAATAGCACTAGCAGTACTAGTACTAAGAACATCCGCTAATAGCCGGGCCTTATACCTAGGTACCTAGGTGGTATAGCTAGAGCTATACTCAAATGTGATCTAGACTGTTTCTGCACTTCTTCCCCTCTTTGACCCCCGCGTCCACCCCGCGTCACACGAATTCGATTATATTGCGCCAATTATTCTCCTGCACTGCGCCTTCACCGAACGGAGCATCAAAATCCCTCACACGAGCATCATCCCACTCGGATCCCGGCTACCGCGCCAGAGACCCAGCAGAACCACACTTTCACCAACCCCGCCCCACGCTATAAAAGGCCCCAGGGGATCTCCCATCTTATCTGATGAGCTGATCCTTCGAGGCCTCCGATGGCAACAGTAACAGTGGCAGCAGCATGGTGGTATTTGTCGACCTCGATCAAGATGCCTTCCGGCATCCTGGTTCATTACTTGCCCCGGAGAAACTGAGAGTCGCCCCCGTCGCGGCCAGCGAAGCCGACGAACTGCTCCCTTCCTCCACCTCTACTTCCTCCCTCAGAGCTCAAATCACGCTTCAAGACGCGCCCACTACGACAGTTCATCCTAAACAGACTCCGACATCAAAAACCCCCAACTGCAATGCCTTTTCCGCGGCGTTAAGTTGCTACCCGTATGTGGATCGGACCTCCCCCCCCAATCTTCACCGCGTCCACTTTTCCCCACACGCGAGCCAAGGACTAACACGACTTCGCTGGCGCCTCCACCAGAATTGTCAAGGAAATTGCCCGCGCCGTCGATTTGAATACCCTACACGCCCTCTCGCGAACATGTCGCCAGTTTCTCGTGAATCTAGAGCCATTCCGGCACCAACTCATCCGCGAGACGCTGCGGTGCGAAAATGAGTATATCGAGACCGTCTCGGATATGCTGGACGGCGGGGCCGTCCTCCCAAACAGCGTCAAGTCAGTGCTCAGGCTGTTAAGCCAGGGAAATGGCGAAGCCGGACGCATGACGCGTGGAAAAGCGGCAGATGTGCGCGCGACATGGTCGGTGACTGTCGACGCTGCACCAAGATCGTATGCAGGGTATGTTTGAAGCCACCCGCTGCAGGGATGTGCCCACGCTGATCATATCTTAGAACTGCACGATCAAACCTCCTTCCCAAACAGCCTTAAAGGGCCGAATCCGCCGGCTCTGTCGGACCTGTGGCACGGCGCCGCTCTCCCACCATCTCTATAATACGCCTCCGAACCCGACCGTAACAGAATCACTCGAGGAAGACTCAATACCGAACACGCTGGCGAACAATGTTTGCAATTGCGACGATATCGTCTGGCTTTGTATCCAGTGCGGCCAAACACTACGCAGCAACGACATCACCTACCGACGAGTCTGGGCATGGCGTACCCGATACAGCACATACCTTGGTGGCGGACTGGGAACAGGCATCGGCGAAGGCAGCCAAGGGGTAAAATGTGGACGCGGCGACACATGCCTTGCGGCAAAGGAAATAGAGCTTGAGGTTGACTGTGAAGTGGACGATAGCTCTAGTGATACTAGCAGTACGGGCCGCAGCTCTCCCGCTCACTCCTCACATCACTCCGAATTGCTGTCGACAGATAGCCACGATGGCGAGGAACCGGGGTATTTCCGGCAAGAGGTGATCGGACTCGGCGGTGTTGTGAAGCATAAAGCGAAGAAGCGAGTCATGGTCGGTGCATGCGTGGTTGAGTATGAAGATGAGCGGGAAACGGGCACATATCTTGTTCGAGAGGAGGGCGGCTCGCATCGGGCGTGGTGTGGATGGTGCTCGAGGGTCATTCCGGCCAAGAGCGAGTCTATTCGGGGTTGAGATAGCTTCGCGGCATACTTTCTGCATCTCTTTTGAAATTTCGTAGTGCAGTCTACGCAGTTTACATCTAGCATGGCCTTGATGATCATTGTGTACATACTCTCACCCGACGACTGCGTTGAGCGCAGTTTAATTTAAGAGAGAAAATTGAATTCGGATCTAGTGGATTGCTCAAGGGATTTGCGTCTTCGGTTTCAAACCAGAAATTGGCGACAGTGTACCTAGGTATAACAATTTGACATATCTAATAGATTTCACAATCACTTCACAGTCTTGACTCGATGCTGTCCTTTCTGGACGAAAAGACAAAATACTCCGGTAATGCGTCGCTCCTTCATGCAATCATCAATCATACATATCCCCGGACACTTCAAGTTATCACAAATAATATCAAAAGACAATGTTGAAAAAAAATCAAAACTCGAAACAAACGTAACCATTCTAGTGCGCTGCGATAGCTCGGAGAATACTCTTGAGCTTGGATTGTTCCTTTGGTGGAGATTCTTCGCGACGACGATGACGGCGCGAGTGAGGATCCATGTCTCTGCTTTCCTGGCGGGCGGCGCGACGAGAGATCTCGGGCTTCTTCTCTCGCTCCCTTGACCGGGGCTTGCTGGACTCGGGTTCGTCGCGAGACCGTCTCCGTGCTTTCCTCTCGGGTCGAGCTTCTTCTTGCCGACGCTCCTCACGTCTCTCCTCGCGCCTTTCTTCACGACGTGCTTCGCGGCGAGAGGAAGAGCCACCGGAGCGAGTACTAGGTCCCCTCTCGTCAATGGTGACTTTCTCATCACTCGGCGGACCACTGCTGTTGCTGTGGCTGATCGAATGACGACGCTCAGAAGTTGGGGCAGTAGACTTCGTGCTGTTGACTCGTACAATAGGTCTGGTCGTGTCCGATTGACCATTACCCATATATCGAAGGAAAGCGCGCTTGGGAGCAGGAGCTGAGGAGGCTGCCTGTTTCGAAGATGTGGTCTTGACCGATCTAGCCTGGCCTTGTTCGGATGAACGACGCTTGGGCCTGGGTTCGATCTCAACCTCAACGATAGGTGGTTCCTCCGCTGCTACCGGCTCCTCTCTCGCAGCAATCTTCTCGGAGCTTCTGGTCTTCTCAGGTGGCGAGACTCCACTGCGTTGACGGTCTTCACTGATAGCTTCCTGCTTCCTCTTCTCCTGGATCTTCCTCTGCTGCTTGTCGTCATGTTCCTTTCGGGCTTGCTCCAAAGCCTTGGCCCACCGATTAGTGAACAAGCCACCGTCATTCTTGGGGCGGGAAAGCTGCTCCTTGCGGCCCTCAGAGGAGGTCTTCGAATGTCGTCGCTCTCGTTCACGGTCTTCACGATAACTGGACGAACGTCTCTTCTTTCTGCGAGAACCTTGCCTAGTTACCGTAGGATCCATGGGATCCATAAGCTCGCCACGAGGTCCCTCAGCGGACTCCCCGGGAGGAATCTCATCAGGTGCAAGTCCATCAGAAGCGGGTGCCCGGGGCACAAGAGGCTCGGTAGGGAATGGCTCGTATTCAACGGGTGCAGGTTCAGGCTCCGGTACTGGTTCTGGCTCGGCGGGTGCAGGTTCTGGAACTGGTTCTGGTTCAGCGGGTGCAGGCTCTGGCTCTGGCTCAGCCGGTGCAGGTTCTGGTTCTGGTTCTGGCTCAGCGGGTGCAGGTTCTGGTACTGGTTCTGGCTCAGCAGGAGCAGGCTCAGGCGCTGGTTCTGGCTCGGCGGGTGCAGGTTCTGGAACTGGTTCTGGTTCAGCGGGTGCAGGCTCTGGCGCTGGCGCTGGCTCTGGCTCTGCGGGTGCAGGTTCTGGAACTGGCTCAGGTTCAGCGGGTGCAGGCTCTGGCGCTGGCTCTGGCTCGGCGGGTGCAGGTTCTGGAACTGGCTCAGGTTCAGCGGGTGCAGGCTCTGGCGCTGGCTCTGGCTCGGCGGGTGCAGGTTCTGGAACTGGCTCAGGTTCAGCGGGTGCAGGCTCTGGCGCTGGCTCTGGCTCGGCGGGTGCAGGTTCTGGCACTGGTTCAGGCTCAGCGGGTGCAGGCTCAGGTTCAGCAGGCGTTGGCTCTGGCTCTGGCTCAGCCGCTGCAGGTTCTGGCACTGGTTCAGGCTCAGCGGGTGCAGGCTCAGGTTCAGCAGGCGTTGGCTCTGGCTCAGGCTCAGCCGGTGCAGGTTCTGGCACTGGTTCAGGCTCAGCGGGTGCAGGCTCAGGTTCAGCAGGCGTTGGCTCTGGCTCTGGCTCAGCCGCTGCAGGTTCTGGCACTGGTTCAGGCTCAGCGGGTGCAGGCTCAGGTTCAGCAGGCGTTGGCTCTGGCTCTGGCTCAGCAGGAGCAGGCTCAGGCGCTGGTTCTGGCTCGGCGGGTGCAGGTTCTGGTACTGGCTCTGGCTCAGCAGGAGCAGGCTCAGGCGCTGGTTCTGGCTCAGCGGGTGCAGGTTCTGGTACTGGCTCTGGCTCAGCGGGTGCAGGCTCTGGCGCTGGTTCAGGCTCAGCAGGTGCAGGTGCAGGTGCATCTTCAGCTTCAGCCAGCGGGACTTCTGCTGGAATCTCCTTTGGCTGATCTGCCTCTGAGGTTGGCTCTTCCACCACTGTTTCTGCTGGAGGTTCGGGCTCAGGTGCAGGTTCCGCCTCAGGTGCAGCTTCGGCTTCAGCTTTAATTTCTTCTGCAGGCTGTTCAGCCACAGGTTCTTCAATAGTCAGTGCCTCTGCTACTTCTTCGACTGCTGGTGCCGGCTCTGGTGCTGCTTGTGGCTCTTCGACCGGCTCAGCTGCTGGCTCTGGAGCGGTATCCTCAGAAGGCGTGTCCTCTTCCTTGACCTCGTCAACTGCGGCTGGAGCAGGCTCGGGCTCGGGCTCCTTTGGAGATTCCTCGACAGCCCTATCCTCTGGAGGTGCATCGATGGAAGCATCAGCAGCGGGGGCCTCTTCAACTGGAGCGATTTCTGTTTCTTGGGTAGCTTCAGCTGGCACCTCCTCCGGTTCTGTGGCTGGTGGCACTTCTTCGGGTTCCCCGGGGGCGTCACCCTCGGCGGGTTCTGCTGCTTCAGCGGGCTTTGTCTCTGCCTCTGCTTCAGCATTTTCATCGCCTTGTGGTGCCGATGCCTCTTCTGCAGGTGGTTCAACAGGGTCAGGGATAGGCTCTGGTGCAGGCTCCGCTATAGGTTCAGGTGAAGCTTCAAGCTCAGGCTCAGTATCGGCTGCCTTTTTACCCTTTTTGTTCTTCTTCTTCTTCTTCGATTTGCCGGCTGTTTCTTCGGCGACAGGTGGCTCTGCGACGGGTGACTCTTCGGCTGGTGGCTCTTCAGTTGGTGGCTCTTCGGTAAGTGGCTCTTCGGCTGGAGTCTCTTCGGCTGGCGGAACAGGATCGGCAGGTGCAGCTTCTGGCGGACTTTCGGTTGCTGGTTCTTCACTGAGGACCTCTTTCTCGGGCTCTGGTGCAGGCTCCGCTACAGGCTCAGGTGAAGCTTCAGGCGTAGGCTCAGGCTCAGTATCGGCTGCCTTTTTACCCTTTTTGTTCTTCTTCTTCTTTTTCGATTTGCTGGTTGGCTCTTCAGCAGAAGCATCCGCGGGTGTATCTGCAGGGATATCCGTAGCTTCTTCTGCTGGGGGTTGCTCATCACTAGCAGCTGGAGCATCACCATCTGCCGGTGGGAGATCCTCCTCGGCTTTGGCGTCTTCAGCTTCTTGCTTGGCGAGTGCTTCCTTTTCGGCCTCTACTTTGTCGAGCCCGGCTTCAGGGTCACATTCTGGAAAATCCTCGTCTGTAGAAATGTATGTTAAGTTCTGGCTCTCTTCTTCATACGAGTGGTTCTTACCATTGTTGTCATTGTTATCGTCTTGCTTGGCTCCGTCGTCAGCTGTGGCTGGTTCCTCTGCGGGAGGTGCAGGCTCTTCGTCCTTCGCTTCGACCGCTGGATTTTCTGCACTCTCTGCAGGAGGTTCTTGAGCGGCTTCGTCTGGAGCGCTTTCGCCCTCTGGGTTCGGCGCTGGCTCATCGCCAGCAGGCTCTTCCTTACCCTCTTCATTTGCGTCTCCGCTGGCGGGATTGGTGGCCTCTGCAGACTCTGCAGACTCTGCGGGCTCTGAGGGCTCTGCGGGCTCTGAGGAGTCAGGCTCCGTTGGCGGAGTCGCTGCCTCTGGTGATTCTAAAGGGCGTTGAGTAAGTGACTGCCATACAGCCAATGATACAATTCCTCCGATAACTGCCATGGTTCACTTCTTAGTACTTACCAGCAGGTTCTGAGTTCGATGAGCTCTCTTCTGCAGGCTTGCTAGGCTCTTCTGTTGGGGGCTCGACGGGGGCATCCTCCTTTTTCGGTTCGGCATCGGCGGCCGTTTGGTTATCCTGGTCCTTGCCCTCCGTCAGACGATTCGCATTGGTATTTTTAGGGGTGATGGGATAAGAAGAGAAAGTTAAAGAGCCAATTTCATAGGTCTTTAATTCACGTTCGAAGCTTTGATACTGAAACTGAGGGATGTTCGCATACTTGTATTGGGGCTCCTGCATCTTCGTCCCCTACAGCAGCCGGCTCTGGGGCTGGCTTGTCGATATCCTTGGCTTCGGGGTTTGGTGTCGTAGCTCCAGCAGGAAGACGGTTGTTGTTATTGTTCTTATTCTTCTTCTTCTTGGCCATGTCCTCGTTTTAATGACGTATCACACAACGAGGTGGCCGATGCTGACTGGCGCGTGATGGCAAGAATGAAACAATAAGAAAGTGACAAGCTAATGTCGGGCTCGATGCAAGGATGAAAGTCCGGGACGGCGAGGAATTCTGGAGGTACAAGAAATATGAGAGGTAGAAAGTCGCGAGACTGGGTACTGATGTAGTATAGGACGGAAGAGGAAAGAAGCGTACGCCTGTTCCTCTGGAGACAAGAAAATCACAATTGGACCGTCAAGGCGAGGCAGCGTATAACAGTTCATCCGTTGTCCGGGTGGATGGGACAACAACCCCGATGCAGTGTGGAATTGGGCCCTGGAACGTCATCAACGAACAGCCCGATGGCATCGCATGCCATTGGACCACGTCGCCTTCGGTCTCCATGCATTGGTGGCCAGCATTGAGAGGGGATTAGTGAAGCCCGTGTGCTTGGATTAGGGCCGGGTGAGAGCAGCATGATCTCCACTTGTGGGCAAAGCTGCAGGAGCAGGCATCCCAGGGTGAAAGGGGATTGGGGATAGGGAAGTCAAATACACTATCTAGGAAAGGTCAAGCTGCAGCAGCATGGAGAAAACGGGTCTGATAAGTGGGGGGACGAGTGCCACCATTCAATTCTAGGTATGCAAATTTTTTTTTCTGGTTGATTTTGGCTTCGAGTACGCTCCGTACTCCGTACAATGCGCACCCACGAGGGTAGGTGAGGTGGGATGAGAATAGGACGAATTAAGGTGGGTCAAGCACAAGTTGAATGGGTTCCGAGCTACACCGACGAGGGTCTGCATGGCGTGTGTGTGCCCTGGACGAGGGGGAAAAAGTGATGCGGTCGAGAGACCCATTTCTGCCCAACGTTTTCCGGCCACCGCGGCAAATGAGATTCAAGCCTAGCGCTGAGTGGAGAGACGAGGTCGTAACGAAAAGTGTCCATAAGAGACCAAATTAGCTCTTGCTAAGGGGACCCAAAGGCAATTGAAGCCCATTGAGTCAAGGCGAGGGCCCCTAAATGGGGTGGATGGGGTGAATGGAGTCTTGCGGTGGCCATTGTGACTCCACTCTGCGACACCGACACTTCAGCATGGCGATCCTTCTTCGAATCCCCTTTGGAGCGTGAACTACCTCATGGTCTCACAGTCTCACAATTTCTCAATACTGGTATGCACCGCAAGGGAGTTAGTTGAAATGGAGATCGGAGCATGCAGGATGCATAGAGAGGAGTCGTGGAACAAGTGAAGTTTCCGGGCCACGTCGCGTGATCTGCCCATTCCCATTGGTATTGCCCGTGCCAATTGACCAAACACCTTCCTTTCCCCTCCCCCCAACTTCTTCCGATTACTTCTCGATCATCGGCTAATCTGATGTTAACCATACGGTGATTGCTGTACAGTCAAAGCCCTTTCTCCTTATCGTGATGCACTCGCCACTTCCCCCGGCCCCTCACTCCGTTCCCAAAAGAAGCTGCATGCATTGGCTCTTCATCCAAGACTAACTGGCGCGACGCGGGGCGTTCCGCGATTGCCAGACAGCGCCCGACCTGTTGTACTCCTCAAACCTAGCCATCTTCCGATTTTAGCTCACAAAGTCAAATGACGACCCAATCCTTTCCCTGCAGCGGGCCGAGTATCCATGTTCTATCCGCCGATGGCGAGTGGCTGGATTTTGGCAAGGCTTCCAATCCAATCCTGAGCTTTCAATTCTAGCCCAGTCCCGGTCTCAGATTGACTGTTTGAGGGCGAAAATTGACCCAAGGCTTGATCAAGCCAGATCGTAGTTCACATGCCCGAGAATATCAGGTGTGATCGAACTGCTCTGTTCTGTTTTGCTTCGGGTTATGGAATACATCCAATTGTCATCTCCCGTGCTGATCGGGAAAAAGGAGGGGCTTGCAGCGCAAAATTACGACATTCCCGATACTTTCCTACGTGTAAACATTATGTGTCTTCCTTTAGATCGTTAGATCGACAAGACTATTGAGAGGTGTCGAGGGGTACAGAGTACCTTGTATGTACTTCGTACGCTAACTTCGGTTGGAGCGGATGGGGTGTTGGGGCCAGCCAATGTGACGCAAGCCTGGCTGTAGATGCAGGCGCTTGCCAGGTACATAGGTGCATGGCCAAGTTGATAAGGCAACTAACTGCGGAGTATAAGGTAGATATTGCCACGTTATTTAACAGTAGAGTCCCCTGGCCATAGATTTCCATAATTGAAATACAAGTTTGAAGAACTCTGTACCTAGGTATCTCCAATGCTCCTCCGCTTTGTCGAGAATTTTCTTCACGGGATGAAGTGGGTCTAAGAGCTCAGAACCGATTTTCTATGTGACAAAAGTATGTGCCAACAGAGCTGATGGTCAGTATAGCAGCAGGCGTGGGTTTCTATGGAAGAATATAGTAGTATTCGAGCAGTCGTGGACTACAAAACCAATTCAATTGTGCCTCCAGAGGTCTTTTACGCCATGAACCTTCGATCGGGTTTTGAGTTCCCTGGATGGGTCCCGATAACCACTGACGACGACGGATCTCGATTATCAGCTGCGCTGTGGAGCTTTGTTGAATAGCTACCTCGTACCCCGCCCCCATTTGCGTAGTTTTCAAAGAATGCTGTAAATTTCTTCCGTTCACTCACCCGGAGCTCAATTGTGATCAATTCGGCTCATCGCATATACTACAATCATGGCCGCCGACGATATTTGCCTGTTCAACATCAGGACTGTGGATTCCTCTGGAGAAGAGAAGTTGACAAACCGCATCAGTACTGAAGCGAAAATCGACCAAAAAGCCACCCTTGGCACGATTCGGAACATATTGGCAAGTGAAAAGAAACTCGACTCGGAAAAGTAAGTGCCCAGCCCTGGAGGTGATGTGTATCCTGGATACCTAGTAGGTATGCACGCGCATGAAACCCAGGACTGATTGTTTGCGAAAAGGGCTCGACTTTCCTTTTGCGGTAAAGATGGTGATCGTATTGGCGACGACATGAGTTGGAGTGTATACCAGAAAATAATCAAGGCAGACAAGAAGGTATGCATACGTGCTTCGAGAAATAACACAAAACGGCAGAGAAATTGGAATGCTAATACTTGAATGTGATACAGGACGACTCGAAAGATAAAACAAATGAACCCAAAGAAACAACAAATGACCCCGAAGGCCTGAAGGTCTATGATGTGTATTTTGAATGGAGTTGGAAAGAGGAGGGAAAGGAGGAGAAGAAGAAGAACATGAAGAAGGAGCTAAGCGCTAGTGCTCAGAAGGTCTTGGATGGTGACCTCGATCTGGATTTGACCGTATGTGGAGAAGTTCGTTCATAAATGATGGTTTCAAAACTAACTACCATGTGCATGCGCAGAGAAATAAGCCGGAATTGATCACTGCGACCCTGAAAGAGCTTGCTAGCAAGTATACCCATGCCAATTTCAAGGCCGGTGTCTCTAAGGAGGGCGTTGTGTAAGTGATGAACCTTGAAAGTTCTCGATCGCAGATTAATTCTCGGTCACTTAGCTGACACCTTAATAGAGTTGCTAGTAGCATGTCTGAAGAAAATTGGGAGACTGTTCTTCGGAACACCCAATACCTGAATGGCCATCGAATAGTGTTTTTCACCTATGCGAATGGCACTAAAGGATTCAAAAGGATTGACAAGGCTCCTTATACTGGTGAGTGCAGTATTATCAACCTTGCTTATGTGGATGTGTCTTCTGACCTATTGTATGAAGCATTTTCCATTATACCCAGAAAAATGACCAGCATGGAAAAGGCCGACAAAAACATCAGACTTGAGGTGAGTAATGACTCCATCGCGAGGTTTCTTCGTAATATACCTAGGTACTAGTAGCATCGGACGCCCTCCTTGGCTAACAAAGATTATTAGACCGAATACCGAATCCCTAGATACGTTGTGACTGATGACTCCTATGTCAATGTCTTTGAAACCGCAACTGCCCTCTCTAAAAGTGTTGCATCGAGTTCTTTCTCTCAATTGGACATTGAAGCTTCGGCGTGAGTTGTCTAGAGCATGGGAATTGTAGTTCTATTGCTGATCTTTCTTAGGGGAGGAAATCTTTTTGGTGCCAGTATGTCTGCAAAGGCTGGTTTCAGCGAGAGTGAGAGCCAAGCCGTCGCTTCATCTAGCTCATCGTCGACAAGAACGATGAACATCACGTACAATGTAAGTTGGCTTCATCATGATGGCACTTAGAGCACAGTCTAGACTGATATTTTTTTCTCGTCCAGTTTCCAAGAGTTATCTTGCATCTTGACCCAAGAAGTGTTGAGCTGACAGATGAATGCAAAATTGCAGTCGAAGAAGTGAAGGATGAAGAGTCTCTTGTCCAATTCCACCATGATTATGGTCCGTCAATACATCTATACCCTACATATCTACAGCTTATTGCTCCACTTCAAGTTCTAACACCTCTTTACAGGTCACTTCTTTGCTACCAACATTCAACTTGGTGGCAAGCTCTTCGCCTCCGAACAATTTACCTCCGCAGAATCTGCAAAGGCAGAAGAGAAGGCAAATGCAATGAAGGCTAGCGCTCAAGCTTCCTTCTCGTATAATTCGTTCCAAGCTTCAGCCAGCGTAAGCTATGAAACGAATGAAAATAAAAAAAGCTCAAGCCAACGCAGTGGAATGTCAAATTCGCTCACATGGGAAGCCCAGGGCGGTGATACAATTCTGTGCAACGAGTGAGTTGGATCCGCTAGATGCAGTACATGCATATCCATGTGTACTCTATGCTAACATGAGACCTCCTCAAGTCCCCCGAATTGGTGTCACACTGTCAAGCCATTCGATCACTGGAGAGTCGTTAATGTATGTATTCCTGATATCAATAGTCTCAAGTGTCAATTACTGAATATCAGCAGCAACAAGATGTGATGCCATTGGTGGACTTCATCGGAAGCTTTCCAGGTTACCGCCATATTCCTGGACGCTTTGAAAGGATTGTAGCGGGGACCAGAAAGCTTGTTGGTGTTCAGTTCCGCCTTCGAGCAAACGAAGGAAAAGGTGTTTCCAAGGACCAATTCTTCGGCGTGCGCCGGGATGCGCGTGCAAAGCGACTTGGTATGTTTGAACATTATTAACAGTTGATTGGTTCCTGCTAATAAAGATACAGAGAAGGTGATGTGGAAATACCAGGAGCAGTTGAGAGGCGTGGCTAGGAAAACGGAGTACGGCCTTGACGGCATCAATGTGAAAGCCAGACTTGCTAGCGCAGATAAGTTCCATTCGGCCTTTTATAATCGAGTCAAGGGTGAAGCCTTTACAAATGGCTTTGAGGAGCATGTCGGAATTGGCGAGTGGTCCGAGGGCTGCGACTTCGAAATCGAAGCACTAAGCGAGCTGAAACAAATTCCCAAGGTACTTATGTCTGTCTCGTTTTATTCTTTCGATCTATCCTGCTAATATGCCTATGAAGCTCAAATTGAACGTGCCCTACTTGATCCGTGCGCCTCGGGAGAACACCTACCTGACTGCAGATACATCTGGCAGCTACCAAGGAACATTTTTTGGTTACATGTATTATGCTCGCAAAAGTTCTGCCAGCAAGTTCATGTTTCGAAAGGTCGGGGCCCGGAATGACACGGGTGATATTACTGACGGCGCGGAGGTCGAGCTGACTCTATGTGATGATACTGGTAAGGGTGTTGGTGTGGTGGAGCGCTTTGGCGGCGATTCCACAACCCTGATGGTTAGCAAGTTTGGCGTGGAAGAAGACTTGGCTACGACCCAGAACTCAAAGCTGGAATACATCAAAGGATAAATGCTACTTGCATAACGTGTCATATCTCATTAATTGACACGTGCTTCCCATTGCTTGTCGATCGCCACGCGCTCATTGTGAGGAACTCGCCCCCACGCCTGTTGGAATTTTGCAGCTTTTAGTTCCCAGGACGAAAGCGTCGAGTCAATAAAACAAGCGCTGGCTTCAGCAGTCTCTTTAACTAATTCCATGGGAACCATATGGCCACACGGTAGAATAATTTCCTGCACACGGCCACTAGCAAATCCCCCACTTCCACCGACACCAGTGCCCGTTATCTGTATCTTTTTCTGACGGGCAGCCAGTGAAGATAGTGGAGAGGTTTCCCCAAACAGATATAGAACATCTGGTTTTAAATGAGGTAATTGACGAAATATGTGTGCTGGTTCCGGGCGATGGAATGGAGAGTCTTCGATATCATCTGGATGCATATCATCTTTGGGTACACCTCGAGCAAGGCCCGATCGCTCATCCACATATGAAGGCCGGAGATAGAAATAAAGCTCTTGTGGTTTCGTCGTAGTTAATGTAACGGCGGATTGGCCCGTCTCCTCTGATATTGGATATGTCGGAGTAGGAAGATCCCGAAGCCCATATTCGACGAACTTCTCAAAAACGCGGGGATCCCATGCTCGGTAGAAAGGTTTCGACTGTAATATTTGGGCGGCTTGTTCACGAGAAGGCCATAGATCTCTTCTGTATGTAGACGCCCGCGCGAACGCACTCCCGGGGTTCTCGCGCTGAATCACTGGGTCGAGCAGAATGAGGCCATTGAAGAGAGCGGGATGCATGAGAGACATATGAGCCCTAGAGCGATCAATTCCCATCTTCATCTTGAAAGGCTGAAAACTTACAGTTGCGCCCCACCCATGCTATGGCCGATTCCAACTATCGGGTGCGAGATATCATCTTGGAATTGATTGATCAAGTGGAGTAAATCACGTCCATGATCAAACCAGTCCGCTTCAACAAGTATCAGAATAATCCTTCCATGTAATACGGACACACTCACGATCATCTCCTAATATTTCCTCGTTCAAGATGCCACTTTGTCCTTGTTGGGCGATATCGGCGATCCAGATTGACCGAATGTGACGTTTTTTTGCGCGTAACCGCTCATACAAGTCGTCCCAGAGAGGCTCGTAAAGTTCCTAAAAATTGGGTTAGTATTTTGGTGAAGAGAGGCGAGAAAGTAGAACAGAGGACGCACCTTGGGGAATGAATTTCCATGTGCCCCTATCAAAGTCACATCGGACGGCTGTGGCTTGCGATCGCCCCCGGGCAGATATTGCTTTACTGCAAGTCTGAGCCCCCTTTCATGTCCGAGTTTCACAGCACCCGGGCGCTGACGAATATTTTGACACCTGATCGTATGCTCGATGACTCTAAAATTCAACATTTGCTTCATCTTGTGAAATACCGATTGATCACTTGGCCCCTGTTGGCGCCACTTCAAGCACCGTGACACGTGTTTTGATGAATAAAAGGTAGTAGTAGTATTCAAGGGGCATTGGTATGCGTCAATGTTTGTCAGAGGACGATGCTTAGAGGAACCTAGACACGGCAGAAAGGTGGTGATTGGATGAGAGAGAGAGCTAAACTGAGGCTATCTAGGGGAGAGGGGCGGCATTGAATGCCTGAGGCGCGAGTCCTAGGTGCCTAGGCTCCCTGGGCTCCCTCGACAATGTTTATGGGATCGCGAAAGCGTCTTCCCGCACTACCGAACATAACCGAAACTTTGCACCGACGTAATAGTCTCGGCATTTTGTAACATCAACCGAGGTCTTTTTTTCAATAGATACGTGCCAGCGAAGTGACATAACCCTTGGGAGTTGGAGATGGAATTACGGGCCTTGTCAGGAATTGGAAGTGAAGGAATGATTTTATTAATATGGGTATCATCCACCAGGAGGCTACAGCAAGCCAAAGTATTGGAAAGGAACAAAAACAGCGCATGGATCTAAAGAGTGTATCCCGGAAATCGGAAGCCAAGAATGGCTATCAAAAGTGACGGTGATATCGATAATAATGCGTAGAACCCCCGCGGAACTCCAGACACAATGCAGATGCAATCTTGTTTGTTCATTTATCATGTACGAGCGACATTCATTTTCGCATCCATTTTTAATCTCCAGCGGGGCCCAAATACCCTCATGAAAAAGATGACGCTGCTGCTTGCGAGACTGACTAGACCCAAAATCGTGAATAACCATCCATTACCAATTCCATGAATGATCGGAGCGGTGACGACAGATCCCACACAGGAGAAGATATTTCTCATGAAGTTGTTGAGTGCAACACCCTCCGAGGACTTTTTTGGCATGAACTCGGTCAACATCGTGGTAACCATACTAAAGATCAACATGGAGCCGATTCCAAAGAAAAAGTTCGCGATCATCTGAGAATGTCGAGTTAGTCAATTTCTGATTGGGTGTGTTGAGGATTCTGTTCATTCTTCAAACTTACGGGAACCAGCCAGAATACTCCCTTTTCAGCTGCCCAGCCATACCAGATAAGCGCAACTGGGTATAGGAAAGCCCCGAGCCAGGCATTTTCCCGCATCCGATCTTCAGGTCGATAGATCAGTCTCCCTTTTTCATCGTAGCGATTTGCCTTTCTCGCCTCTCGTTGCATGATACTGTCCATCCACTTTCCACCGAATAGGCTGGCCACCACATATCCTACTGAGTTCGGAATATACAGAAGGCCAACAATAATAGTCGAAAAGTTGTATGGTGGCTTTGAAAATGTCGCTTCAACACTAACATTCAGCACATATAGCGAGCCGAAGGCGATGCTGGCGTAGTAAACAGTTAGGAGGACAGGGATATATTGGAGATAGAGGACGATTTTCAATGGATCGATGAAAATCACTTTCAGCTTCTTAAGCCACTTTGTGGTGCTTCGAGCGACTTGTCGGGTGGAAACGCGGCTGAGAGATTGACCGATGGGCTCGCCACTGGCATCTTCCTCGATCTCGGCGAGTGTGGGTTTTTGGACAGCGAGTGTCTCGGGCAGCGCCAAAAAGATGAAAATGACGGTTATCGCCCCATAGACTGCGAGAAACCACAGTGTACTCCGCCATCCCCAGCGTTGAGCTAAGAGTCCACCAATTATAGGAGCTAATAAAGGACCACACAGTGGACCGAGATAGAATATTCCCATAGCACGACCTCTTTCCCGAGGGTCCCATAGATCGGCAATCGTTCCTGCGCCAACAGCTTGAACAGATGCGGATGCACCGCCACTCAACATTCGCATCACGATAAGCATGGCGATAGAACTGGAAATGGCACAAAGGCAGTTGAAAAGCACGAAAAGGAGGAACGAAACCACGTAGATCGTACGTCGTCCCAGACGCTCGCTAAAAGAAGACCACCATAGAGGAAAGATTGACATGCTCAGCATGTACAATGCGATGGACAAGTTGGTAATTGTGGTCGTTGTGTGTAGCTCCTTGGCCACTTGGGTAAGTGAAGCTAATCAAATTCAAATTAGCATTGCAAATACCAACGAGTTATGTGACTGATCAACGTACGGAAGAAGATCGAGCTGCCCATAGGCGCAGTAGCACCCGCCCATGCTACAATGAATGTAATGAACCATTTCATCTTTCGGGGATAGGTTTTTGGGTCCTCAACTTCAGCCACCAGAGTGAGTGAGCCGAACAAGCCCCTGCGTTTGAGTCGGGGGACGACCACAGCGGGACCAAGCTCGGTCGAGATGCGCGATAAAGGTACTGCGTTTTCCGGGTCATTCTTCTCTTGATCAGCCGCGACGCTGGAGGCATGGGAGGGGGAACGCATGTTGTCCATTTCCGGCTCACCACTCGTCGCTATCGAATGCACATCGTCACGGTCGGTTCCATTGTTGGTCAGTGAAGCCGACATCGCAGCATCAACTTTTTCGATTTCATCTCGCATGTTGGCTGAAAGAACGTTGGAATGACAAAGATCGATCGGAGCGTAGCGGCAATAGTGATTCAAGATGTTTCAAACACCACGGAGGATCGGGCGCGGGAGAGGAAGAGTCTTGGAAACAATGATGGTTTTCCCATTCAAATAAAAAAAAGCATTCACTGTAGATGTCACAATGTGGGGGTAGTGAATAGCATAAAACAACTTGAACGAGTGATGCGTAGCCACCCCGATGTGCCACGATATCTGCCAGTCCAAAAAGACCGAAGTCTTCTCGACTTGGTTGATAAAAGATGCAAATATACCTAGGTATGCAATTGTGATTCTGAGGTTATGTCCAGTGCAGAAGTGAAGAAGTGGTCACAAAGTTGGCAAGTTGCAGTTGAAAGTGAGAGATACCCGAGGCAGGATCCACCACGACACTCTCCAAGCCAAGCAGGAGCCAAGACTTTCACCAATAGGTTCAAGTTCTGAATAATTATTCCCTATATCTCTGACTCGATTCGGAACTTAAATGATAATCTTAAAGTCTGGAAGGAAGAGAGAGAAAAAATCGATGAAGGATCGTGCAAGATCGCCGGTTCCACCTACAAGGCTTGTTTACTGGATGTGGAACGCCGACGAGGACCGAAGAGGCCCGGACCACGATATTCCCCATGACTGTTATATATAGTGGAACGTGGATATTAATCCGACAGCAGGAGGGGCAAACCGAGATATGGCGTCGTGGTCCACCCGAGCCAGTCGCCGTCCCGCTTGTGCCGGTCTTCCGTCGGCAAAAGTGAAATGGCGGAGTATGCCGCTTGTACTAGAATTTCTTGAAAGAGACTAATGTGAAAGGTCCAGGTTAGCATATATGCTATCTTTACTCGGGCAATTTACATTTATCAAGATTGGCGAAAGAGATGATTTCAGAGGAAATTTAAATATGTGTATGAATGAGAAATTATCCTATACTAGTATAGGAGCCCGAGGCTGGAGTGAACTGACTAAGCCTGTGCAATATATGCACCAATACAAACGCTCTGGCTTTGTGCGTCAGGACAAACTCCGAGTCCGGCTGCGTAATAGCTCTGCTATGCGTCAGGTCGAACTTGAAGAACACGGGCATGAACTTCTCGACCCCGACACCCGTGGACGGTTTGCCGATCTCTCATGAACTCGCCAGAGTAGCAATTCTGTCAGTATCTTGTTTTTGTTTGAGATAGTTGTGTGCCAAGTCCCAGTCGATATACTAGATCTAGTACCTAACAAATCACTGCTACTTCAATATTAAATTACGGGATGTGAGTATACGAGCATTACTACTGGTAGGATTTCCAACCCGCAAACCTTAGACTCTGATGCGCCACCACTTGAAACCGAAGAAAAGTGATCCCCGAGTCGTCGCGGCGAGAATACTACACATACTGTACTACTACTAGCACTACTAGTAGCTTCCCCCGGATTTTCTAGCACCTGACTCGGAACTTGAACCTCCAGGTCATAGCTCCAACTGACGATTGACGTATTCTCCGCCCATGACATTCGACTGCACGCTGCAAGGAGGTGATTAATAAGCCCACAATAGGATATGATGCACTGATCATGGAAAGACGGTGTGGTGCTCGACTTCTCACTCAAACAGGGCGGTTCCGAAGACAAACACCCCATTCCGTCCAACGTATCCAGCTGTCAACCGCAATTCTTCCACCTTCCACCTCCCCATACTCCCCCGAACCACCTAAAATGACCGTTCCGACCAAGATCGAACCCAAGGATGTCCAGGCCCACCTGTCCCAATTCAAGGGCGACAGCTATCGTGATGGCTGGGCTTCGCTTTGGGACAAGGGTGAAGGTCTGCCTTGGGATAAGGGCTTCCCCAACCCTGCATTGGAAGATGCCCTGATCCAGCGTCGCGGCACCATTGGCGGGGCTATCGGCCAGGACGCGCAGGGTCAGTCGTACCGCCGAAAGGCACTGGTCCCTGGTTGCGGCAGAGGTGTTGATGTTCTGCTACTGGCTAGCTTTGGCTTCGATGTCTATGGTATTGAGTACAGTGCCACCGCAGTGGAGGCGTGCAAGAAGGAGGAGGCCGAGAATCACAGCTGGTACCGCGTCCGGGATCAGAATGTCGGCCAGGGAAAGGTTACCTTTGTGCAGGGCGACTTTTTCGATGATACTTGGCTGCAGACAATTGGAGTGCCCCTGAATGGGTTTGATATTATTTATGACTACACGGTAAATCGGCCTCACTTTTACCCTTGTTTGTTTTTCATTACCTTCTGGATCAGAGCTGCCCCGCACCCCACCAGTTGGTTACACGACGGACAACGAGGGGCAGCCGGAGACCGAGACCGATCCCGGCGGTGTCTCCACAGTGGTTTTTTTCTGGTTATCGCGATAAGTACTCCGTATTAACATTGACTACAGTTCTTCTGTGCTCTCGAGCGATCTATGCGACCTAAATGGGCTCTGCGACACACCCAACTTCTGGCCCCTTCCCCAGCAGGTAACCTGATCTGCCTGGAGTTCCCCCGCCACAAAGACCCCAAGGCACCTGGGCCCCCTTTCCCATCATCGTCAGAGGCATACATGGAGCACTTGAGCCACCCTGGCGAGGATATCCCCTACAACGACCAGGGTCTCATCAAGCAGGACCCCTTGCGTGTGCCGAGCGAGGCTGGCCTCGAGAGGGTGGCCTACTGGCAACCTGAGAGAACCCACGAGATGGGTCAGGAGAACGGGAAGATCCAGGACAGAGTCTCTATCTGGCGTCGACGTAACTAGAAAGCCCTCGCGTTCTCATATTTTATGCAGATGATCCCGCTGCAATGACTATATGAAGGCCACTATGCCTAGGCGGTACTACTAGTAGGTGAAATTCTGGTAAAAACTGAATGTGCAAATGAAAACACCCTCCAAGTTCCATTCAACTTGAATAAAATAAGTACGTAGCTTAGTGTGGCTATCCGGATAGATCCATAGCCCAGCTTACTAGTTTCAATTACCTACGAAAAAGTCCGGGCTCCCAGTCGTAGGGAAAAAGGGAGTTACCAATGTCAATATCATGATGGCTCCTTGCTACACGCAAGTTCAATTGTCCGACACTGGGGCCATAGGGCTGTAGGGCTGCAGTGCATGTGGCTTGGAGCTATCTCCCTTAAACAAATTATTTTTGCTAGTTATAGTCAAGAGGCTCCACAATGCATCAAGGGATAAAGTGCTGCCTGCTAACGATCGATTTGTGTGAAGTGTATGCTACCCAAGTATAGTTAAATCTGCATTCAATTGGGTTTAAAAATCTGTAATAGCATAGCCTCCGGCCGTCTGGTCGCTTGCTGGATCGGATCGGACTGAGTCATATTTTGCATTCTAGCTAGCTGGTACTATAAGGAGAATTCACTCCGATAATTTGTCTCGTGACACAATCAATCCAGAACCCCCTACGTAGGTCCACGGCTACCTAAGGCTGACGTTAGGTTCGTGTTTCCCTGTACAATGTATTGCTTATTCGGCGAGAGGTTATCCAAAAGGCTATCCGGTAGATGAAGGGTATCCTTTATGATCTGTTTCGGCGTGAGCTTCAACCACTGCCCAACCGAGATATCCGTAAAGCGCGGTGCTTGAAGAACCTCAAGAAAAACGACATCTTCGTTTCCGATGTTCTCAATGTAGTGTGACGCTGTCGCGGGGACGTATGAAACATCGCCCGCGGAGAAATCAAATGTAGCGCCTGATGTTGGTGCAATGTATACGCTGACACGGGCATTCCCCGAAATGAAGAATCCCCACTCGTCACTTGTGCCGTGCCTGCATACGGAAGCACGGTTAGTCTTTCTTCTCCCAGCACCGAAGAAGGGGCATGTCTTACCAGTGTATCTCCCTCATTGCCCCTGGTTTGATGGTCACCAGAGCAGCGCTGAAGTTGCGGGCAATCGGGAAATTGATTGGATCAATAATCTTGATGCTGCCACCTGGGGTCTCATATGATTTTTGCTTCGAGAGATGGTAGGTGTAGCTTTCCGCACCGGCTGCAAACCCTCCGGGTCCTGTCACATTCTGCTCCTTGATGTCCTTCGGCGCCGGTGTGCCATTGAAAATGTAGAGTTGGTCTTTCGGAAGATCATCGAAGTCAGTCAGTGGTGCCTGCAAGTTCTTGGACAAGACCTCTTTCGGATTACGAAGGAACATCTCCGACGCCAGACTGGTGCCGCCGTCATCAAAGTCGCCTTGGTCGAAGACTAGCATGAACTCAGACCCTTTGTCTAGGCCTTGGAGAGAGTGTGGTATACCGCTCGGAAAGTACCATACATCTCCCTCCGTGAGATCGTCGACAAAGGTCTGGCCATCCTCGTTCATTGTCTGGAGACGAACACTCCCATTCAGTATCAACCCCCATTCATTGGCCTTATGCCAATGCAGCTCTCGATAAGCCCATGGTGCCAATTTCATATCTACCCCGGCCATGGCAGTCGCAAGAGGGAGGTTGTGTACATTCTCTTGTCGAGACCAACCAGCATGTCCAGGAAGAATCCGATTATGGGAGAGTCCCATAGGCCACTTTGCCTGTTCCACATCACCACTATCCGAGCCTGGAGGAGCGAGTGTATCTGGGTTAAGGCGATCGTAGCTATAGGTTCGTGGACCGGGGTCGGTGGAGCCGAGGTCTCCTCGTATAGGTTGGGGGTTGGTCGTGTCTTCGAAAGTGAAAGGAATGCCAAGTTCGGCACTTGCACCTTGCCCCGGAGCAAGCTCATACTTGTCGGAGGATACGCTGGCACTGCTTTCGGGATTGACCTCCTTCGTGATCACACCGAGTAGGCTTGGGTGGCCTCGTAAAGGGGATATCTCGGATGATTCATCATCACCAAAGGAACCGGTCCAAGAATACGGCTGAGGAGAGGATGGCAAAGCAAGACTGAGGTTTATTGTGATAGCGAGAACTATCAGTCGAATGGAGAATTTTGACCGTATTTCCATGGCGTATTGGATTGATCTCAGTGAAGTTGGGGTGAAAAGGAAAGAAGTTTTCTTTTTAGATTCGTGAAATACCATCGGAATTTCTGTTGGTATTTATAGCCCATATCTTGAAAGAGGAAAAGTCCTGTGGAACCAAAATGAAGCCCATGCGAGGATTAAAGACACTAAAGAGACTATCAGTCACTTGAGACATGACGCAGATATGCAAGCGCTAGGGCATACCAACCTAGAAGGCTTGAAGGGTACCACGCAGCAAAGTATCTAATTGAAAATACAGAGTTTCTGCTTACGGGCGCCATTCTGCACCGGCCCAGGTAATCCAGGGGTTGCTGTGCAGTAGAGTAAAGCCCTGTCGGCAATTCAAAAACAAATTTATCTTTTCGATCACTCTGTCAATCCTTGGAAACTGCCCAGGTGAGTGAATGTCTTGTCAGAGGAATACCCCTGCAGAACCCAAGGTACCTTTCAAGGAACCTTGGAAGTTGACAAAGTGCCAGTCACTTCATAGGCGTTTTTCTTCAAGGTGTAATTGAAACGAAGATAACGACCTCGGGACCCAGTACTATATTCCTCAAGGCATTCATTCAATGTCATTTGATAGCGTCATACGGAGTTTAACAGGTTGAACAATATATTTGAGATCGCGCCGGGGAAAACATTCTGATCTAATGACCCGAGCACCGTTTTGGGTGTGACGACTGGAGTATCACGACCTGAATCGGGGCACAGGTTGTCAACCCTGTAACTCAAGATGGAATTGAAATGATGAGCTAACAGAAAACCTGGCAAATGCTTTCACATGAAATCGAATCGCTGTAATTTCTTGCCACAATATGCATAATGATAATGTATCGTTCATGTTCTATCATCAGCTCTATAATATTAAGTGCAGCCAAGAGATGGTAGTCATAACTGGCACTCTGGAAAATCTCAGGATTGCTTGACCAGAGCGTTGTAGTGCTCGCCTAGTCCGTATGTGTGTCGGTAGTACGCCAGCCAAAGAACGCGTTTGGCCTTGTCTTCCTCGTCGAAGCTGTCCATATCCCCGCATTCAATCTTCTCTTGCCGCCCATCACTTTGAACAATATTGATGACGACACCATATGCCCTCGCGATAGCCTGGATCTCTAGTTGACCACCCCACTCGGCAGTAAGCTTGATCTTCCGTGTATACACATCCAAGGGCTCTTCCATAAACGCCTCGAAATCATCCTTGTGTTCCACAATATAGTCCGCCGCGACGGCCCGAACAGCGCGATAGCCATCATGTTGAGCCGATGTTACCGTGTCGATGCGAGTTTGTGATGTTGGTTGGAGAACGATTCGGCTTGGGTCCGGCCGCAAACCGAGTCCAGAATCATCCAGCTGCTTGGCAATTGCAGAATAGAGACAGTGGCCATCTGGTGTGACTTCCACTTCTTTGAGTCCCAATTTCTTGAATGCCGCATCCATGACTCCCTGCTCATTGCCCCTATAGTTTGTTTGGTTCTTGGCCTCTTCGGCCGCAGCCTCCGACATGGCTACTTGCTCGGCGGCCCGGCGGGCGAGGCGAGCCTTTGCCCGGTTGGGTTTCTTCGTTCGGCCAGCAGGCTCCGATTCCGAGGGAGCTTGGGTGTTGGAATCTATTTCTGAGGGTGCCGTTGTCTTGTCCTCGTTCGGTTCATCGGCCGGGGCCCCATCTTCCAAGCTCAGATCTTCCAGGGCTTCGACTGGCTCTGTAGACTCTCCATTGAGTTCAGCGATCTCGGTTTGGTGTCGCTCTGTGAGGTCACGTTGCATTTGTTCGCATTCATCATTAACACCTTTCCGTGTCTTCTTGGTGGCGGACTTTTTCTTTTGGGTGATCCGGCCTTGGAGATCTTTCTGCTCCTTGCGGTGCTTTGCTAGTAACTCGTCCATAATGCAATTGAAGGGAGCTTAGACCTTGAGAGGTCTAGCGGGGGAATGCGAGAGAAGGGGTGAAATTGGAAAAGAAAGGGTGAAAGAGGAAAAAAAAGGGTATGGGACGAATGCGATCACAAACACTTGGGAGCATCAAACTGTAAAGATAGCCTCTGCCAACGCAGCTTCGCCCCGCAAAACCCTGAAAAAACTGCCCTAAGTTGTGGCCCAAATGGGTATAGCTCCATATTCCCAAAAGGGAAACTCGCCCGCCGCCGGAGAAACCATCGAACCGATGAGCCTCGGCTTGTCCAGTCGGTGTCTCGGGTATGCGGTGCAACGAGGAGCTTCGAGGGGGGAGGATTACTACAAATGTACTCGGTATCGGTCCCACGTCTGTGATGATCTTGACTTAACTTCCAAAAAATTACAGTCATGGATTCAGCCAGTCTTTTTGATGTCAAGGTATGTAATTTGGGCTATACTCTCTCGCTCCACTCCACTCGACTAACTAGCTTCTCTACAGGGCAAGGTGGTGCTGGTCACCGGCGGAGCCAAGGGTATTGGTCGCATGATCTCAGAGGGCTATGTGACCAATGGTGCTACCGTATACATCTCCTCCCGCGATGCAAAGGCATGCGAGAAGGCTGTCACTGAGCTGAATGCTCTTGGCAAGGGCAAAGCTCATGCCATTCCGGCCGACTTTTACAAGTATGAAGATGTGAAGCAGCTGGCGGATGAGCTAGCCAAGCGAGAGAGCAGTCAGTCATAATCACAACCCCTCCTTTCACGCCTGAAATCATTGGCACTAACACAACTGGTATATTCTCTAGAGCTCGATGTCTTGGTCAACAACTCCGGTTCCAACTGGGGCGCCCCCTACGACGAGTATCCCTCTGAGGCTTTCACCCGCGTCCTAACCCTCAACCTTCACCGTGTCTTCGATCTCACCAAGCTTGTGACCCCTCTCTTGGAGAAGGCGGCTACTCCGAATAATCCGGCGCGCATCATCAACATTGGCAGCATTGACGGCCTTCGTGTCCCCTCGCTCGAGACCTTTGCCTATAGTTCCAGCAAGGCCGGTCTGCACCACCTTAGCCGAGTTCTTGCCAATCACCTCGGAAAGAGGAACATCACGTATGTTTATCTGCTGCTGCTGTGCCTCTGTTTTCTCAAGACTAATCTGATTTGCTTCATAGTTCGAATACCTTGGCCTGTGGCCCGTTCGAGAGCAAAATGATGGCTGCCACGCTCAAGTCGTTCGGTGAGGCTATCAAGGCCGGTGTGCCTCTGGGCCGGATTGGAACACCGCAAGATGTGGCTGGTTCTTGCTTGTTCCTGAGCAGCCGAGCAGGCGCATTTATCAATGGAGCAACCATTACGGTGGATGGTGGCAGCGCCATTGCCGCCAAAATCTAAGCTTCATTGATAATTGGAGTCGCCTTATCTGGCCTGTAGATATTACTAGATATTAACTAGCGCTCAGTTTCACTGTATATTTTGTTCCAATTCGAGTTTTTATTTCATGCCTGCATTCCGTAGTTAACTCAAAACCTCAAGGGGTGCCAGTGGAAGCTCCAACATTCCAGCAGATGGCTGGCCACCTCCACTCTCACCTCCATCCAATGACCTTGTTTGCTTTTTTTTTTTTTGCCTTGGTCATTTGCCTTTGCAAACGGATGAACTCCCGCCTCACACCTCGAGAAAGAAGAAGAAGCAAAAAATACAAAAATACAAAAACTTCGAGCATTCATCCTATCTCTGATCCTTCTGGACTCTACCTTGCCAACCCTTGGGATAGCCCCGCAGTTGTTGCTTATCAGAGGCACTTCTCTTGTTAGTTCCCTAAGGTCCACGGTAGCCCCGATCGGATCCACGGTGGAGCGGCGACATCATCGACCACACGTCATTCTCAATCAGGACATCCCACCTTCGAGAAATTTGATTCTTGTCTTTTCTACAATCTCAAATTTCCTTTTGGTTGCAAAACACTCCTTTGTTTGAACACGATTGTACCCCTCGTGAATCGAATCACATCTCATCAGATCAGATCAGACCAGATCAACAGCTCAGTCTACCTCAGAACGGCACATCTACATTGTCTACTTCCCCGGATATAAGTACAAACGATCTTTGTGTGACAATTCCAAGGTGTTCATCCTCGTATACCTCGAGGAACCCCAACAAACCCCCACAAAACCCAGGGCACTGACTCCGGAGTCGGTGTGGACGTACGACCCGCCTGGCGTCTCCCACAATCAACCCGCTTTGTACTTCTCCTCACCATCGCCCTTCTAGACCATGAGCTCGTCCGAGTCCAATGCTCCCCGTCGGGCTGGTTCCATCGACCCATACTCCAATTCAGAGATCTACTATGGCAATGATGATTCTTCTGCTAGGACCAGAGATCGCAGACGTGCCTTTTCTACGGTAAGCAGCCACAGTGCTTGTGCGGTTACCCCGCGAACCATCACCCCAGCTCACATCTACTTTTTTTTTTTCGAACACAGAGCGTAAGGGACAATGAGCGAGACAATATCCAGGAACTCTTGGGTACAATTCCTACCAGACGAGGCAGTCACGGTATGTTTCTTTCTCTTCGCAAGCTCCTGACTAGCTAGCACGTGAAGCCTGACTGACCGCTCTCCATAGATGAGGCATCTGGAAACCCCCGAAAGTTCCTTATCGACGTGGATGAGACCCTCAATTCTCTGCTGAGGCAGGAAGATACCGACCAGAACATGCAGATTACAATCGAGGACGCTGGGCCAAAGGTATGTAAGATCGACAACTATGAGCAGGGGACAAGCTGCTGACAGCACTATAGGTACTCTCGGTCGGAACAGCCGGATCCTCCGGATTTAAACGTGTGGACGTGCGCGGCACATACATGCTATCCAACCTCTTGCAGGAGCTAACGATCGCGAAAGACTACGGTCGGAAGCATATCATCCTCGATGAAGCACGTCTCAGCGAGAACCCTGTCGCACGCCTATCCCGCCTCATCAAGAATTCTTTCTGGAAGGCCCTTACAAGACGCATTGATGGATCCAATATTGAAATCGCAGGAAAGGATCCCAAGGACTGGACCGATGACCCCCGGCCTCGCATTTACGTCCCGCCTGGCGCCCCCGAGCAGTTTGAATATTATACCAATATCGCCGAGAAGAACCCGGAGCTGCGATTGGATGTGCAACTGCTACCGGCTGAGATCACTCCGGACTATGTGATGGGACTGGTTGACAAGCCGGGACTTCTTGCCCTTGCCATGGAGAAGAAGTATAACGAAGCGACCAAGCAGGAAGAACTATCTGGTGTTCCCTTCGTCGTGCCAGGAGGTCGATTCAACGAGTTGTACGGATGGGATAGTTACTTTGAATCTTTGGGTCTGATTGTTAGCGACCGTGTTGGTCTTGCTAAGGGCATGGTCATCAATTTCTGTTTCTGCATCAAGCATTATGGAAAGATCCTTAACGCCAACCGAACCTACTACCTCACTCGCTCGCAGCCACCATTCTTGACTGACATGGCTCTGCGTGTATATGAACGAATCAAGAGCGAGCCAGACTCGAAGGAGTTCCTGCGAAACTCTGTTCTTGCTGCTATCAAGGAATATCACACGGTATGGGCGTGTGAGCCGCGCCGCGACCCGATCACTGGGCTCTCGAGATATCGCCCCGAAGGTTGGGGCGTACCCCCCGAAACCGAACCAACCCACTTCCTCCACATCCTGACGCCATATGCGGAGAAGCATGGAATGACCTTCGATGAATTTGTCAAGGCATATAACGAAAGGACCGTTGTCGAGCCGGAACTGGATGAATACTTCCTCCACGACCGAGCAGTGCGCGAGTCTGGTCATGATACTAGCTACCGCCTCGAGCGCATCTGCGGAAATCTCGCAACTGTCGACTTGAACTCTTTGTTGTATAAGTATGAGGTGGACATTGCGCGTATAATCCGTGTTCACTTCCAGGACAAGCTGGCGATCCCACAAGAGTTCCGCACAGCCGCCACTCAAGACATTGAATCTGAGTCGTCCGCCGCTTGGGATCGTCGTGCTCGTAAGCGCAAGCAAACTATGGATCAACTGATGTGGGATGCCGACAAGGGCATGTTCTTTGACTACAACACAGTCACCAAGGAGCGCAAGGCATACGAAACCGCCACCACCTTCTGGGCAATGTGGGCCGGTCTTGCTACGCCTCAGCAAGCAGCCCAGATGGTGCAAAAGGCACTGCCTCGGCTCGAAGCTTTCGGTGGCCTGGTCTCGGGATCGGAGGAGTCGCGAGGCCCAGTCGGCCTGGAGCGACCCAATCGGCAGTGGGACTTCCCTTACGGATGGGCACCTCAACAGATGCTTGCCTGGACCGGGTTCCTGCGCTACGGGTACGAGGAAGAGGCAGAGCGACTGGCGTACAAGTGGCTTTACATGATCACCAAGGCTTTCGTCGACTTCAATGGCGTTGTCGTTGAAAAATATGATGTGACCAGACCGATCGACCCGCACCGAGTCGATGCCGAGTACGGAAACCAAGGAACCAATTTCAAGGGGGCACCACGTGAAGGGTAAGTTAAATGATCCGACTCGGTTGAATCGGCAGGGAAAATGCTAATGGCGATATCGCAGGTTCGGCTGGGTCAATGCCAGCTATGTCTATGGATTGGACATTCTTAACGCGCATATGAGACGTTCCCTGGGAGCTATCACGCCCTACGACACTTATCACCGGGCGGTCAATGGATCGAGCGCGAGCGCGAGCGCATTTTAGCTAATTGAATGTATTGTTTGTTGGATTGGGGATGGACCTGTTTTCTTTTTCTTTTTTCTTTTTGCATTTGCGACCATTTATTTGGCGGGGAAAAAATCGACAGAATAAACTTAAAAAGCATGCATTAGAAACGAGTGTCATGAGCAGGGGGAGAAATTGCAATTTGGTTCCTCGACTTCAGATTTAGTTCTTATGCAAAGTGTAGCTGGTCGTGATGGGTTGTTGAGCTTGAAAGGCTTCCGCGTTGGGTCGAGATGCAATTTCGCTCTGACTCAGTTCGAACAGAATAGATAGCTTCAGACTACATAGCTGGTACGTATTTCTGATATTATATTTATTAATATTACAAGCTGTATTCCGTATTTCACATTCAAGCTCTGGAGTAGAGGCCTTAACCGTGGTCACCCCCGCAAAATGAACCATCAGCCACTTCCTCACAAACTAGCTCTGAATGAGCGAAAATAACCCGGCCCCCTTCGGCGACCTGACTTTCTACCGGCTAACTTCCGAAAGATATTCAGGGATACCGATTCACACACGACGCATGGCGTCGGAGATTCCACCGCAGAACAGGCACCGATCCTCTCAATGGCCAAGCACGACGCGGGGTGGGGGAGCACCCTAGATTACCCGAGGCTATTCTCGTGACTGGCGCGGGTTGAGCGGCCTGATGATCGTTTTACCCCAGGTTGATTTACAAGGCCGGAGGGATAAGTCAATATAGCAAGGGATTGCGAATTGAGGTGTACAGTTCTTGAATCTATAGATTTAGATATAGATCTATTGGGAGGAGACGATATGGGTATACAGATAACCTTAACGGTCGTCGGCCTCGGCGTCCTATGGGAAGCGCCGAAGACGGAACTGGGAGGTGGAATGAGCAGCTAGATCGCTGGAGCCCTGAAGAGCTTTGGCCTTGGCCTGACCACACCTTTCTGTCGATCTAGACGGGGGTTTAGTGTAGGTAAGCAGAATTTTGTGCCGAGGTCTAACGAAGAGGGTTAGTCTGAGTCATTTCTATGATCTTCTGGGGATCTTCGATTGGGCAGATAGATGGCAATGAGCGGCCGCGGGTGTCAGTTGTCCCGGTATGAATTCGTGCGGATTCAGGGGGTATGGTAATTAGTAGAGAGATTCTGGAAGAAAGAATAAGAAAATGCCGATCGGTGGTAACTAGATACTTGTATGACACGATGTGTCTATGGTAAGTGAAAGAAGTTGCCCAAGTAAATCTAGAATATATGCATAGCTCGGTTGTGTGCTGTGTGGATTTGGTAGATCCATTCTGATTGTAATGGAATATCGAAAATGCCATGAAAATGCACATCCCGATTAGACCGAGTTGGTGTTCACTGCTGACCAGGGTGCGTTTGCGGTGGAGATGTACCGAATACCGGGGCATAACGGGTGGTATTGATGACTGAGGCAAATCGTACCAAATTCTTCTTCTTTCTAGTTCACGGTCTCACTTCAGCTCTGACTAGGGAGAGAGATTTTGATGGCTTTTCCAGAATCTGATAGCATGCATGTCATAAGATAATAGGTCACGCGATAACCCCGACCTAGATTATCTCCCTGTTTCGCCTTCAAGCTCGTGAAGATTTGTCGCATCCGCATGTGAAAGTTTCTGGTATGTATTGTATTGTCACGTATACCAATCCACATGTCCGGCTTTACGTCATTTCGAGAGTGTCGCCGTCCCGATAATTTCGTGGCTGTCAATGCGCTCTTGGACGAAGGAAAATAGGCATTTAAATTACGGAATTGAAATCTGGACAGCATATTCATGAGATACCGATTGTTATTTGATGCTGAAATAGAGGGTGGAAAGGAATCGAAGTGGTGGCAAGGGCGGCTATGGTGGTCCATTTAGCCGAGGATCTCAGAGTCTGGATCCTCTCTTCCGAACCACCGCCCGCCTTCCGCCTTTCGGAGCATCGCCCGTGAGAATTGGCTTTGGCTGTTTGGAAATATTACGGAAATGCCTAGGCTGTCGCTGTCACTGGGCTCAGCGTTGACCCGGTGAGCCGAGCGTTTACCGACTCTGTGACGCATTCGCAAAGCAAATAAGTACCCCGGGTTTCCCTTCTGGCCTGTGATTGAGTTTCTTTTCTATCATTGCGTCAACTCTTCCCTCTATTCTTCTTTTTTCTTTTCTGGTGTACTCGAATATACATAACTTGATTGACTTAACTTGTCCTGATACCCTTTGACCCTCTATTATACTATTCTACCACATAATCCACCATGGGTCTCCACGAAGATGAGGACCGCAAGTTTGCGGAGGATGTCCAGGCCGTCAAGAACTGGTGGAGCGACTCACGATGGCGCTTCACTAAGCGGCCTTTTACCGCTGAAGCAATCGTCGCTAAGCGTGGCACTTTGACCGTCCAATACCCTTCCGCTGTTCAGGCCAAGAAGCTCTGGAGCACCTTGGAGAACAACTGGCAGGTATGTTATACTCCGGCATTGTTTGAAGAATGGGGACTAATTCAATTATTCGTCATATAGACCAAGCAAGCTAGCTACACCTATGGCTGCCTCGAACCCACAATGATTACCCAGATGTGCCAGTTCCTTGACACTATCTACGTTTCTGGCTGGCAGAGCTCCTCAACAGCTTCGTCCACGGACGAGCCCTCCCCCGATCTGGCTGATTACCCGATGGTGGGTGTTCACTTGAGAATTATATTGGCGGTTCAACTCTGAGTACTAACGAAAGCTATAGGACACTGTGCCCCGCAAGGTCAACCAACTGTTAATGGCACAGCTCTTCCACGACAGGAAACAGCGCGAGGAGCGCATTACTACCCCCAAGGACCAGCGCTCCAAGGTCGCAAATGTCGACTACCTGCGTCCCATCATTGCTGATGCTGACACTGGTCACGGTGGACTGACCGCCGTTATGAAGCTCACCAAGCTGTTCGTTGAGCGCGGTGCGGCTGGTATTCACATTGAGGACCAGGCTCCTGGTACCAAGAAGTGCGGCCACATGGCCGGTAAGGTGCTGGTTCCCATCAGCGAGCACATCAACCGTCTGGTTGCTATCCGTGCCCAGGCCGATATCATGGGTGAGTACTTGATCGCAATATTTTCATGGCGAGCTTGGAAGCTAATCAGTATCAGGCTCCGACCTTCTGGCCATCGCCCGTACCGACTCCGAGGCTGCCACTTTGATCACCTCGACTATTGACCACCGTGATCACGCATTCATCGTCGGTGCCACCAACCCCAACCTCCAACCTCTGAACGACCTGATGGTCGCTGCCGAGCAGTCCGGCAAGAACGGTGCTGAGCTTCAGGCTATTGAGGATCAGTGGACCACTCAGGCTGGTCTCAAGCTGTTCGAGGAGGCTGTCATTGACACCATCAACGCCGGTGTCTCTGGCAACAAGCAAGGTCTGGTCGAGCAGTACCGCAAGGCTGCCAAGGGCAAGAGCAACACCGAGGCCCGCGCTATTGCCAAGGGCATCACCGGAGTTGATATCTTCTGGAACTGGGACTCTCCCCGCACCCGTGAGGGCTTCTACCGCTACAAGGGTGGCACTCAGTGCGCTGTCAACCGCGCGATTGCCTACGCTCCCTTCGCCGATCTCATCTGGATGGAGAGCAAGCTGCCTGACTACAAGCAGGCCAAGGAGTTCGCCGATGGTGTGCACGCTGTGTGGCCCGAGCAGAAGTAAGTTTTTTTTTTCACGATACACCTCGATGTGGGTTGGAGATACTAACAATCCTTTCTTTCAGGCTCGCTTACAACCTGTCGCCCTCGTTCAACTGGAAGAAGGCGATGCCCCGTGAAGAGCAGGAGACCTATATCAAGCGTCTCGGCGAGCTGGGATACTGCTGGCAGTTCATCACCCTCGCCGGTCTGCACACGACCGCGCTCATCTCACATCAGTTCGCCAAGGCTTATGCCAAGAACGGCATGCGTGCCTACGGCGAGCTGGTCCAGGAGCCTGAGATGGAGCAAGGCGTTGACGTTGTCACTCACCAGAAGTGGAGTGGTGCCAACTACGTCGACAACCTGCTCAAGATGGTCTCTGGCGGTGTGAGCAGTACCGCTGCCATGGGCAAGGGTGTGACTGAGGACCAGTTCAAAAACTGAGTGGATTCAGGGTAGAGAGAGCCCTGTTTTGTATATCTGCTCTGCTTGGGGATTCCCACTCGGGATCATTTTGAGGCGTTCAAGTTTCTTAAATTTTGTTTTTTTTTTCTTTACCCCTGATGCCTTTTCTTTTTGTGATTTGGTTTGCCAAGAGCCTTGATTTGATTCCCCTGGCAATGTCTTGCCAGTTACTGTAGCATTTAGTTGAAAATAATGCATGAGTAAATTTGATGCTTGAATGATCTTTCGTACCTTTCGCATAGAATAAGTGATAAGGTTTCTAGAAATCCCAAATAAGATTACTATTGCCCTGCGGAGGCCTCACGCCGAGACCCTCTGATTATTCAACGTAAGCTCTGTAGACTAGCCCGAACGAGCAGAAGTGCCCGGCGCCAGTCACATCCGTTGGCGGGTCCGTGTGAAGCCGCGGTCCCGCGGGGTGGAGCAGTCTTCACTCACCCCTGCAACCTTAGGGTACCCGAGGAGCTCTCTATGGTATGACAACTTGAAGGTGAATAGTAGGGGTGTGCAAGAGATGATAAAATTAAAGCTGAGAATAGAGGGAGGATAACATGTAAAAAGAACAGCTAGGAGCTGAGTAAGAAAAAGAAAGTAAAAGTAAGCAAAGCGCGCAGAGGAGAGAGCAAACCCTTGGGGACTTACAAGTGTAGTGCATGTGGATGCGGAGAAGCTCGCACTTAAATAGTCCTCAAGCCCGCCCTCCCCTGACGTAAGGAGTTTGCTTTTTTCCCTCCTAATTATCCCCCCCTGCATATCACCATGGGCGTACAACTTCCCGAACTGCAGTTTACTCCCCTCGAGGACATTCCCGGGCGCGTCTCCATCGCCCGCAAGACCTTCTTGGAGCACAAGACCCGCGATGTCGAGTTCCGCCTTGTTCAGCTGCGGAAACTCTACTGGGCGTGAGTCCCCCCTTTAACCCCACGATTGACTCTCGGAGTAAACTGCAAGCAATCCGAAATAAGGTTCATTGAATACTGACAACCGCATTAGCATCAAGGACCACGAGGAGGAGATCGTCGAGGCATGCGCCCAGGATCTACACAAGCCACGATTCGAGGCCGAGGTTGCGGAGAGCGGATGGCTACTCAACGACATCGTTTTCACCACTCGCAATCTCCACAAATGGGTCAAGGATGAGAAGGCTCCCGATATCGACCTTTCTTTCAAGTTCATGAGCCCCAAGATCAGAAAGGACCCGCTCGGTACAGTCCTGGTTATTGGGTACGTTGGAGAAACACACCTTGAAATCACCCTCCGCGCGTGTTCGCATCAAACTGACCAGCGTCATTACAATTCAGTGCCTTCAACTTCCCCTTCCAGCTGACTCTCGGCCCCGTCATTGGCGCCATTGCCGCCGGAAACACCGTCATCATCAAGCCCAGTGAGAATGCGCCTCGCAGTGCTGCTGTCATGCAGAAGATCTGCGAGGCCGCTCTCGACCCCTCCTGCTACCCCGTTGTTCAAGGTGGTGTTTCTGAGACCCAGGCTCTGTTGGCCGAGCGCTGGGATAAGATTTTCTTCACCGGCGGTGCTACTGTTGGTCGCATCATTGCAAAGGCTGCTGCCCCACACCTGACCCCCGTTGTTCTCGAACTGGGTGGTATTAACCCTGCTATTGTTACAAAGAATGCCGATCCACGCCTGGTGGCACGCCGCATGCTGTGGGGTAAGCTCATGAACGCCGGTCAGATCTGTACTTCCCAGAACTACCTGCTGGTTGACAAGTCGCTTGTCCCCGCGGTCATCGAGGAATTTAAGAAGGCCTATAAGGAGTTCTACCCCAAGGGTGCCAAGGACTCCCCCGATTACTCGCGCATTGTCAATATCGCCTCTTTCCAGCGCCTCAAGGGTATGCTGGACAACACTAAGGGCAAGATCTTGATGGGAGGTACCATGGACGAGAAGGAGCTCTTCATTGAACCTACCGTTGTCCAGGTGGAGTCAGTTGATGACTCTCTGTGCACCCAGGAGAGTTTCGGTCCCTTCATTCCTATCCTTCCCGTTGATAACTTGGATGAGGCCATCAACCTTGCCAACGGCGTCCAGAGCACCCCTCTGGGTCTCTACCCCTTCGGTAACAAGGCCGATGTTGCGAAGAGTAAGTTGTTTCAACCCACTTTGTGAACGATCTTATATCTAACAAATGTCTAGTTTTGGACTCCACCCGCTCCGGGGGTGTCTCTTGCAACGACGCTGCCCTCCACGTCCCAACCCTGCCCTTCGGTGGTGTTGGTGAGAGTGGCAACGGTGCCTACCGAGGCCGCTCCAGTTTCGATGTTTGGGTGCACCGTCGTCCCATCACATCCAGCCCTGGCTGGCTCGAGGCCATTCTGTCCATCCGTTACCCGCCTTATGCTGGCAAGTTGAGCAAATTCAAGGCGGCCAGCGCCTTGGCCCCCGACTTTGACCGCAACGGCAAGAAGGTTACCCTGGGCTGGTTGCGCTATTTCCTGACCCTGGGCGGAGGAAGCGCTAAGTCTGGTGCCGGTCGTGCTGCAGTCGTTGCTGCCAGTGAGTAATCTCTTTTTTCCTTTTTTTTATTGATCTTCTTCATGATCTATACGCCTACGATCTTCACTCGTGAAATACCTTACCTTTCAATCTTTTCTTTTCAATTTCTCACCCCGGGTTCACTCTCACCATTGTCCCTCCTTCTCAGATGATGAGGACAAATGAGGCTGGACTCCATTACCCACGCCGACCCCCGAGGCCTTGACCAGTCACTGAGAATATTTTAATACCCACAACTTTGTATACCCTTGTTTGAAAGTATTGGCTTGGTTTTGTGCACTATGGGCCTGACCTCGGACTACACGTCATTTTCATTTTCTTATACCTATACCCCTTGTTTTGCGCTGCCATATCTGCACTCCAGAGACAAAAAACCCACCACATACACAGCCAAGTGCATAATCTTCTAATGAATTTACCTCCTCTGTCTGGTTTTCATATTCATCCACAGCCACATCTTTTGAAGAAATTTGAACACTTTCTAACGCAATTGTAGTTGCCTACTTCGTTCTCCAGGTTCTGGAACGCCGCACCTCGAAGCTGTGAGACTGGAAATTGAGCCAAAAGGGGGAAGGAAAGTGGATCATTTTGAAATCATTTGATTGTGTAACTAGGAATTTAGCCTCAAATTAATCGCTGATCATGAACACATAAGGCCTTCCAAGCGTCTGCCATTGAATCCACATGCCCCATTTCACAGGGATCGCCGCCCCTCCTCCACCCCAACCTAGCCGAATTAAAATTAAATAATAATCGAAAGAGTACAATACTCCGTAATTCTAAGCAATAGCACATGCAAGAACGTGCACAGTGCACACATATGTGCCGAATTTATTCCGAGACGGCAAACTTACTCAGAGCCCGGAGTCGAGCACCGTTGAAGTAAAGCAGCCAGATACCAATGATACCGATAACACTCAATCCACCCAGAAGACTCACACCCTTCGCAACGCCCAAATTGCCAAACAGCGGGTGCGCAAAGAGAACACTACCACAGGCAAGCGCGCTGCGGAAGAAATCGTTCGCCGCAAACAGACTTGCTGCGTACATGGGGTAAGTGAGCGGGATATAAACGAAAACACACTGCATGACGATAAAGACTGTCGCGCCATAGATAGTGATTCCAATCGTCGGCACGATCCAATGAATCGAGGCTCGTGCCGTCCACGCGAAGAGGAATAAACCGATCGTCGGCCCGAACGAGGCTGGCAGCGCTGGGAGAAGACGCGATTCCTGCGGCGGGAAGCCGAAGCGCTCGATGCGCGGGTTCATCCAGAGGTAGATGTATAGGCCGTAGATGGTGACGCCCAGAATGCAGGAGATGAGAATGCACAGGAAGACGAGGCCGACTTGACCCAGGTTCATGCCGTAATCGACGGGGTAGACGAGGGGGAAGACTTCGAAGAAGGAGTAGTAGATACCGTAGATGATGGCAGTGTAGATCTGCACGAAGAGCACGGCTGGGTCCTTGATGGTGATTTCCATGGGCTTGACTAGGGCGTCGAGGGCAACGGCTGAAACTCGCATGTTACGCTGGTCGATTTCGGATTGGGACATGAAGCGGTTGTCGTTGAAGACTTTGCGGAGGCGCTGGGCGCGGCGGAGGAGGATCGTTGCGCTGCTGGTCTCGGGGAGGAAGATGAGCATTAGGATGAAGACTGGGGCTGATGCCCAGATTGACTCGTACAGGGACCAGCGCCAGCCCTTTACTGGAACGGCGAAACCACTGAGCAGGGGGCCGAGGGCAGCTATTATCAAATCGTTAGTTTCAAGTAGAATCCAAGGTTGAAGAGGGGTTTACTTACGTCCACAGTAGGCGGCCGAAACCCAAGCCATCATGGCATAAGGCAGGGAGATGAGGCTGTACATGTCGCCGATAGAAGCGCCCCCCGATGCAAGGCATGGGGATCCGAAGAAACCTTGAAGGAACCGGAGTACCAAGAGGCCAGGGAAATTGCCCACAAATGCTGTCGGGATGGAGATGATGACGAAGAGGAACATGGTGATAATATAGACTGGATTGCGTCCAATGATGGGGATTTCACTCAATGGCGAGAAAACCAGGGGGCCAATGCCGTATCCCAAGACATAAAGAGACAGACCCAGTGTTCCAACAAGAGAATCGACATTGAACTCTTCCATAACACCTTGCAGCGATGAGGTATAGATGGCAGAGGTGGTGTACACGACGAATGTATATAGACAGATTAGGGTTGTCATCCAGGCACGCTTGGAATTGGTCCAGTTATGCGGATTTTCCGCATCATCTGTATAGTACCAATCAACGAGAACAGCTCCATCCTTTGTCCGTGTGGGGACTATAGGCGTTGACTTGACTCGTTCGATTTCATCTCTCTCCTCCGCCTCAAATCGAGCTTCTGTAAACGGTGTGGTGTTGAGGGTCGAAGTGCGACTCATCACGGCAGTCTCCTCATCGCTGCTAGTACTTTGGCGGGATGGTTGTTGTTCAGGTTTCTCATCTGCCTGAACATCTGAGCCGTTCATCAATTGAATCCATGGCTCAGGAAGCTTGAAATCGGGCTTCTCTTCTGGATATTGAAAGTATTTGTTATGTGTTAAGAGACGAACCAGTTGCCCAAAAGGGGCATCTCGAATATAGGCTGTCATTGGTTCGATTGCTTCGAGGTGGGTCTTTGACTGACAAATCCACTCGCGGACTATTAATCTTTTCGATCTGATGGGAAGAAAGTGAAGCTGTTTGGATATAGAAGAGCTATTGAGGTATGTCATGGTCTATATATGTCTGCAACTCAAGGTTTTTTATCCTCCATCCTTTCGTTATGTTTCTGCGTCAAGCCTCACCTAAGTCCGAGCTTGAAACCGAAAAGTTATTATAAATCCGTAGCTGAGAGAGTAAAGTTCTTACATATGCCAATGTGACCAATGAGAATCCGTCGATATCCTTCAGATTATGAATCATCGGGGGCTCTTTCCAAGGCTCTTCCAATCGATGGCGTTTTTTCTAGAACTGTCATTGGCCCCCAATTTACCGTTGATGAGAATCTACCCGACTCCGAGCAGCCCTACAGGATGACAAACGACCTAACGTTATGTTTCGGAGGCCGAGCGCGAAAATCTCCATCAATACGAGCAAACTCACCATAGATGAATGTGTGTGAGACCCACTCAATCCCATGGACGACTAAAAAGTTGATTACATGCATTGCCTACCATGCAGACATCACGTCAGGGCCTTCCATGGGCGCGATGGTGAATCTGAGGTTTTCTTGGCGGAGGCTGAATCCGGCGATAAGATCGTATCCCCGTCTAAGCTTGAATCTAGATTGCTAAGTTTTAATGAAGATTATATTCGAAGGATCTTAGCGGAATTTATTTTCCTGGTCTACTAGTATGAATCCATGACGCTAAGAACCCCCACCCCAATGAGTCAAATAGGCCAAGACCTTCAGAGGTCCGTATAGAGTGGATTTTTGCGGATGGATATTCTAATCAAAAACTTAAAAATTATTTACCATTTCTACTATAATGTGAAGCCAGAGAATGTCAGAACCAACTAGAATCCAGCTGACAATAGTATTTCGATGATAGTCCGGAGCCTGGCAGCCCAGCCCACTTCTAGTATTTGCAGTTCGATAGCGCTGGGGTTCTTTCGATCGGACTTCACACTAGTACTACCTAGCCCTGGAGGTAGTCGCTGTTCATGCAGATATCTGGCTATCCACTTTTTACAAACAACTCTCAATTTCCAGTAGCCATTTGCATCATTAATTCCGACGTTGGCCCATTCGCGTTGAAAGCTATCGACCGAGATATCATGATAATTCTTTTGATGTGTGCTATCCAGTCGGATGTAGTCTATTTGGTCAGTGGATACCGTTGGCAACGCTATTGGAGGGGAGAAGGAAATCCTTCTTGAGGGCCTCGAAGGCGGAGGAGGTCCAGACAAGAAAACGACCAACTTGACCACTAGTGTGAGCTGGAGGTTCAAGGCGAGGACAGGTTTCCGGAGTATCACTGTCAGTTAGCTGTATAACTAGTATTGCTTCTTACGTATTTAGTATCGTGATTTTTTTTTAAAAAAAATCAATTCAAATATTTCGTGAAAACAAATCAAACAAACGTGAATCCTAACATTCTGGCAAACTTCATAATAACATCTCTGTCTGCTCATCATAGGCAGCCTTCGCCGACGAAGAGAATTTTAAAAGCAGATCCCTACTTTGTCGATCAGTTTCCTCAAAGTTTTCCGGTCCGTCTCATTCATCTCGTTCAAAGATTTCTGTACCCATATATCCGCCTTCTCTTTGAGCAACTCCCAGACATCTTTCGAGTCCGAAAGCTGCGTTTGCAGAAAGTGGCACACAAGACAGGTAGCAAGAATTTCCTTCCAGACAGGCAGACTCCAAATATCAGAATTGTCCCCAGCCAAGTCCTTACACTGCAGTTTCGCTTTCACGCTTTCTGCTTCGAGACCAAGTGCCTGGAGAAGTTCACTGTGCCAATCCCAGTAACCGTCAAATGTTTGCATTGATATGAGTGCATGCAATCCAGAGGAATCATCCGTGGGATGTGGTTTCAACATTTCTTCCTCTACATCATCTTCTTCGCAGTCTGGGATAGCCGCTTGGCGCCACATTCTTTTTTTCATTTTCATTTTCCTTGCTGGTCGTGGGGCTGGTCGTGGGGCTGAAAACTCTTCATTCACGATCTCTTGTTCACTTGATCCATCAAAAAGAGCAAACCCCATGTTTTGATCTGATTCACCTTCGGGGCAATATGCGGGTGACAAAGCGGCAAAGACAGGCGGAGCGCTGGCAGCAAGAGGCCTTTCTGCATCGCACATATCGAAGTCCGAAATTTCAAGACTGTTATCCAGTTTTGAATCCTCATCCCTGCTAGGGCCCCAGAGGAGACCCGACCTACACTTTTGTCCTCGGAATGATGGGGGTCCTGGACTGCGACAAAGGAGCAGTGCTTTCCCGCAATTTGGAAGCGCACCCCAAGTCTCTCACATTCATTTTGAACCAGCTCCTCGACCCGGCTTTCCCATTTGCTTGTGACCAGAGCCCCGTCAACATCCTTGGTAGCATGGATCCAACCATGTCCTTCCTCAAGTTCGCCCATCGCCCTTTTGGCTGCCAGCTGGTGAATGGTTTCGCCGTTTCCAATGTCTTGGACCGGAATATCTAGTTCCAATGGACCATGGTCGCTTTTTGCACTGAGTCTGATTGTCTTTGGAAAGGAAGGGATGTCACCAGAGAAGAGAATATAGACCGTGGATCGAATGAATGGGAAAAGTGTAGGTAAATCAACAGGTGCTTGAATGATACTCGGAGTAGTGAATTTTGGAAGAGGTAGGTGCACATCTTCAACCTTGTCAGATTCTTCGTATTTGTCGTCAAATAAATTGATCGGCTTGTTAGTTCCTTCTGCCAGATCGTCCTTAAGGTGTTCTCCAGTCGGTTCGACCACCATAAAGTCTTCGCCTTCAAGATCTGGTAAGTTCATGTTCAAGGTGGCATCGGTCACGCGCGCCATCAATGCACCCTTTAGCATTCGCACAACTGTTTTGTTTAGCTCTTCATAGTTCTGGACCGACTGGGAGAAGCCCATGCCCGCTCGAGAAATTCCACCGATAAGCGAATGGGAAACACCATTTCCAATACCTAATGTGAAAAAACGTGCCGAACTTTCCTTCACGGCCTTTCCCACAAAATCAAAAACATCGTTCTGGTTCCAAACTTCCCCGTCTGTCAGAAGGAGGACTTCGGGGACCTTGTCCTGGTAACGGTTGGCCACGGCAGTCCGGAGGGCATTCAAGATCTCAGTCCCACCCATATCGGCTTTGATTTTCTTTGTGTATTTCAGAGCTTCCTCCAAGTTTTCCCGATCACAGATTTTGCTTCGCGGCCACAGCGAAGTGCTCCCGCTCCCAAATGACACGATATTGAAATGGATACCAATGGGGAGGGACTTGAGGAACACTTCGAGCGCCAATCGGAGGGTTCGAATTTTGTCCACCATACTGCCACTGCGGTCAATCACAAAGATAATCTCAGAAGCACTCTGGGGCAAGCCAAATTTCGGAATCAGAGAGACCATCAATGCTCGCTGATTTGGCAGCACCGGGTGTGTCTCCAGAAAAGCAGAGGGAAGATCTTGCTGACTTGACGTGACTGTCAGAACAAAATCCTCTTGGATTACCACATTCTCCTGGAGTTTGACAGAGGCATAGCACGATTTGGAAGTAGTTTCTGGCATGGTCGATATCCGGCCGATACTTACCTCGATAGGATGAGTTGGCGACCGAATATTGCGAATATTAGAGTCACTTTCCGTAACCACATCAACTTTAATCGCCGTCTTGACAGTAATACCCTCGGGCGCGCTAGGTCTCTGGTCGTCATTCCGAGTACCGTATCGTGGGGCGATCGTAATCGGGACTGTGTATCGAATTCCATCGGTCTGGACATCTTGCTTGGATTCCTGAACTAGGATGATATCGATGTGAACCACCTCTCCAGCAGGGACATTTCCTAGGCGAGTTTTGAAGACATCGGCTGCATCGGAGGATTGATCGAAAATTGCAGCGGTTTGTCCCTTCGACTTGGCTTCCTGATAGACCTCCTCGGCCTTCCTTTTCGGTTTGACTTGTCCACGGATCACTTCATTGCCAACGCGACAGGTGAACCCAACGATGCTGGCGCCATCATAGAGGGGGAAGGAATAGAAAAGCTCTGGGATGGATTCCGTGTTAGATGGATTAATATAGGTTTGGGTGATGGTCGTTCGAGTGTTGCTAGAGAGTACATGCGCATGGATATCGAGCCCCACCTGAGGGAGGTAGCTCGTCACAAAGCGATTCTCTCTCAGGTGGCGATAGAAGCAGCCGTAGGACGACATTATGAATTTCTTGGATACCAAAGAAGTTGGAAAATTCAGATGAAGTAGAGCTTCGCGTGGGAAAGCTCGATGTTTTTATATGCATGTTTCCCTCGGTTGAGGCTCAGAGATTTGCGGGTGAGAAGATGATCCATCTTGACGCACTGATGGCAGTCCACTCAAAGGTTCAAATGAGACTCAGATTCTTTACCGAGAGCTACTAGTATTGGCTGATGCTAGTCTCGGAGGTTGAAATGAGGAGACAATTCTCCGTGTATCTCGAGAAACCCCGCCGCGGTTGCCTTGGCCGCCCCGTAAACATACACAGCTGGTTGAATGACCGAGCGCAGGATTGTTCGTCTAAAGTATGACTCAAACGTGCATACAATTTTGCCAGTGCGAGGGTGGCTAGATAGTGGCTTCATGTTTTGACTCATTTTCTATTTTCTAGGCAGCAGTCTAGTAGAGGCTGCGAGGAGACTTGAATTCAGAATCGGACGAGCGCGTCACTAACTGGGTACTACTACCTGCAGCTCGCCCTCGGCTTTTGTATGTTCAAATTTAAGCAATGATTTTTCTCGACTGTGCGACCGGTCTGATGGATGTGATGTGATGTGATGAGACAACGTCATTGGGTGCCGAGCCTGAGACGCTAAAATTCAGCCCCCACCTTTTGCACAAGAGAGGCCCCCTCATTTCTGCAGTCGGACATCACCTCAGCCTCATAATATCACTGCTTAGCCGACTCGCCTAATTCTACCTGCTTGACGCGAACCCGTTGGCTAGAATGGTAAAGAGAGGTGGCATTCCTTGGCAGTCCAAAGGCTGCTGGACTTGCAAAAAACGCAGAATCAAGGTTGGGGCAAACAAAGGGGTTCAATCATTATCCACGCTAATAGTACCTCGGTAATCAGTGTGACCAAGGGAAACCAGAATGTAATCGTTGTATCAAACGTGGGATCCAGTGCCTTGGATACGAAAAACACGGTATCTTTGTCCATTATGCTGCTGCTACTGGACTAGATGGGAACCCAGAATCAAGCGGGCAGGTTGAGCGCATTCCTCGTGCACAGTACTTTTCATCTATAAATACCGTGGCTAGCGGACCAATGTTGCGCCAGCAGTTCATTTCGGAGTATTTACATGGCTACTTCCCTACAAAAATGGCTGTATCGGATGTCGATATGTGGCATTATCTTTTGCAGGGATTTGCGGGGCTCCCGAATAAAACCGAAATGCTGGACATGACTCTTTCGGCAATCACCTGTCTTTATATGGGTAAAGCTCGCAAAGATGATCGCATGTCCAAACATGGGCTCCAGCTTTACAATGGCGCGATACGACACCTATCGAACATGATCTCACGAGATGTTTTCAGTGAGGATATCGTGTATACCGCGGTCCTTTTCCAAGAAATAGAGGTATTGAGTCTCTTTAAATTGCTTAATTAGCCCCCCCTCCCCATCCCTTGCAAATTAAAGCTAATACTGGACCTATCTCTAAGAGTTCTTATTGCCCCAATGGCCTTGGGTCGTGGCTAGCACATATTAATGGCTTGAACACAATTATGAAGCATTATCGTCAAAGAACGGTTCACAATCCCCTCATCGGACCTATATATCAAAGATATCAAAAGTTGCGAATGGTAGGTCACTTCCAAGCACTCACCGAATGACCCCTTGGTAATGATGATACATACTAAGTGTCCGACCTATAGATACAATCATCATCTGCGAGGGGCCTGCTTCCGGACGAATACAAATTCCTGACAGAAACTACCGACGGGACTCCCTTTTGCGACTTACTGGGAATCTTTGCAGAACTATCCCCTATTGTGACAAAGCTGCAGTCTATCGACCCGTCCGACTATGATGCGTGTCAAGATCTGTTACAGCACTGTCTGCGAACGAAGAAACGCTTTGCCTCCTGGTATGTGGATCATCGTTTGGCAGATGGAATTACCAAAGATCCTCCTGGCGAATTTCTCAGTTCAGACACACCTGACGCTGAAAATTTATTCGGAACCCCGTTAAGCTTCCGAAATTTCGACTACATCTTGTTGCATCTTCATTACTGGGCAGGGCCGTGTCTCCTCTACCCATCGATATTCCATGCCAGAAAACTCGTCTACGCACATCCCAAAAGCAATATCCCTGACGATATCCTCAACAAAGCTCTTGATCCGCTACAGAATGAGGAATATTTGGAAGCGAGCCAGTGTGCGGATGAGATATGTCGTACCATGCGATACTGCACTCGGGATAATATGAAGCTTGCAGGGTACCACATGACCATGTTCCCCTTGTGCGCGGCTTCTCAGATCTATACCAACTTCGAAAACCTGGAGAAGTTTTCTTGGTGCATTAAGATCGTGGAGAGCGCTGCTGCTCGGGGCCATGAGACTGCCCATTACATAGTAGATATCTCCTGGCATACTTGGCGCGTCAAAAACCAGTGCGGGCCAATGACTTCTGTGGCACTTCGAGAAATCGTCCCGGAAAGAGTATCAGGGAAGCGTCCTGAAAAGACATTAGATGTGACTGGGGAAGCATAGTCTCAGGATGTCCCAGGAATTGCAGTTCTAAAGCGATTAAGCAGTACATGAATAACGACAACTACACCAAGGTTCAAGCTCGCTGTGTGGAGCTTCGACCGAGTCGAAGGCCGATACTACCAGTACCATAAATAGTTAATCAGAGGCGTTAATGGCATTGCCTTCCAAGAGATTGATCTTTATCACCTAGAGTCGGCTTTCTTCAAAGGCAGGGTATCCATAGATATTTTTGGAATAGATTTTTGAATGCTATGTCGTTACTCATGCAGTACCTTGACCATCGAAAAGTTTTATCCCATCAACATCGCCGCTCAACGCCACGCTTGCTCACACAGAGGTACTTGACACCCTTGTATGGCTTCACGCTCTCCCCAAGACCACGACTCCTTCGTTGGTCGATGTTTAGACTGTCCACTTTGATCCCAGAGGGTAGCCATCCTTGCACTGAAAATGAGACCGAGGCGGAGTTCGGCATGAGGCTTGCATTAATTTGAGCCTTGGTCCGACGAGATGTCGATCGGGGCGTGGTAGAAGGTGTAAAGAATGAAGGGAGTGAAGAGGAGGATGGCGGGACGGATTGGGATTGTGGAATTGGGGTATGGGGTTTTGAGTGATTCGGAGAGGGTGTTTTGGCTTTCGTCGATGGTTCCATCAAGTCCTCTGCTAGTACATCGCCGGCTTCTTCAGATAATGCGGCCGCAGCCTTGGACGATTTCTTAGTCGACTTCTTCTTTTTCTTCTTTGGTTTCGAAGGGTCTCGAATCTTCCTGGGCTTGCCTGCAGATGGGTCATTGTAAGAAGTAGGGGCTTCATAATAACCCTGAAGAAGATTCGCATTGGCTTCCTCATCGGCATCTTCAGGGCCATCTTCTAACTCTTCATCAACCGAGGGATAGCCTGCAACAGTGCAACGCAGAGTTGCAGTTCCTGATAAAGAGCCGGCCTCCTTGCCGGTCGGAACTCTCCATTCCAGTAAACCGGTGCTAGGGGAGTATTGCGCGTCCCCACGGCTAGCTTGCATGTCTGTGATGTGCCGCACGGATTTGGAGATAGGGACGCTCACAACAAGTTCTTCCAAGGTAGGCCCCGTTGAGTTCCCACCTCCGCCAAGGAAAGAGGGTGTCGATGTCCCGGAACCACTGCGTGAAGCAGCCGGGCGTGCCGACGAGGTTTGGCCGGGGAAGTTTGTATTGAGAGTCAGTCGAACTTCAAAGTCAGACCCAGTTGAGCCTAATGATTTCCGAATATCAACAATGGCAGGTAGGAAAAGTTTCTCCATATGGCTCGGTGCTTGATCAAGATCTGGGTCAATTGGAAGAAGATCGACCTCGTATCCCGCCAAGATAAACCGGCCATCTGGTGGCACGAAACTGAGTTCCCCTGGTCGTTCCCGCCAACGAGCCAGTCGAACACAGGGATGAAATACTGGCAGTTCGATCTTGCGAGCAAGTGCCTGTTGCCCACCTGGGGCTGATAATGAAAGGTGCAGGTCTGGCACTCCCGATATCTTTGCGGTGAATGCAATAGTCCCGGAGACCAACGCGGAAAGTAACCGTCCCGACGGTGCCATAGTTACGGAGAGGGATTCGATAATGTCGACATAGAGCTCGTTTGATGTGTGGCGCACACCGGGTCGTCGCCATGGAATCGCAGGGCCTTGAGCTGCGTTTGCCGCTGCTAACGACTGTTTCAGAGGATTGTTCGCTGCTAGAGTGGGCGTACTTGTTCTAAAAATGACACCGAAAAGGATGAGCAATGACACCTTCAATTCAAGCTCGGGGCAAACCACTTACCCAGGCACACTGATTCCCCCGAGTAGCTTCCCCATCCATCCGGGTACCTCGACAACTTCTTGCAAGGCATTGAGCTCGGTGTTAGACACTATACCTCCATCGCACATCTCATGGAGAAGTTGAGCAACCACATCGTAATTTGCCTGGATCTTCGTTGAAAGCAGCGGGGCGCCTACGAATTCCTCAAGAACGTCCACGACGCGGTGCAGGAATTCCAACACCAAAAGCGGTTCCGTATCCACCTCGGTCACAGCCAGAAACAATAAATTGGATTGAACTATTGAAAACAATGTCACCGGTGGAGTAGTACCGGGGAGGTACAGCAAGGATGGCCGGGGGGCGGCGTGGGCGAGGTAGAGGGGCAGGATAGCCGCGGCGGAGGGTGGGCGCGATCTGTAGACATGCTCGACCAGAGGGGCACTGGGTCGGTTAGTATGGTTCTTCTCGGCTGAGGGTATTGTGTGCCATACTTGTGTTCGTCATATACGTAGACCGCATCGATCTCGCCGCTCATGATGACTGTTGTCTAGGCCAAACTGTACTGAAGTTGTATAGCTGTATATCAGCTGCCGATTTTGCCGCATACTCCCGCCTTCGATTACTCTCGGCGTAGCGCGGCGCGCGATATTCCTGTGGACATCTCCCGGCTTTCAGGCTCTTGGTTCGAGGAGAAATTATTGCTCCTTCTTTATCGTGGCTTTGTCTGGAAAAATTCGAGCCAACTAGAAATGGCCCCACCTGATAATCGCCCCTGGGATGTCCAGCCTAGCGATGCCAAACAAGCGCTTGCAGCGGACAAATATGAAGATTGCATGTCTTGCAAAGTGATGGGTACGTCTCTGCCTTATGCTCTAGGATATGCCGAGAAAGGAAACTATTACGCATTGGACACATTTTCTGATACCACTTTGTTAGGCTCTGGTGCATTCATCGGCTTGGGCGTTTACAGTTACTATACTGGGATGAACAATCTCCGGCAGCAGGAGAAAATGATCATGCAGAGCGCTACTAAATACAAGATGGGCTCACGTCGACTGGGAATAGCCACAATATCCGCTACCATGATTGGCGCAGGAGTCTGGCGCGCCTTCAACTGATAATTCTATATATCGAGGGTTGACCCGGAGCATGCTTCGGAACCAGTCGCGGACGACAAGCAGAAAGATAACATCATGATGAGTTACTTCGAAGAATCCAAAGCGGTGACAAGTGTCTAATGATGAAATACCAAGGAGATGTTTTCTTGGGAATTTGTACTATATGTATTTGTTGTACTATCACAACCTAATGATAGCTGCCATACGGGTATCACCACCAATCCTCTATATGCTGCATGACATGATCAAATAGGTATGGCGAGGAAGAGAATGCATCGAAGTGGTAAAAAAAGAAGACAGAGAAAAGAAAAGTGAGAGAAAAAGAGAAAAAAGAAAGAAGAAAAAAAAAAACCAAATAAGCCCGGACAATGCAACGAAATCATATGCAAGAATTCTCCTCCCTAGTGTGCACCTGAAAATAGCACCCCGGAATCAACCCAACCGTTTCGTGACAATCGGAACGGAATATTCGTCACTTCATCAACATCATATAGTCCAGCGAGTAGCTTTAATTAAACCGTCCACGTTTGCCTCCGCCAAACGCATCCTTCCCATTCGCCATTCCGGACAAGTCAAAGAAATCCGGGACTGTAAACTTTCGCTTTGATCCCAAAGTGGCCGGTGACTCTCTTGTAGTTGATCGTGCATTCGCTCGGGGTAAATTATTGTGACGATGGGATTGGCGGGAGTTGCGTGGCATCATAGATAAATTGATAGGCGCGCCATCCTGTGACGGCGGGGTAGAGTTGTCTGATGAGGGGGTGTCCATATCGAGATCTTGGTATTGCGGGAATGTCGGTCCGGCTGTGAAGGTGAAAACAGCAGGAGAGGTGTTGACAGGCTCTTGAGGTTGGGGTTGAGGCGTAGCGGCTGCGGTTTCCGGACGAGGGGTTGAAGGAGGTGCGGAGGCAGGCGGCTGTCGGGTGGGAGCTTCAGATGTCGGAGGTTCTTTGCGGGCAGTTGTGGGCGTTGAGCTTCGATCACGTTTTTCGGTGTCGCCTCGCTCCTCCTCATCACCTGTTTGGGACGCAGTTCCATCACACTTCTCGGTTGCCCATTGTCGGACCTTCCACCCCTCACCATCGCCGAGGCCGAGGTTCTCGCGGTCGAGGAAGTGTAGTAGATCCTCTATGGCCTCTTGATATCCCGCTTGCTTCGCTTGTGCTTGTTCATACACTGCATTCTTATAAAGATTGGTGACAGATAAAGCAGCGGCCTTGAAAGACTGGAGGAGTTGCTCTGGCGGCTGAGGGCGGGGTGTGGAGCTCGGCAAGGAGGTGTTCAACGATCTCATAGAATCCATAGCGAGGATGGTTGGACGTGAGACACCGAGAGAGGAGCGTGTATCGAGGAGAGGAGCTGTCGTAGCTTTTGCTATCCCAATCTGACCAAGTGTGTTTGGGCGACCAGTCAAAGGCTAAATAATTTTTTGCACGAGTATGGGTCTCAAACAAAGCCAGACCACGTATAAGACACAGAATAATAGGTGCTGAGCAAATTCAAAGGAACGTAAGAGAATCCAGCGGATGGCAACAGCCAGGTGGTCCAGAGCGAGTGATAGCAGGAGCGCAATGTAGTGACTCTTGGGGAACTAAAAGCCAGTACCCGAATGGCTGCAGGTGATCCTTCGCCGCTCCTCTGCACAGACCGATTTTCTCACTGGTGCCCCCGGTAACGTGACCCCACTTTGATTCTGCCGGGTTCTGCCACTTATTACCGGACTCCCGGGGAAACTCAGCCTCCGAATCGCCGATGCTGAGCTAAGATGTAAGCCAATCAGCGCGTGACGGGTGCTTGGCCGCGCCTTCCTTATTCTTCGGCGCGACTTCTCGTGCGCTTGCGCTTCTGCTTCCACCAACCTTCCAATCGACCGTCTTCTCACGGCGGACCTTTGCCATTTGCAGTTTCTCGTTCCAACACGAGTTTATTATCCTGGTCCATCTCAGTTTTCCTGCTACCTTGTCCGGTCAAGGTCGTCCAGCTTCGAGGCTTTTCACAGGAGCTACACGCTCAGAGGTGAATCCAGACGTACCTTCCTCGACATTGACTTGCGCAAAGTGCGCACGGCATATAAGATGGCACCCGCCGCCACAGGCTCCCCTTTACAGGCGGATACCCCTATGACTGACGCAAATGACGACGTTATCCCATCGGTTCCAGTGGACGCTCTAACAGTATGTGATTCTGTGTTTCAATCCCACCTTTCCAAGGCAATCGTCGCATTCTTTATTCTGCGTCCCGGTTTGATGGGTAGTTTTCTTTCTCCTGCTCCTTCTAACAATAGTCTCCCGTGCAGAGTCACCAAGACACTCCAGACTACACGGTAAAATATTTCGAGGTTTTCCTGACTATAGCGAACCCACGAACTGACGGCATGCCCCAATAGGATTCCGATACCAACCCCAATACAACAGCGAGCAGCGTTGCGGGCGACGCTCTAGAGGATGGACGAAGACGCCGTTCTGAGGCTACTCAACTTCGAAAGAGCATTCTGGGCAAGAAGCATGGCCGCCTGGATGAATCCAAGGTATGTCCCGCAGGAAATTTGGGAACCCTTCGCCCTCATGAATGGATAGTGATCGCTCATTATTTCAATAGGAGGATGATTCTATTCGCCGATTCCGATACCTCTTGGGCTTAACCGACTTGTTCCGCCACTTCATCGAGACCAACCCGAACCCGCAAATCAAGGAGATCATGGCTGAGATTGACCGACAGAATGCGGAACAGGAAGCCAAGGCTCGCAAGGGGTCCGCACGCTCAGGTGGTGCAGGTGGCGATAGGCGCCGTAGGACCGAGCAAGAAGAGGACGCCGAACTTCTTCAGGACGAGCGCGCCGGAGGTGAAACTACAACAGTTTTCCGCGAATCTCCCGCCTTTATCCACGGTCAACTTCGTGATTATCAGATTGCAGGCTTGAATTGGCTTGTCTCACTGCACGAGAACGGTATTTCCGGTATTCTGGCTGATGAAATGGGTCTTGGAAAGACCCTGCAAACCATCTCGTTTTTGGGCTACCTAAGATACGTTTGTAACATCCCTGGTCCTCACCTTGTCACTGTACCCAAATCGACTTTAGACAACTGGAAGCGAGAGTTTGCCAGGTGGACACCCGACATCGACGTTTTGGTACTTCACGGTGACAAGGAGGAACGGCAACGCATCATTACCGAGCGCCTGGCCGACGAAAGTTTTGATGTTTGCATTACCAGCTACGAAATGATTCTCAGGGAAAAATCCGCCCTGAAGAAGTTGCCATGGGAGTACATCATTATCGATGAGGCTCACCGTATCAAGAACGAGGAGTCATCGCTATCCCAGATCATCCGTCTCTTCAACTCTCGCAATCGTCTTTTGATTACCGGTACCCCTTTGCAAAACAATCTGCATGAATTGTGGGCTCTGCTCAACTTCTTACTCCCTGATGTTTTCGGTGACTCAGACGCATTCGACCAATGGTTCTCAACCCAAGGCTCTGATCAGGATACTGTCGTCCAACAGCTTCACCGTGTCCTCCGCCCGTTTTTACTGAGACGTGTCAAGAGTGATGTGGAGAAGAGTCTCTTGCCGAAGAAGGAAATGAATCTTTACGTGCCTATGTCAGACATGCAAGTCAAATGGTACCAGAAGATCTTGGAGAAGGATATCGATGCTGTGAACGGCGCGGCGGGCAAGCGCGAATCCAAGACTCGTCTGCTTAACATTGTCATGCAATTGCGGAAGTGCTGCAATCATCCCTATCTCTTTGAGGGAGCTGAGCCTGGCCCGCCATATACAACCGATGAACACCTTGTCTTTAACTCTGGCAAGATGGCCATCTTGGACAAACTGCTGAAACGTATGCAGGTTGATGGTAGTCGAGTTCTCATCTTCTCTCAGATGAGTCGTGTTCTGGATATTTTGGAAGATTACTGTGTGTTCCGAGATTTTAACTATTGCCGCATTGATGGTACAACGGCCCATGAGGATCGCATTGCTGCTATTGACGACTACAACAAGCCTGGCTCCGACAAGTTCATTTTCCTGCTCACTACTCGAGCAGGTGGCCTGGGTATTAACCTTACCTCTGCCGACATCGTCGTCCTTTTCGATAGTGATTGGAACCCCCAGGCTGATCTTCAGGCTATGGATCGTGCACACCGAATTGGTCAAACTAAGCAGGTCAAGGTGTTCCGTTTCGTCACTGAGAATGCCATAGAAGAAAAGGTTCTCGAACGTGCCGCGCAAAAATTGCGTCTTGATCAACTCGTCATCCAACAAGGTCGCGCTCAGCAATCGGGCAAGGCTGCTTCAAAGGACGATCTTCTTGGAATGATCCAGCACGGCGCTGCTAATGTATTCAATAACAGAGGCGATGATTCTGGTAAACCGGATGAACTCTCTGATGATATTGAGGCTATCTTGGCAAAGGGTGAGACGAGAACAGCCGAGTTGAACAAGAAGTACGAAAAGCTTGGCATTGATGATCTTCAAAAGTTCAGCTCCGAGAGCGCATACGAATGGAACGGACAGAATTTCACTGCACCAAAGAAGGATATCGGCATGACTTGGATCAACCCAGCCAAGCGCGAGCGCAAGGAACAGTTCTACTCCATCGACAAATATTACCGTCAGGCCTTGGCAACCGGTGGCCGAACGGCCGACACGAAGCCCAAAGTACCCCGAGCGCCTAAGCAGATCAGTGTTCATGATTGGCAATTCTTCCCTCCAGGCCTGCAGGAGTTGCAGGAGAAGGAGACTGCCTATTTCCACAAAGAGATCGGATACAAGGCTCAGCTCCCCGAAGGGCCAGAGGAAGAACTAAGTGAACGAGAAGCCGAACGGGATCTGGAACAACAAGAGATCGACAATGCCCAGCCTCTTACTGAGGAGGAGCAGACTGAGAAGTCTCAGATGTCCGAAGAAGGATTTTCTCACTGGAATCGTCGCGACTTCCAACAATTTGTCAACGGCTCCGCCAAATTCGGACGCACTGACTACGTAGGCATCGCGACTGAGATCGATAGCAAAGAGCCAGATGAGATTGAAGAGTACGCCGAAGTTTTCTGGCGTCGGTATACCGAAATTCAGGATTACCCAAAGTACCTTCGCGTCATCGATCAGGGCGAGGAGAAGCTGCGCAAAATGAATCACCAGCGCAAGATGCTCCGCAAGAAGATGGAGATGTACCGCGTGCCCCTGCAGCAACTCAAGATCAACTATACTGTGTCCACAACCAATAAAAAGGTTTATACCGAGGAGGAGGACCGTTTCCTCCTCGTTATGCTCGACAAATATGGCGTCGAAGGAGATGGACTCTACGAAAAAATCCGGGACGAGGTTCGCGATTCGCCTCTTTTCCGCTTCGACTGGTTCTTCCTCAGCCGTACTCCGGTGGAGATCGGTCGGCGTTGCACAACCCTCCTCAATACCATCGCAAAGGAGTTTGAGCCCGAGGGTAAGCCTAATGGGGAGGGCAAAGGTCGCGGTCGGGACCGGGATGAAGACGAGGAGAACGATGACGCGGTCCAGCCTGCTAAAAAGCGGGCCAAGAATGGCGCCACAGTAAGTTCGATTCAAGGAACCACCAATAGCTTTCGGCATACTAATCTCGCTGTAGGCTAAACAAGTCAAGCAGACCAAGGCTGCTAGCAAGACTGCCTCGGCTTCAACCTCAAGAGCAGCCAGCGTCTCAACTGCGCCCAAGACAAAGGGTCGAAAGAAATGAGGTAGTTTTACACGTGTTATTTGTCAACAATAGTTTGCTATCCCAGGGAGGTGCTGTGGGTTTGGGAACGGAGATCGGCGTTAGCAGGTGATTTTTTCTACGCTCTGTAATGGCAAATCAAATAGAAATGTTTTTATCCCATGGTGATTTGAACCTGCAATATTTGTCCTGTGCCCCTGCATCGTGAGCGCCATCCCCGCCCGGCTGATACACTCGGAGTGCCGATCGGCGTCCCCGATGCTACATTGATCGTTAGTAGACTACTTAACACACGCTAATCTTCCTGTCAGGTGTGATGACGAAAGAAACACTTCACAACAGGGCATCCAACGGGCAGGGGTCCTATCATTGCCATATAAATGCCCACGATGGTTTCCATGATCGAAGCCACCGACCCCAGTGGCCCCATAAAATCATACTATACCTGATACTTGAGGTAGACCAAATTGTGACTAGGTAGAAAACTGCCAGTGGATATATAGCAAGCGCTACTATTCAGAATGTCTGTTATCAAATTCCTCAAATCCAAATTAACTCGTCAATCTCGCCAGTCCGCGGTCATGTCAACATCTAGGATCAGGGCCGTTCCCAACCCCCGCTATCAAAAGTCGGGAACGAAGTCCTATGTCTATGCGATGCGCAAGTATGGCTTCAACCCAACCAAGCAAGGCCCCTACTTTATTGGTACGACGATGCAACAAACTGGTCGGCAGTTCACCAACAAGCCGGTCGGTGGTCGGGCTCATGTCCGCCAGGTGCTGCAGAAAAAGAGTGCCGATGACCAAGTCGGCCAGGTTGGAGCCGATGACGTGCAGAATGATGCTATGTACTTAGCAGAGGTTGAAATCGGGACACCATCACAGAAATTGAATCTGGACTTTGATACTGGGTCTGCGGATCTTTGGGTGAGCTTGATCCTGATCTACATGCTGAGTGTGGAGGCGCCGGCCTATTCAAAACTGACAAATGTGAAAGGTATGGTCGACAGAATTGCCATCTGTCACTCTGGCCCAGTATAAGGATCATACCGTCTTTGACCCGAGCAAATCTAGCTCTTTCAAGAATAAGGATGGTTCAACATGGAAAATTTCTTATGGCGATGGGTCCTCCGCAGCTGGAACAGTGGGCAACGATGATGTGAACATCGGTGGCGTTGTAGTGAACGGGCAGGCCATTGAGCTAGCGGATACACTATCGGCACAATTTGCGAGTGGTGCAGGGGATGGACTTTTAGGCCTTGCGTTTAGTAACATCAATACCGTGCAACCGAAAGCAGTAGCTACGCCCGTGGAAAACATGATCACCCAGTCGGATATCGCGAAGTCTAGTGCACTCTTCACTGCAAAATTGGGCTCGTGGCGAGATGCAAATGAACCAGATAAAGGGGCGTCATTCTACACATTTGGTTTTATTGATCAGGACACCGTGAAAGAGGCTGGCGAGGATATCTACTACACGCCGGTCGATAAGAGCCAAGGCTTCTGGATGTTCGACTCAGCTTCAGCCACGGTCAACGGTAAGTCCATTTCTCGATCTGGCAACAAGGCTATCGCAGATACTGGTACGACTCTGGCCTTGGTGGACGATGAAACTTGCAAGGCTATATATGATGCTATCGAGGGGGCCATCTACGATGAGGACAGCCAGGGGTATATCTACCCGGCTGATACTGCAGCTGATAAACTACCTGTCATATCGTTCGCTGTTGGCGACAAGCAGTTTGTTGTGCAGAAAGAAGATTTGGGATTTGCCCAGGCAAAGTCTGGTTATGTTTACGGTGGTATTCAAAGTCGTGGCTCGATGACTATGGACATACTAGGAGACACTTTTCTGAAGGCGATATATGCGGTAGGTCTCTCGCATTTCATTTTGTCGACTTCTTAAGTTACTACCATGTAGTACTAATTCAAACTTGCTACTATAGGTGTTTGATGTGGGCAATCTTCGATTCGGTGCCGTGCAGAGAAAAGAGCTCCACCAAAACCTTTCTACTCCACCTGAATGATCAGCATATCGAGCTCATGAATTACTTGCGGAATGATGCTGTTGATGGATTGTGATCATTTGGGAATCCTTCGCGGAAGAATTAGTGCCACAAGATGATGTCCAGTCTAGCTGGATGGTACAACTCTTTTTTCTATTGTAGATAATGATTGAAGCTTATACATTATGACATATCAATAACCACCTTCTGACCTGTCTTGCAATAGCCATTTTGTATCGCATCGTCCAATCTCAGTGTCTCAAAATCCCCCTCGGCGTGTGCTTGTAAGCTTCCTTGAACAATCCAAGAGTTTACAGATCGCAGGTATTCAGCTGTTTCCTCGATCGTACGGGCAGCCGAGTTGCATCCAAGCATCGTAATCTCCTTGCGATATGCTTGAAATATATCGAATGTAATCTTCTTGTTGACATCACCCCTAGGCGCTGCAATCCATGTATAACGTCCATTCATAGCCAACTGCTCCAGGGCAGCTGTCATTAAATCCAAGTCACCAACTGTGTCGATGACAGCATTCACACCCTTTCCAGCTGTCATTGCGGACACTCTCTCCGTGAGAATAGTTGCTGGGGTTTCTGAACCGATAACTATGTCGGGGTTGGAATCTGATCGTCTCGCGGCTGTCAAAACTTGTTTGCATCCGATTGCCCGGGCCATCTGTGAGGCCGCTGATCCCACAGCTCCATTTGCCCCAAGAACGAGAACCACGTCGTTTTTGGTCACCTGGGCTTTGGTTATACAGATGTATGCGGTTGTGAATGGAACGCCCACTGTTGCAGCCTGGAGAGATGATATTGTTGCGGGTTTCTCAACAAGCGCATCTTGGGGGATCAAGCAGTATTGCGCATGCGTTCCATCTATGTCAAAGCCAAGAGTCGAGCCACTAGTCCCGTATACACTCTTCCCGATCCACGAGCTCGATGCACCTGACTTGTCGGCAACATCCAAAACAACGCCAGAATAATCACGACCTGGGATGCGAGGATATGTGGTGTATGGAAAGAGACCCTGTGCATTCAGTCTATCCGATGGTTGAATGGAGGCATAGCTGATTCGGACAAGGGCATGGCCGGGCTTCAACTGCGGAATAGGTTGGAAGACTGTTGTGAGTTCTGGTGCCGAGCTTGCGGAAGCCCTTTCAAGGTGCAGTGCTCTCATATTTGTAGACATAATCTGGATGAGGTTTCAATGGGCGTGGTAAGGTTTTGATTAAATGGTCTGCTGGAGAGATGCTAGACGATCAATCTGTTGGAGGTGGGGTACTAGTAATATAGCTGGACGCCAGTTTCATATTATCAAAGGATAATTCTTCCGACTCCGATTATTTTCGTCTGAAACCACAATAGAAGCCGAGCGTTTGCATTCATGTCATCAGTACATTGTAAGAAAGTGTGCTTTGCTGGGCAAAAACATCCTATCCCATGCACTCGGCAATTGGCCGTCTCGGAAATTGCGATCGGGCCGTGCGGACCGCGCGGCCCACGCGGTCGGCTTAGGGTTATCAATCAATTCGGAGAATAGCGCCGACCGGAACAAGATCTTCAGGGTGATGCGAGTAGTGGAGCTTGGCCTGCCTGATTGATTTATTATTCCGGATTGTTTCATGTCTCCCGCGCGATAATAAACGTTCGTTCTCATGTGCACTGGAGTCCTAGTCTGTTCATAATGGCGATAAGCGCCTCCAGTACTGAAGAACGAGCAAACATGAGCCACGATCTAGGTAAGAAATGACCCAAATTTCTATCACGCTTGAAGTTTTCTAAGCTGCCTCGAGAATTTGCAGTGGAAAGCACGTCCAGCGACACGGTGGCTGTCAAAGCTCCCATGACCCCGGGCTCACAAAGCGACGACCCCGAAGCAAAAATCGATCAGCCAACTTTTGTTGGTCTACCTCAGAATCAATTCCACGAGGCAGCCTTCGTTTTCGTCGTTTGTTGCGCCCAGCTTATGACACAGGCTGGCCTGTCACTCTCAATCGCACCTCTCGAAATTATCAGTGCCAGCTTCAACACCACGCCTAAAGACCTTTCGTGGGCATCTGCTGGGTATAGCTTGACTGTTGGAACTTTCATTTTCGTTTCTGGCAGACTTGGTGATGTATATGGTCACCGGCTCTTATTTATTGTCGGCTTCTTATGGTTTGGAGTCTGGTCTATTGTAGGAGGATTCTCTGTATGGTCCAATCCGAGATTTTTCGACTGCTGCCGTGCATTCCAAGGCATTGGACCAGCCCTATTACTGCCGAATGCCGTTGCAATCTTTGGAAGATCATACCCCCCCTGGTCGCCGGAAGGGAATGGTATTCTGTCTTTTCGGTGCCGTTGCGCCGGGAGGATTTATCCTTGGCGCGACATTCTCTTCACTGCTTGCGGAGCGGGTTTGGTGGCCATGGGGTTACTGGATATTCGGTATTGCCTGTTTCATATTTGCAGTCCTTGGGTACCTTTCGATACCTTGTGTACCGCAGAAGAAGCCTCGTGAAGATCTTTCGACCTTTGAGCGACTTGACACATATGGTGCCATTACAGGTGTCTCGGGCCTTATCCTGATCAATTTTGCTTGGAACCAAGCCTCACTAGTTGGCTGGGGAGTCCCATACACTTATGTGCTGTTTATTGTTGGCATTTTGGTCATGGCTTTGTTTCTTTTCATTGAAAGTAAGGCTGCGTATCCACTTCTGCCTCGATCGGCACTTGTGGGCGAGGCTGGCTGGGTTCTGGGATGCATTGCTGCCGGATGGTCGAGCTTTGGCGTTGTGGTATTCTATTACTATAATATCCTTGAGGTCTTGGAGGGAAATAGTGGTTTGCTTGTGACTGCTAAATGGGCCGGCGCCTCTATATCGGGGGCGTGTGCTGCTGTGATCACCGGTCTTCTGCTTGGACGCGTTTCAGCGAGCATAATCATGTTCATTGCGATGATAGCCTTCTCTGCAGGTCAAGCCTTGCTGGCATCAATGCCGATCGGCCAGATATACTGGGCAAACGCCTTTGTTATCATGTTGATCACTCCATGGGGAATGTAAGTAGCTTTGGCAATCTTCCTCAATTTTGCACCGCTGACAATGAAGCAGGGATATGTCTTTTCCATCTGGAATTGTTATCCTGAGCAATGCGATGCCGCAGCAGGACCAGGGTGTTGCGGGGTCGCTTGTGAATACCGTCGTCAATTACTCGATTTCGATGGGACTGGGGTTTGCAGGTGTGGTTGAATATTATGTTGGCAATGATGGAGAAAATGTTCTCGTGGGTTACCGAGCTGCCTCATACATGGGTGTTGGACTCGCTGGCCTCGGTACAATCATCGCCACCTGTTTCATGATAGTAACTTGGCGAGACTCTAGGAAAGCTTCATCCTAGACACAATTGACATATGTCACCAGTGTGTGTTTAATCACGATGGGATATTAAAGTCAGTGCCAGTCGCCCATAGATAGTCCAAATCAAACGGCAGCTGGGCTGCCAGTAGAGGACTCAGCGATGCCATGTCTTGGGATAATTGATCCGCCCTCTGCGTAGTAGCAGCTTCTAGCGTCTCTGTCCCTATAATGTGTTCGAGTGTTTGAACACCCTTTCGTTTCTTATTCAGTGAGGCATGGACGAGCTGGCGAGCAGTTGAAAGGGCTTCCTTCGCCAAGTGGGTGTCCAGATGGCCAACGATGAACTCCAAAGTGTCCATGGCATCCACAAGTCTTTCACAGCTCGTTGGCGTATCCATAACAATCAGAGCGCATACGAACTGGAAGACTGATCCAATGACATTCCACCAAGGTTGGTTTTGGCTGACCAACTTTCTTGCTGCAGGCAAAGCTCCCATGCCAGCAGAAATGATTTTTTCATTGTGGCCATGGTGATATTTGGGATCTAAAACGCGAAGTCGACGGTAAATACCCAGTACAAGATCTGTCTGTAAGAGTACAAGGAAATCATGCTCGACAGCAGTTTTGGTGATCTTTTCAAGGGCTGTGAACAGTTCTTGGGCCACCACTGCCGTATCTTCTATGTGCTGGTTCGTAGGCAATGTAGCAACAAGACGGCACAGCTGTGGCGTCAAGTCTGATGCGCGACATTTGTAATCATCATTTTCAAGCACTCGTCGATTGATTGCTAAGATAGATCTTCCATACTCGAAAGCGACGAGAACATGAAGACAATTTGCTACTTGAGCAATCCGATTTATGATATTAAGAGCGGTCGGGGTCGGTGCATCATTTCCCCCAGATTGCATGGCCGATTCTGGCGCATGATGAAGACCAGTTGCTTCAACGAGATGCATGGTTGTGCAACTGGAGAGCCACGTCACGTGTGGTCTCCCTGTACAGCGAAGGTACAAAGTTCGTAGTATCCAGGCTGCGATTTGCTCGAGAGAAGGAAACCGGCTGATATCGGAGTCCTCTAGAATATTTTTTGCCTGCAAAGTGAGCCACATCTCCGTTTCTTGGTCCATTCGCTCCTTGAACAGAGATGCCAAGGCAATGACTCCGCAGATCATGGCCTCGAATACCAGGTCTTGCGGCTGTCCATGCCAGTGCATCTCGCATCGGGTGTAAAATGAATCCATGTCTAGAAACCCAAAAATAGGGTTGACTATGGCCGAGTAGACCTCAATCAAGCTTCTTGCAGTGTTCCATAAGACGCGCTCTGTCAGCTCCGAATGCACCGCACAAGGCGGCTCTTTCCGGATGCCGGTGTGGTACGCAAATGAATGTAGACGTGGAAGTTTCGTTGCTTGAAGCTCTAGTCCGACATAGAGGGGAAATGCAATAGATGAATATCTCCCCACGTAGCGAGCTTTGGAGGGTTCAAGCACACCGGGTAGGATAGAGGCGCTGGCATCTTGTTTTGGTGTGTCTGTTGAGTGGTCCACACGGGCAAGTTTCGGATCCCGTTGGTGTGCCAATTGATTTGGCGGGCTTGCGCGTTTTCGGGGTGCAATTTGAGATGCTTCATCATATTGACACACGTACTCGTATCCTTCGCAAATATTGCAAGGTAGTTTACCGTCACACTTTCTCTTGCGGCGTCGACATGGCAGACAAGCTTGCCTCGAGCGTTGTCGTGCTGTACCGGGAGTTAATGTCGATTCGCTCCGTGATGAGTTAGGTGCAGAGTTAGATGACATCTCAGGATGTTGAACTCCAATGATCGCGATGATGTAGGTAAAAGTGAAGGTTGACGACGCGCTGCACCGCCTACGAAGGAAACCGAGCCACGTGACCGTGTTTAGGTATGGAAATTTGATGCGAGGTTTCACCAATTCCCTCTTCATTCAAGACTGTACTTGGTGAGTGCTAATTTGCCTTCTGTTTAGATTATTTTTTAAGCAAGTAACTAACTATTAAGTATCGTTGCCGAGCAGGATAACCGACTCGGAGATTTTGAATTATTCCCTCCAAAGCTTGAAATAATAGACTTCGGGCATTCGCCGGTCATGATACTTCTAGGTACCACTACTATAAATCTTCGACAAAGCTCCTTTATGACAACTTCAATCACAACTTAAACTTCAAAGGTTGAAGCAATCTATCAAGTGTCTCTATTTTCCAAGGTGGCTGCTCAATATCGCGATAAGCTTGTCCCCAGTCGTCTCTTCGGTGACTTTGATCATGATATGTTGATCGGGGCGAACTAGCACTCCTGAATTGTTCAACTCTGTAGAAAACCACCTTTGTCTCACTATGTTAAACTCCGTACCAAGGCGCCAGGAATTAAAGGCAACCCCCATCACTCGGCAGTACTCTCGAATATGGGCAAGTTGAGAGACTAGTTGGGTATCCTCGGTGCCCAGAATTAGGGTGAATGCATTAGGTGCGCAAAGATCTAGGGTACTCCATTGGCATTCCCGGATCTGGTCTTCGTTCAACTCAGTCACGTAGGATACATCAACGGGCGCGGATGGCAGTGATAAACATGATGCAGTTTGCCTCATTTTATAAATATGACCTGGGAAAGAAATCCAAGCGTGAGGGAGACGAGCTCCGGTTATGAACTTTGGAGAATAGTGTGAGGCATGTGGAGGCGGCTGACCAGCTCCATAAACGTACCCAATATGCAACTCCAGCTAACAATCAAGAAGTGTAAGAATGACAAGTAGCTAACATTTGGAGAAGATACGGGTGATTTTACTTACATTGTCGAAATGCTCCCTTTGCCCTTCAATCCCTTCTTCCACTTTTGACCGTTGCACTGGATCTTTCAATGCCGCAATCATGTTGCGGCGTTTCTGGTCGGCATCATCAATACTCACTGTATTAAGGCTCTGCAACAACGAGAAAATCTGTTTGCCGTTCTTGACACTCTGCCTCGAGTATATATCAGCCACGCCCATACGCTCAGCTGTATATGTAGAAAGTATAGATGAGCTAGCCACGTTCAGGTGGACAAGTGCAAGTCTATAGGCAAGATTATGGACGTCTGAAATTCCACAGTTCAATCCGAGTCCACCTGTTGGAGGAAATGAATGGGCCGCATCTCCAGCGCTGGAACGGAAATTAGCACTGTGAGTTTATCTCTGGTAGCAACATACTCACAGGAACACATTGCCTTTCTGAAAGGTCTCTGCGGTCTGACGCCTGAACACCCAAGGGCTAACGCTCTGGATATCAAAAGGGATATCCTGGCCGATAGCGGCGCGGATCTTGGACCGACACATTTCGTCTGTCCAGGAATCAACGGGCTGCTTGGTCACATCTACTTGGCTAATATGAACTTGAGTGCCGTCAAGGTCATAGCCAATAATGAATCCCGCCCCGATTGGGTCCATAATCCAGAACAACATGCCGACACGGTCACCAACCACGGGCCGCAAATGGGCCTTGAAGTGAATGGTCATCATAGTCTGGTCAGAATCCTCGCCCTTGGAAGGGATACCTAGAAGCGCGCGAACTTTGCTTTTGCGTCCATCACATGCAACGAGATGCCGGGACCGAATTGAATGTAGGTAGCTGGACGCATACTCCTCCACAGTAGCCAGGACATGGTCGTCTGTCTGAAATGAGTATGGTTATTAGTCAATTGGCCCCAGTGAAACGAGTATTTTCTGTTATTAGAGATGCATGTACCTGTTCTATAGAATGGATACTGAATCCCTTATATAAGGTGATATTCGGGTCTTCGTCAATGAGGTTCATTAGCTCTTGCTCCAGTACTGGCTGTGGAATATTGTGGATCATCTATTGATCATTGTAAGCCTTAACTAGCCCGAGCCTTTTTACTTTGTGGGGGTTGGTTACCTCTGGAGTATCATCCAGCACAGCAGGATCCATGCGCTCGTAAGGCAACCTTCCCACGGCATCGCCACTGAGATTTGTGATAAAATTGACCCAAAATGCATCGGCGCGCGAGGTTCCAAGTTTTCGAATCTTTTTCTCTCCCAGGCCATATTGACGTAAAATTTCTAGGGAGCGCGGGTTGATCGCATGTGCCTTGGGTGCTGCCAAACGCTTGGGGTACCGTTCGATGATCAAAGACCGAACTATTGTGGTAGGTTTAGTATGCTGTAAAACGAAGGATCGGACGCCAATTTGATTTTTTTTGATTTTCTTGTTCCAAAAAAGTCAATAAGCCAACGTACCTCCGAGGCGGGACAAAAGCAACGATTGCAAGAGACCGACCGGGCCACCGCCAACAATCAAGACAGGAATTGAGTCGGGCAAGCGAGTCTGATATTCTGCATGAGCAGGCAAGTCCTCAGGGAGTGCCATTTCTTGTTTACAATTCCGATGTTGGAACTCTCTCTTATGATTGAATAGTCCCCAGGTACCTGAAATCATCCAGCCCCTTCTCCCGATTACATACCCAGCGCTCGACCCCACGCTATCCCCTTCCTGAAGCAGGGTGCAGGATGATGCAACCCCTCTCGACTCGCTCTACAAGTGGGGGAATCGAGCCACTTCATCCTACATAGGTGGGACTTCTGTGAGTGGATGCCACTAAAATTTAGTGTTGGAGGATCCCGCGGTAAGGTCCAACGGGGCCGCTCACTCCACGCACTGGTGCTCTTGATGCGACACGTACTACTACTAGTGACTTCAGCTAGGGGACCCTAGCATGTCCTGTATTCGGGATGTCCGAATCACGCGGGCGCAGTGAATTTCTTGTAGTGGTACTTCATAGAAGTCAGCCACTTCTTATTCTTTCCAGTCACTCACTTCCATATATCCCCCTATCGACACTCCTTTGCGACCATCCCAGTCATTTCGATGTCGCATGAGTCGGAAAACGAGATGGAGGCGCGCCTCCGCGTGACACCTGGGACTGAGATTCTATTTGATGGGGGCTCCGGTGATGGCATTCTCGCCGATGGATCTCAGTTGAAGCATCGGACCAGCGGTGATAAGCGTGTGCTGCTCGTCCCCCAACCTTCGACCAATGACCCGAATGACCCTTTAAACTGGACAACATCAAAGAAGAGCGTCACTTTTTTCAATGGCTGCTGGTATGCATTCATGGGTGCTATCACTGGCCCAATCATGGCAGCTGGTAGGTACTTGGTGAAGGCCATAGGCAGATAAAGGACATGACACTGATTTAATCATCGTGCAAGGCATGAACCAGCTCTCCGTCATTTTTGGCAAAACCACCCAGCAACTATCCTATGCGAATGGCGCTTGTCTGATCAACCAAGGCATTTGGAACTGTGTCTGGATGCCGTTTGCCGTCAAGTACGGTCGACGCCCTGTCTATCTGGCCTCGACCTTTTTAATGATATTGGCTTGTATTTGGCTGGCCATTGCGTCAAATCAAAACTACACGACATTCATCGTCGGTCGTGCATTTTTGGGTGCTTGGGAAGCCCCAATTGAGTCGATCGTGCCATCTACAATCACGGATATGTTTTTTCTCCATAATCGAGGAGAGTTGGTCTCTCTCTACGGATTGGCGGTTCTGGGTGGCAACGAACTTGGCCCTATGTTCTCGGGGTTTATTGTTCAAGCATTGGGGATGAATTGGGCCTTTTGGATCGTCGCGATGTTTATTGCCGCGAATCTGGTCTCTATGTTCTTCTTCATGCCCGAGACAAAGTTCATTGGCAATCGCCCCAGCATTCCAGGGATTAGAAACGTTCGTCCGGATCCCCAAAGTCTATCGCCAACAGGTCCCACAAGCGAGGGCTCAGTTAAAGAAGAAGATCATATCTCAGTGAGCGAATCGTTCACCTCTGTTCCGAAGAAAACATGGTCACAGGAGCTCAAGTTCTGGAGCAAGGGTGATCCAGATGTGAATTTATTTCATGTCTTCTTGCGCCCGTTTGTGCTCCTAGCTTATCCGACTGTTGTGTGGTCATGCTTTGTGTATGGTCTGGCTCTGAGCTGGAACGTCATTCTTGGTGCTATCGTGGCACAATTGTTCACGCCGCCTCCTTATGGGTTCAACTCAAATTCGCAGGGTCTCTTCTTCTTATCCCCCTTTGTTGGCTCGCTGTTTGGAGTATATTTCTCTGGCCCATGCGGCGACTGGATTGCAAACTACTTCACTAAGCGCAACCACGGTATCCGAGAGCCGGAGATGCGTCTACCAATTTGCTTAGTCGCAGCCTTTTTCACATTTTTCGGTGCACTCTGGTTTGCTCTGTCTTACGAGCACCAGCTTCATTGGGCCATGCCAGTAGTTGGGGCTGGAATTCTCTCTGTGGGAAGCCAAATGGGAACGACACTCGGAATGAACTACGCACTAGACTGTCACCAGGAGGTAAGTTTCATATTTCTCGCCTTGGACAATTACTGCACCGAAATTTATACCCAGGAACTAACCTATTCGACCCCAGCTTTCCGTGGAGATCATGGTAACCATCGCCGCTCTCAAAAGCAGTATCGCCTGGATCTGGACCTGGGTGATCAACGATTTCATCACGGCATGTGGTGTACTGTCTGTGTTCATGACGGTCGCCGCCATCAACGTGGCCATTTACTTGACCTACCTTATCTTCTTTTACAAGGGCAAGCAGATCCGGCTGTGGATCCATCAAGCAAACCTCTTCCAAGCTGCGGGGCTCCAGTAGCGCGTGTATACACGCACTGGACGTGGAGTTTCCCCTGTTCGCTAGGAACAGGGGGTGCGTAATTACTATAACAATATAGTGGGTGCAGGGGGCATCTAAATTAAGGAGACTGCCAGCGGTTAATTCGGGTTAGGATCTAATTAAATCGACTATTTCATATCTTCCAGCCCGCATAATTATAATCTATGTAGCCCACCACTTCCTGAAACAAAAGCCTCTCCGCCCCCAAATGCACCCTGTTTTATAGTGGATCTTTTGATGTCGTGGAACTGCCCAAGTGAAACCCATCGCGGCTTCTGCAATAATCACCATGGCGCCACGGCGTCTCAGGGCCGGGAAAAATTGGAATTGATTCCAAGGTTATATCCATCAATCGCATGGGCTACGAAAGCCACCAAGAAATTAGCGTAGCCACTAAGTGCTTTAATACGGAGATTACTCCATACGGACTTTTCGATGATTTTCTGTGTGAGCCAGACAAATGATTTCTGCGGGTAGCAGGTTGGGGGCTGAGGGCCGAGGATTCTGACCCTCAATCGCAACCTGAAGCTGATATTTTGCTCTCTGTATGGTAAAAAAATATGGAATACAGATTAACTGATTCTGTAGCCCAGATCAAACATTCATATGTATATGGATTACGTTAAAATAGTTGCTAGACCAGCCAGACATGATGAATTGGCTGTATGATACTGACAATATCCCAGTTCGCCCCTAATGCAAACTAATGCCTGGTTTAGTTTTGGCTAAAGCTAGATTCGTGGCCCCGGAGCCGTATGCGATGCCCACAATATTTTGAACCACCGCCCCCGCTGATTAAGAAAGCGGAGATGAGACCATTCCTCTTGCAGTCCTTGCAGGGAAGACACTATCAATATCGGGCCCGTGGGGGCTGAACCTTGTTGGGTCATGTGAAACAACAAATCACTGCTGGAATTCGAGTCTACGGCGATCATCCCCAAAAGAGGTTTGATTATCAGTCTATGGTTGGTTGTTGATCTCGGGAATAGCTGAATCATCATCAGATTTGCGCATATTGGCGGCCACCATTCGCAGAGAATTACTGTAAAGTGAGAGATGCATGGTTACAGTCAGATTTTGCTCGGTTACTCCGTATAAGGGAAATAAAAAGCTCTCAATTATTTAGCTCCTCATGTATGTATGTATGCATGTATGCATGCCGTAAATCAGAATTAGATGATACAGTCCAGCTGGGCACAATACTAGTATATCTAAGTCCAACCTTGTACCATATCCATGCAGTGTCTCTCCGAGCCACTGCACAACACTTGAGAATCTTCGTGAGGCAACCAACTATCAATCACAAGATGGCTGAAGGCATGTCGGTGGCGATATTGGTGGTTTCTTGGCTAGAGACTTGCATCGGCTTGGTGTTTCTGGCACTGCGTTTCTTGAGCACTTGGAAGTTTCAAGGCCGTTTTAGATGGGATTTTGCGGCTGCCACATTAACTGTGGTAGGTTTCCTCCGAATTGTTCTCAGTGAGATACATCCATTGTCTCACAGGCTTATGGTAATAACATACAATGTACCTCGCATAGGCTATACAGACCATCGCCCAGCTATTCCTGCAACTCTCCGTTAACGCAGGAATGGGAAACCATATGACCGACCTTAATACTGCGCAAAGAGTGGCAGCATTAAAATGGGGATGGGTTTTCCAGCTACTCGCCATTGGAGCGAGCATGGTCGGCAAAATAGCGATCCTGGCATTCTTGATCCAGGTACGGGGCCGACGAGCATCAAAACCCTGGCTATTAATTCTTCTTGGGGTTCTAATTTTCGTGATCAACATTGCCGTCATGGGAACCATTCTGGGCCAATGTTCGCCGATGGAGAAACTATGGAATGATGCCCTCCCAGGATCATGCGACCCGGGGCGCAAGATGAATCAGAACTACTCCTTTTTCCAAGCCAGTGAGTCGCCTTCTTAAAGCGATCGATGAATAAAACTCACATTTCTCTACTAGGTTTTAATGTGCTCTCCGATGCTGTTTTGGCTTCATATCCAGCCCATCTTTTCTGGAAGCTTCAAATGAAATTACGAATCAAGATTGCTCTGTCTATCCTGATGGGACTTGGCTGGGTGTGCGTGTCTTCGCCTTTGAACTATATAATACTAGTGGCTATCAATTTCCATACTGACCACCTGAGCAACAACATAGAGCTGCAGTATGTTCAGCCCTCAAGTGCTACGAACTGAAAGCGTTAACCCAGACCGACGACGTTACCTGTACGCGACTACCTAGGTATCATTGGAATAAATTGTCTACACACACAAACTGACTTTCTATCAATTAAACAGACGCCCAATCCTCCCTCCTTATCTGGGCTTCCACAGAAGCTTGGATTATCATCATCGTGGGCTGCGTTCCACCGATTCGCCCCCTGATGGAACGCATTCTCCAACACCTCGGTCTCACAAGCAAGAAGACGTCAACTCCTTACTACGACCAGAACCACCATGCCTACCCTACATATGGAACCAATAGATCGCATGTCGCATCATCAACCCATCAATCAATTGCAAAGAAAGACCGCAAGCCGCGTGGGCGAGGGGAAGAGGACTTGGCTTGGGTGGAACTCACGAATGCTCGGGATTCCAATGATAGTAAAGGGCAGATAATTGGCGATACAAATATTGTTGTCACTACAGAGTTTGGTACGCAATTTGAGGAGCGTGGGGCTCATCATGCTGGGTCATCAGCCGCCAGCCAGACTTCAGGTGAGGATGGGATTGGAAGCCCTCGTGCCGATATACGAAAAGTGGTTTGATTTGCATTATTACCATGCATGCAATTCGAGTCTAGATTTATAATATTTCAAGGTTACATCTGTTGGGATCATGGATAATCACAAAAAACCGATTTATTCTAAACATATTCAGATAATTTGAAGGAGAATATTAAAATACATTCTTCAGCTTTCTCTATTGCTCCCTATCCGATCGAGTCACTCAAAATCAACGCGCAAGCTATGGACGAAAAAGCGAAACAAAAGTGATGGTGTCTATGCAAAATTGGTGTTCGAACTAAAATTTATGAATTCAAGACATCAAAGGTCCCCCCACTTGATGATCGGCTTAATCACTTTGCCCTTGTGTAGATCTTCCAGTGCTTGCTCCAAAGAGTCTGAATCATATACTTTGGCCAGACTGTCGACCGGGAACTTGCCCTGCTTATACCAGTTGATTAATTGGGGGATAAGCTATGAAAACATTAGCAATAATATAGGGTAAAGTAGCGGGTATTGTTTTGATAAATACCTTGGCTGGGTTTGAAGAGCCCTCAATGGCACCAACAATGCGTTTGCAGTTAATCATGAACTCCAGCGGATCGATGCTAAGCGATGACCCACCAGGTGCAACACCCACGATGGCAAGAGTGCCTTCATGACCCAGAGACTTTACAGCTGATTCAAGGAGAGGAACAACACCAGTGGTGTCAAGAATATGATCAACCCCATCTGAGAACAGATCACGAAGCCCGTCGTTGAGAGATGAGACGCTCTTGGTGTTCAGAGTATGCGAAGCACCTAGAGACTTGGCAAGTTCAAGTTTTTTATCAACAATATCGACCGCAATAACATTCTCGACGCCTTGAGCCCTTGCAGCTAACAATGCAGCAAGGCCGACCGCTCCCATTCCAAGAATCGCAAATCGGGAGGTTGGCTTTGGTTTAAGGACGTTGATGACCGTGCCAGCTCCCGTGAGATAGCCACAGCCCAGAGGTGCAAGCAAAGCCAGGTCGTCTTCAGTGACACTGGAAGAGGCCTTGACCACAGATGTATCCGGTACAATTGCCAATTTGCTCATTGAAGACTGACCAAAGAATTGACCTCGGAGGGGCTGACCGCTAGTAGATTTGATGGGCGAGTCGGCAGCGGACATGCCACGTGCACCACCGAAGTTAAGTGCAGTCATATTGGGACAGAATCCATTGCGGTCTTCATCGCAGGCAGAGCAACTGTTGCACGAGGTAAAGCTCAGAAGAACCAAATCACCTTCACTTAAGGTTTTGTCTTTCACGGCACTGCCGATGCGACGTACAACACCGGCGCCTTCGTGACCAAGCACAGCAGGGTAATCGCCAACGGGAATAGCTCCCTGCTGAACAACAATATCCTAAATTTCAGGAGCATATCTTAGTTCCAAAGCCCATGATGTCATTGTGCATGTTTGGGAGATCTTACAGTGTGACAGAGGCCTGTGTACTTCATCTCGACCAGGACCTCATTACTTCGCACTTCATCCAGAATCACATCGCGAAGAATAAATGGCGAGCCCGGTGCATCAACCACAAAGGCCTTTGTGGGAATCTGTGTTTCGGGAATCATCGTGGGGGTTTTGCCCAGGTAATCCGATAGTTATTGTGTGAGGGTGGTAAAAGTATGATTTGGTGGCTTCAATTCACAGATAACCAGTCTTAGCGAAGATAACTTCAAGTAAGAATAGACTAATAGGAGATCCATCATTTATAGACTTAGATTGAGATCGGACGAATGTCGATCGTATTGCAACCTGGAACAACAATTTGCGGGTCCTTCCCCGCAGAACCAGATAAATCGAGGCTATTCCCCACATCCCCGCGACTTCGGCGATGAAAATCGGTACATGTCCCCGGGGGAACGGATGGTCGGGCCGCTACCGCGAAATTCCGCACCAGCCTGCAGTCTCTCGCTGTGAGCTAGTGCGGAGAGATAGACTTTGCCTCAAAATTAAGTTGCTAGTCGGGTTGTAAGAAGGTAGATATAGATGATAAATGCCGTCTTCAAAGCCCTGTTGTTCGATTAAACTTCAAATGTTGAAGTGACGCGTTGCAAAATTATTGAAGGAAAACTCCATGGTAAGTATTGTACAGCGAGGTATCTATGCAAATGCAAAATATAGTTACAGTCCAGTCCAGTCCTTCTTCACATTAAGACTTGTCTGTTCTCTTCTTGGCCAATTCGGATACTGCCAATGGGGTTCGCAAGAACATCTCCATTAGTAGAGCTGCAGCCACACTGACATTCAGACTGTCAATTCGGGCGGGGTCGGATTGTGCGCCCAATTCGATACTGTGGCGAGCGCCGGGAATGCTGACGATCGCATCCGCATGGGATTTGATATGCGAACTCAACCCTGATCCTTCACTACCCATCATAAGAACACTTGGTGCTTGGGCGGTAGGAAGAGCACCAGCTTCTGTTTGACCTGCGCCTGAATGACGACTGAGATACTCAGCACCGGGACCGGGCGCATCAGCTGCATAAAAGCGCCATCCGTTTTCTTTGGACCGTTGGATGAAATCAACCTCATTTTTGACATGAAGAAGGGTCATGTTTTCGGCAGCGCCAGCTGATGCCTTGATGGTCACTGGGGACAACGGGGCGCAGTTTCGACCAGCGAAGACTATCGCATCAATACCCAAGAAATAAGCCGATCGGATGATGGCACCCATGTTGCCCGGGTCAACAACCCCATCTAGAAGCAGAGCGACGGGATATCTCTCACTCGGTCGACCGGGCACCGAAGGCGCCTGGATGATGGGAATACGATCACCCGTGCCATTGACTGCAGCTTCCTCCCGTGATTGGGGAGCCAGCTCGACTCGGAAATGATCCTCAGTCGCCGAGGTGACTGGGTGGAAGCCGCGTACCGGAAGCTTTGGCAACGGCGATGCCTCAAGCACACAGCCGTTATGAGGCCGACCAGCACTCATTTTGTCAAGAAGGCGATCCCAGCCCGCAAATGCAAGCTTAGCTTCGATATTTTTGGAGAGAGCAAGTTTGCGGAGAGCCATCTTGGTCGGACTCAGATCCTCACCAGCAGCTTGGTAAATGTAGAGCTTGTATAGCTGACGTCGGCTACAGCGAAGCGCCGCCTCGACAGCGCCCGTCCCGTAGATGAATTCCGATGCCGGTGTAGTGTAAGGGATCGATTCAGGAACTTTAACATTCTCCTTGACACGCTGTGGCATACCCTCCGTAACTCGGTGGGCGCGAGACTTGGTTCCCGCCTTGGGCCTCTCAGGCTGTTGAGGTATTCCTCGGTCAGCCCAAGGGCGACCTTCTCTTGTATCTCTCTGTCCACGGGGTCGATTTTCTTGGGTTGAGCGCTCGAAGCTGCCGGTACGGATGAATTTAGCTTGGTCGAAGTCGTTGTAGTGCGATTTTCTGTTATATCGGAAGCTGGAGGTATTATCGGTCTTCTCATTTTTCTTTGTGTCGCGTGGTTTTCTCTCATTCTGGAACCTGGGGGATATATCACGATCACGGTCACGATCATGCCCAGTTCTACCTCCTCGCGACCCATCATTCCGTGGCCCATCATTTCGTGGCCGGCGATAAGTGTCGTTGCTGTCCAATTCTCTGTCTCTGGCCCAAGAATTCCGTGGAGGCTGCGATCTGCGGATGCCACGTCCAATGGCAGAATTCAAGGATGCGAATCGGACGGAAGTTCCATTCTGAAGACTGAGAGACGCGAATGACCTGGGCAATAAGCCTGTCCGGCAAAACCTTGACGCCATTTGAAAGAGGATGAAATGGAGATGGAACTTCCTCAAGGTTGCTACTTTCCACTTTTGGTTAAATTTGCCCGGCATCAACTCTGTTCCCGATAAGATAGGAACAATATTTATCCGGACCGCATGGGAGCCTTCCGCGAGTTGAGCGCGTCGTCGCGTTTGCGACTCGCCCATTTTAGTTTGCAATTGGACTTGTCGAGCCGAGATGACCTTCGTTTGACGTTGGCTTGTTTGTGTCGCTCTTAGCTTCCCTTTAGCCAATCTCATTTCTCGATTCGATTCTGCTCGACCTCTGCGCAGCATTCACCCTCCTTGTGGCATCTGATACATGAAACTATCATTCTCACTCACCCGACGTCTCAACTACACCTTACCATACTCTCCCTTATCCTCTAAAATACGATCGACAGGTTCCTCGGTCCTATTTTGCGTCATGTCTGATAGAGAATTCACCGTACTGGCCGTTCGTTGATCAAGAAGCAACGAACACTCACTCGCAATTCAATTCACCTACGCCTACACAATCACCTCTGTCTCAATTTAGTGAACACGGCTCTCCCGGCTCGGAGGACCCCGATGCCATGGTTGCTCAGATCATGAATCAATTCGAAAGCTCCGTCTTCCAGCCCGCACTCCAACCCGAGAAATCTACTGAGCAACCTACCGAGCAACCCGTCAAGAACCCCCAGATCGAAGCACCCGCGATGTCCACCGTAGTTGGAATTACTCTTCCGACAGTTGAAAACATACACGAATATGAGTTCTTACCGGGCCATTTCGTGGTCCGTCGAATCCTCCAGCTAGACGCGGAGGATGCAAAGAAGCCATCATACACCGTTCGTCTACAAAGCGGCGAACGTGCAACAGTAAGATATTATTTTTCAAGCGATCCTTTTTGATAGGGTGGTATCTCTAATACCGACGTTTCGTCACTGTCTTAGATGACCTACGACAAACTCATGAAATTGGAGAACAGCGTCTCGGCCCTCGATCAGTTCAACCCCGATTCAGATTCCGACGATGAGTTGTTGGTGGTTGGAAACCGTTCTATCTCGCCCGAACACCATTTTGGCGGGGATGGAGTGTCGGATAGCTCAGGCGGGGGTGGCTTTGGAAACAGACAGAATCGGAACACACGGCGTCGGACTACTGCGACAGTCGGCCAGTATACCTCGGTTTACGGATTCGAGGACAGCGACCAAAGCGATGAAGAGGAGGAACCAAGTCGGTCACATAGATACGCAACGCGCAGGCTTAGGCGGGGTAGCCGAAAGTCAGATCGGATGTCCACAAATCCATCGGAAGGCTACTCGACCTCCAATCCCAACAGGCGTCAATCATCTCGTGCTAGGAGAAGTTTGCGCCACAATTTGCGAGAGCGATTTGAAGATGAATTTTCTGAGACAGAGAGTATTCGCCCAAGACAGCAGAAATATTCCGGTGCTAGGGAAGCATTCCAAGAGATTCCGCGCGACGACGAGTTCAGAATCCGACACTTCGCGTGTTGCGCTACGTGTAGTGTCTATGAAGATGACCCGGAGAAGGGAGATCTTGTTTTTTGCCAGGGTTGCAGCTCATCATATCATCAAGTTTGTCTGGGACCCCGAACCACCCGGGATCATCTCGTCACCAAGATCGACGAGGGCAACTTTGTCTTACAGTGTCGTCGCTGTCTTGGAATTGCCAACGGAAAGCATGATGTTGCTCCACACCTAGGATTCTGCGCAATTTGCAAGGAAGAGGGAAACATGTCACAGCCACTGAGGCAGCGTTTGACATCGAAAGAAGAACAGCAGCTTCGCATTTCCAATGAAGGCACAGATCCTATCACGCCAGTCGACATGGCTCAGGTGAACAATATAGACAACGTTCTCTTTAGGTGTGCTAGCTGTCAGCGGGCTTTCCACTCAAAACACCTCCACTCAGCGACAGGGGATGATAACTCGGAAGTGTTTGCAGACCATATCAAACACTGGCAATGCAGTGATTGCTCCGAGGCCCCTGGCGAAATCGATGAGCTTGTTGCGTGGCGTCCGCTCGATGCACAGCTCAAGACTTCAGTAGGCCTCATCGGCGAGGCGGTCCCAGAGATCGAGAAAGAATATCTCATCAAGTGGAAACAGAAGTCCTACTTCCGCACTAAGTGGATGCGAGGAGACTGGGTCTGGGGCTTTGGCAGTCCTATCATGCGCCGAGCGTTCTATAACTCACCCAAATCCGAAAACCCGATCTGGACGACCGAGAAAGCAATCCCCGAAGAAAACTTGCGAGTCGACATCGTATTTGATGTGACATACCGAGAAGGTACCAAAACGGAAGACAAATCAAACCCGGAGATGGTTGAATCAGCCTTTGTGAAATACAAAGGATTGAATTATGAATCTTCTGTGGTGGAGTCGCCTCCTGATCCACTTAACAAAGACAGATGGGAAGATTTCAAAATTGCTTTCTGCGACTGGCTCTTGCGCGACACCATCCAGCCTCCCAACAGAAGCGCTTTGAAGGCACATTTATCGAAAGCTCGGCAGAAGAATTTCGAGAAAGACCTGGCCTTACGGGTTCAGCCCGAACTCCTGACTGGCGGTGAACTTATGGAATACCAAATGGATGGTATCAACTGGCTTTACTACAAGTTCCTCAGAAAAGAGAACGCCGTTCTAGCCGATGATATGGGTCTTGGTAAAACTGTCCAAGTGATTGGACTTTTCGCAACTCTCATTCAAACCCATGAATGTTGGCCGTTTCTGGTGGTGGTACCCAATTCGACCGTTCCGAACTGGCGACGCGAAATCAAAATGTGGACACCGAATGTTCGGGTTTCCACATACTTCGGCTCGGCTTTTGCTCGTCAAACGGCTAAAGACTACGAAATGTTCCCCCAAGGAGGCCACAATCTCCGGTCACATGTCGTCATTGCTTCATATGAGAGTATGGTCGACGACGACGCCAACGCTAGAGTTCTGAGAAAGGTTCGCTGGGCAGGTTTGGTTGTCGACGAGGGACAGCGTCTCAAAAATGACAAATCTCAACTTTACGAGTGTCTTCGCCGCATGAAATTCGACTTCAAGGCCATCCTTACTGGCACGCCTCTTCAAAATAACATTCGAGAACTCTTCAATCTCCTTCAATTCATCAATCCAGAGCTTGATGCTGAAGAACTCGAGGAGCGCTATAGTGAATTGAACAAAGAGAACATCAGTGCTCTCCATGAGATGATTCGACCTTGCTTTTTGCGTCGCACGAAGGCCGAGGTTTTACCCTTTCTGCCGCCGATGGTACAGATCATCCTACCCGTTTCGATGTCTGTCGTGCAGAAGAAGCTCTACAAGTCAATCCTTGGGAAAAATCCTGAGCTAATCAAAATGATCTGCAAGAAGCAAACAGGCCAGTTGAAGAAGGCAGACCGGCATAATTTGAACAATATTCTCGTTCAGCTCAGAAAATGCATTTGCCATCCATTCCTCTATAATAGAGACATCGAAGAGCAAACCCATGATCCACTCATGGCTCATCGACATCTGGTAGAGGCTTCTGGAAAACTTCAGCTGCTAAATCTGATGCTGCCGAAGCTGCGTGAGCGCGGAAACAGGGTTCTCATCTTCAGTCAGTTTCTACAGAACTTGGATATCGTTGAAGATTTTCTCACCGGTCTCGACATGAAATACTGCCGCCTGGATGGAAACTTGTCGTCTCGGGAGAAGCAGCAACAGATCGACAGTTTCAACGCTGAAGATTCTTCTTATTTCGCGTTTCTTCTATCTACTAGATCCGGTGGCGTGGGAATCAACCTTGCTACTGCAGACACTGTGATCATCATGGACCCGGACTTCAACCCTAAGCAAGACATGCAAGCGTTGTCTCGAGCTCATCGAATCGGTCAAAAGAACACTGTTCTTGTGTTTCATCTGACAACAAAAGCTTCTGTGGAAGAGAGGATCATGGAAAGAGGCAAGAAGAAGCTGGCACTGGACCATGTACTTATTGAGCGCATGGAGGCGGACGAAGATGAAGAGGATCTGGAGTCGATTCTTAGGCATGGTGCTCAAGCACTGTTCGAAGATGATGATGCCGGCCACGTCCAGTACGACCCGGAATCAATTGATAGGATCCTGGATCGCAGTCAGGTTGAAAAGGCGGAGGAGACTTCCGGGAGCACTCCCAATGGATCGTCGGACCAGCCTCAGTTCAATTTTGCGCGCATATGGCAAAACGACACCGGCACACTAGAAGAGGTGACCGAAACGGAAGACAAGCCTGTGGATGACACTATTTGGGATCAAATCTTGCAGGAGCGTGAGCAGGACGCCATCAAAGAATCATATCGGAAAGCCGAGGGCTTCGGTCGGGGCAAACGCAAGCGAAATACTGTGAACTATGAATCCACAGTGGAAGAGGTCCATGATTTTGATGGGGTCCAATCATCTCCCTTAAAGGTTTCCCAGAAGCAAGCTCATGGAAGCGACACCGATTTCCAGCAGGAAGACAACGGCGAGGCGTCTGATTCTCCAGATGAAACAGATGATATGGAATTAGACCAGATGGAAATTGATACATCGCTTGTCAATGTGAAGGCCCGTCCGTTCAAGCGAGTGAAGCTGCCATCGCCACCGCCCTCGCTGCCCATGGGCGTTGATGGGACTCAAGATACTACTCACCATCTTTGCATCGCATGCAATCAACACCATGCCCTTGGTCGCTGCCCATTGAAAATAGCTGGAGTTGAGCATTGTCCCCTCTGTGGCCTGGCGCACTTGGGTAGAAACCGAAGTTGCCCCCATCTACGCAGTGAGGTTCAGGTTAAACGCATGATTGAGGCGTTGAAAGAGAGCAAAGAACCTTCCGGGTATGTCGCCATCGCTAAAAAATACCTCCAGGGTATTTTGGGAGATTTCGGTCAGCGCGCACGCAAGAAGGCTGCGAAGGATGCAGAACGAGAGCTTGCCCAAAGCATGCCTCAAGCTTCGGGGCCCTCGGCTCCAGCTCCACAAAGCACGTCCCATTCTATGCAGCAATATTCTCCTGCGGTGACTTCGGCCCTTGTGCCCAATCCCGAACCCCTCGGCCAGCACGGTTCAGTTTCGTCAAACGACTTCGCTCTTCCATACCAGCAGACGCATTCTCAACAGCCGAGTCACTCTCGGCAATACCAACAATGATTTTCTCGAGCCCGAGAACCTGCTACATGCCATTGAGTGCCAGTGATGTTTTCGGCATGACTCGAACTTGCGCGACCAGCTTTTGTCAGTCGTTGCGGCACCCAAAATGCCACTTTGATTTTGTTTCGTCTTTTTGATGAGCTATGAATGATGATATACCCCAGATGCGTTAGATTAGAGTACGCTTGAATCGCCGCATGGAATCTATGCCACCAAAAAAATTCAATACTTCCAAACTTCAACTTTTAGACATTCGAGTAAGCCAATGATAGTATGTTTGTATAAAGCCGTCGCTGCATAGTCCATGGGAAACTGGGCACAAAGCCCCTGGTTCTGCCAGGCGCACGAAGGATAGTACTCAACCACTCGAAACCTTGGAAAGACTCGAGTGGTTTCATTGCCCAGATCGCCCAGCAAAATGACCCTAATTACAGGTTGCGGGAGAAGGTGGACGACCCCTACGAAAACTGTTCGTGTCCTACCAGATTTTGTAAATACTGTAAGAACCAGTACTGCTTTCGAGAACTCGGAGCAGGTCATTCCGAAGTGGTGACACCGGGAGCCGGAACACCAGTCATCAGCGCCGCAAAGGTCAGGCCACCCTGGGGCACAGATGGCCCCGGGGGCGGATAGCCATCCGAGCCCCACCAACCTGGATAATGCGCATTTGCCCGCCTGTGGTTGGCTGTCTCCCAGGGGCTGGAACCTTCCTGCATATGCCCAGGTGGTATGTTCAATTTAGCAGGATTGGGATTTTATATTAGGGAATCTACTGTACACTACAATAGCACATATACTCTCGCCCAGATCCTTCCTTTTATACTCCTCTCTTCACGAAATAGTCTTCTCCTCCTCTCAGTCTCTGCTTCTTCTCTCTTATTTAAGACCTGCTAGGAACCACAATGTTTGTGTCTCCTCCGCTTTTTTTTGCGCCCCCCTGCTGAATTTTACTCTTTTGTGGAATTTGTCGCATATTGACCCTTTTATTCCTAGGAATTCTACCGTGCTGCCCCCTGGCACCGGCACCTATTGGGGCCAATATCAGGATATCACCAAATCCAATACCCACCTGAGCGTGGCAGAGAGATTGTGGGTCGCATGGTATGCGTGGATGCAGAACGATGTCCTGGCCACTGGCATCATGTCCTTCGCTATCCACGAGTTGTTCTACTTCGGCCGCTCTCTTCCGTGGATGTTCATCGATAGCTTGGGTTTCTTCAACAGATACAAGATTCAAAGTGTAAGTGGCAAGACTAAAACCTAGTGCTGGCTGAAATAAACCCAATTCCAGCCGCCATCGAAACTAACATTCTGCTTTAGAGCAAAGTACCTTCATTACGTGAGCAATGGGATTGCGCCAAGTTTGTACTTCTGAGCCACTTCACCGTCGAACTTCCTCAAATCTGGTATGTTCCTATCCTCAACGAAGTAGTATTCTACCTGATGTTTATCTCTCGAGCCCAATTAAATAGTAACGGCTCTTCTAGGCTTTTCCACCCAATGGCCCAGTTCTTCGGTCTATCAACATCGATTCCTTTTCCGTCTCCCTGGACTATGACATATCAGATCGCAATATTTTTCGTGATGGAGGATACTTGGCACTATTTTCTCCACCGAGCTCTTCATTGGGGTCCACTCTACAAGGCTATTCATAAAATTCACCATCAGTATTCCGCACCGTTTGGCTTGGCCGCCGAATATGCTTCTCCTATTGAAGTGATGATTCTCGGCTTCGGGACCGTCAGCTGCCCGATCCTCTGGTGTGCTTTTACCGGTAACCTGCATATTCTCACTATGTATATCTGGATTGTGTTGCGCTTGTTCCAGGCTATCGATGCGCACAGTGGCTACGAATTTCCTTGGAGTCTTCACCATTTCTTGCCTTTCTGGGCTGGTGCTGATCATCACGACCTCCACCATGAGAAATTCATTGGGAACTACGCAAGCAGCTTCCGCTGGTGGGACTACGTCCTTGACACAGAATATACTCCGGAGGCCCTGAAGCGCCGAAGAGGGAAAAAGGTGGAGGCGAAGAAGACACAATGATCTGAAAATTAGTAGTGACGGTCTACCTATTTTCTCTTCAATTTGGGCGTTAGCTCTGTCTGGAGCTATTTACCGGATAGATGATAGCCTTTCTTATGGTACTGTTCAATGGTTGATTTACCATGACTAGATTTAGCTATTCTTGAAACTAATTGGTTTTCTAAACATCGCTTAACTAATGCCGTAGCCGAGAGATTCATGGCAAAAGATGAAGCGTGTTGTCTCGATTAATATACGATTTGTGGCTCTGCGATGAGAACTGACTCTTCGAACAATTCAGAAGAACCCCCATGGCGCGTTTGTGAGTGCTAGGACATGATTGGTCCTCAGCGTCCTCCTGGGCAATCTTCTTCAACCCGCAGGGTTTATATGTTGACTCCGGGGCCTCTTTCAGTCCGGTTGCCCGGTCAGATCTACCTGCGAGCCAATATCAGCGAGTTTATATCTGGAAAATGTTTCCAAAAATGAACGACGATAGCCAAAACTGGTGTTGTGTTTCTTCAGATTAGTCTTGTATTGAGTAGTAGTTTGGACTCCGATCGGCGTCGACGTACCCATCAGGCAGCTTTCTTAGTCCGAGACATGGCACTGGGCTTGGCAGCCTCAGTCCTCACATCAATCACATTACCCGTATAATGGTGAATTGCTCAGCGAAATTCTCATGGCTTTTATCGGTCGCTGGGTGAGGTTCCATCGGGGTGTGGTTTTGACAGCCGGGTTAAAGTTTAGACAATATCACTTGACCGCCTACCCCTGCTAATGCCAAGACGAAGTATGAACCTTAAATCCACGACATTGTTGCCCATAAGACTGCCTTTAGCAAGCCCCCCATGGAATCAATGAAGCAGTTCCAGCCCAAAAGCGGCAGTTTGGGTGGTATTTTATGGCTCTTTATGTTCCTGGTCGGGTTTGACATAGTCATAGATGGTTCTCACCAGGATCCCCGTGAATTGGATTGCAACGAGTAAACAAAGTGGTGTTGTAAAAGCCTGAGGAATTGTTGGAATAGCTCGTCCCATGATTCAGGTCTTCACGAGTCGCAAATAATTGTCGAAAGAGTCGCCGTAGGAGTCGCCACAGGGGTCGCCGTATATTTCCCAGCCAGGTTTCCACCTATTGGATCATGTTGGCGGGGCTTGTATACGCAATTCAGAATAGCCAGATAGACAATGTCGTGAGGCCAAAGAATTGGCCGTTTCTGGAGTGGTTTAATGGTAGTCTTTGTTGATCGTTAGCTGCGGACCACACGTGGAAAAGTGATTGCAAACCCAACTGAATTTCCAGCAAGCACCCGGTGCTGCTGAATCTGGCCTAGCACAAAATTAAGTTGGACCAGGAGCAATTCCAAGATAGATAGCATAAAGGGTACCTTTGAGAACTGCAAGGCCAAAAATTTTCTATCCCCATGACGATAGACATGCGTGCATGTCTTTGTCTGTTGTCTTGTTGTCTTGTTCTTTCCCTATTTGTCCTAATAGGGCCAGGCCAGATTAGGCAACTACGGGTGGACATTGGAGGAAGGAGCACCCCAAAGCAAAAAGCATCCGAACACCACCAAAAAAGGGCAAATCAAACGCACCTCAATACATTTTTGTGTTCACTGAATACACATGGATCTGATTCAGTTCACGATTGTCTCCACGTCCGCGCTTTGAATCTTACATTGTGGGACTAGATCGTAGTAGATCGGAGCCAGATCCATAATCTGTATGTTAAGATCGATAAATACAGAGCATGAGGTGGCATTTAATGCGTGGAGGCAAAACATTCATAATTAGGTAGGGGTCACCGTCGTTCACTGTTCTCAGAGAGCCACTGCCCTTACTACTTCCGATCCTTCTTCCCCCTCAACTTCTCTCACTTCCTTTCTCTCACTTCCTCTCTTCCTCACCCTCTCTCCCCACCCTCTCTCTCACCCCCAACATCCTTATCCCATCTTGAACCATCTTGTATCCATTCATACAATCAACTGTCTCTTTTCTCGTCACTCTCAGCCTCTCAGCCTCATCATTTCTGACTTCTCTGACCATTTTTACCCCCCAAATCTCCCATTCAACATGAGTGCTCCGCGCCCTTTGTTCTTTTGCTCCCGTCCTGATGGCACTCTCACTCCACTGATGCCGCTTGACGAAATGCCATTCGGCATGGTCTTCCGTGGTGTCTCGCGCGTGATCAGCCCAAGCGAGACCCAGGGCATGACCAGCTGTGGTGTGGCCGTCAAACGCTCCGAGGGCTGGGCCATCGAAAGCCACGGCAAAGACCAGCCGATCAAGGACCTGGAAATCAACCAGAAGGTCCGCAAGATGCTGGTCGATGTTCTCAAGCTGGAGAATATCCCTGCCACCCTCCGCCAGGATGTCTCCGACCTGATCACTAAAGGTCTTGAGACCCTGGAAGTCACTGCCTCGCAGTGCATGGCGGTCGTCCCGGCTCCAGCACCAGCTATCGAGGCGTGCCCAAGCACTGGGGTTGTCAACCACCAGAAGCCACAAGTGAGTACTATCTGTTCATCGTGACACCTCCACAGTCCGACTGATCATTCTTCAAGGGCTCGAAGAAGAAGGAGTTCTGCTCCTACTGGATCCGTCACGGCGAATGTGACTACCAGCAGCAGGGTAAGTTCCTCTGGTCTGGCTGTCAAGAAGTTTGTTTTAACTCTCCTCGAAGGGTGTCTGTTCCGCCACTCCATGCCAACCGAGCCCGAGGCGCTGGAGAAACTGGGTCTTCGTGACATCCCACGTTGGTACCGTGAAAAGTTCGGCCTGGCGAGTGTCCTTCAACAAGGTGGACGACTTCAACAGCAGGCATTCATCACCATGGATGCCCTGCCTGCCACCCAGAAGGCAATCCAGTACGCCGACCAGTCGGAGGTCACGCAGCCCGCCAACGTTGCCATGAACCACCATGGCCATCCACGCCACACCCAAAGTCCAGGCTATCAGTACCCCCGCGGGGACAGCTGGGACGGGGCTCAAAGTCCCTCCGTGGTGGTTATGGTGGCAACGGCATGCAGGGAAGAGGCCGTGGTGGTCACCCAAATGGCCCCTATCACAAGACTGGCCAAAGTGGTTGGAACCATCAGTTCGCTCACCACTCTCCCACCCAGCCAGGCATTGGCAGTTTCCCTGGTCAAAATGCTCCAATCGGCCCGATTGCCCAGCCAACGATTGTAAATTTCCGCTTCAACAATGCTCCTCCGGCCCCGAGAACTCGACCCAACTCCACCTTCGCTCAGATTGTTTCCGGTGCCGGTGGTCTGGCGACCCCGGCCGCTTCGCCCAGCGCGGGCTCCAGCAACACCAACGACTCTGGCAGTACCACTGGGAACATTTTTCAATCAGAAAATGGCACCGTCACTCGATCTCGAACCCACAAGGCCATTCATGAGAGCATCATGAACCCCGAGGACGCTGTTGGGTCTCTTACCCAGGGCATAGGTCAACTCGACTGCTTCGGGCTCCCTCCGGTCACCAAGGGTGTGGAAGACTTCCGCAAAGGCCGCCGGCTATTCGACGGGGGCTTCGGCAACGATGGCACCGATGATTCCTGGTGCGATGTCGTCGACGATTTCGTCGACGTTTTCGAGGATCCCGCTTTCGCAGAAATTGGGGCCATCAAGCAGCTGGTTTCCTCTGATCACACCAGACCAGCAACAAGCATCCTCAACGCCCTTGTTGCAGAGAGCGAGCCGCTCGAGAACAAGCTGGCTCTGGCCAACTGGGGGCCCATCGGGAGTAAGACCAAGCACCCCGAGCCGACCAAGACTTCTGCCTCTCTCGCTGCCAGCAAGGTAGAAATTGCCAATCTGAAGGAAGCTCTCAGCAAGACCGAGGGAGCACCTGGCCCGGGCGGAAGCTCGGCCATTGACATGGCTCGCATGAGCTATGACATGTCGAGCTCCTTCTCCCGCAATGGGGACAATGCCGCTGCTGATCTATGGTTCGACTTCGCATGCAAGGCTCACGCCAAAGCCGCCTTTGCCTGGCGTCGCAAGGTTAACGGCGAATTCGGCTCATACTCTCCGAATGGGCCAGATGTCTACACCACCTGGCGGAGAAAGCGTGGCGTCAATGACTACCCGTACGTCACGGGTAGCCGTGCCGAGGATCTCTCCTGCGGCTTCCGCGTTCCTTTCCCGGCCCCTCGCGAGTGTGCTCGACGAGATTCGTGGCTTCGTCTCCAGAAGAGACTGATGCACGAATCTGTGCATCACTGGATGGGGGCATAGCTCTCCCGCAAGTTTCCTGGCGCCGCATTACACCCACTTCAACATTCCACTAATTCAGTCATGGCGCCATGGCTTGCGTTTATTTCCGCCCATACATCGCATGCATTTCAATATGTCGAAAGATTTGACGATCTACTTGTTTTCATTTGATCAGTCATCTAAGCTACGAGAACATGTTCATCATCAGGTTGTTTGTGCATACTCTCATACATCTTCCTGGAAAGATATTGGGCAATGACGATTCACCACTGTCGGCTTTCACCTATGAAAGTCTCGACTCGACCAGACTGGGTCATTTACTATTAGTCTGGAAATATTGGGAAAACCGCCTTGTGGCTGTTCCCTCACTTTCGTTCTTGATGCTTGCATCAACAACTTCCCTGTTCCCTTTATTTTATTTTCATCTGCCGGGTTTGCTTTTTTCCATTCCTTTTCAACCCTAGAAAACCTTCAAAAAAGTTTCGATGACGTTCGTTCGGACCATGGGATTTCTGTTTGTGACGGTTGGGGATTCCTCTGTCTTTAGCATTTGTTCGACCCGAGCTTGTATCTTCCGGGCATTCTGGATGAGACGCATCCTTTTATTACTGATCAATGAACACAAGATCATTTAACTCCAACTCGTTCCAAGGTTCCTAGCTGTATCAAAAGTAGTACTTATCGCATAACAAGCAACAAAAGCAAAGACGTGCCTAGTTCCAAGGTTGGTTCGTAAAGTTCCGCCAAAAGCCCGATGGTACTACAATATCTCAATGGCAAGTTCAAGCATACCTAGGGAGTAGATAATTGGAAGAGTGCATGAATATAGCGAGACGCCAATAAATTGAAAACATGACTATAGTACATCGAGAATAAATGAAGCCAGTTAGACCTCCTGGAATATGCGCCCGCGCCTCGCAAATGTCTGACCACAAGTTTTGTCCAACATGAAAGAGAAAGAGATCATGCAAAGCTTATACACTGCTCAGTCACGCTTCTCATCGCCGAGGCTGCTTCTTCGAAACCCGAGCCCCGACCTTAACAGCAACACGCTCCCGTTCCTCGGTTGCTTGGGCCTTGAGGGCCGGGTTCAGCGAGGGGAGAGACTGGATAGCCTGCGCGACAATCGAGTTGCCGTCGACAGCCTCCCGCTCCTTCGCGGCACTAATTCGTTCCGCACGACGAGCAGCCAGCTGCTGCCGGCGTGCCTCGGTCATGTTCCAAGAATCGGGGAAGCGAGGACGGATCTTGGGCTTGTGGTGACGAAGGTCCAGAGGGACGTCAGCGAATGCGTCACCTTGCTTGGCCTCCTTGATAAGAGTGTTCACGAGATCGGCCAGATAGCGTTTGTTCTGAGCACTGGAGCCAAATTGCTCGCAGGAAATTCGGACAACGTCGGTTTGCGGGTTGTAGCGGGTGCCAGCCAACTTGAGGAAGGTCTGGCGTTGGGCTTCGGTGAGATGTTTGGGTGTCAAATCCTGGGAGGCGAGCTCAACTACAACCTTGGGCTCAGCAGGGTGCTGTTCACCCATGTAGGAGGTATAGCGGAAACGGAGGATTTGGTTTTCGGAGGGCAGGTTAAAGGGTTTGGCGAGCTCTGCGGCGAGGCAAAATAGTCAGCCAATTGCACAGGGAGATGGAAATCAAGGGTTAAACATACTGCTCAGCATTGGCATATCCCAAGCCGTGATGCGGGCGTACTCGCGCAGCTCGCGTTGCAATTCCATTTGGGCATGTGCCGTCGAGGTGATCTCGTCATCGTTGATTTCTTCGTCACCGTCCTCAACCAAGGCCAATTCATCGCTCTCATCTTCGGCCCAGAATCCGCGGGACTTGTCGCGAACATCCTCGAATCGGAGGTCGTGTTCCTTCTCAATTTGGTTGACGCTCTTCTCGAGCTCTGCGAATACGGCAGCGCGCTTGTCGAGATCGTTGAAGTCGGCCACGGCGCGGCGATTCTCGGCGTCGAATTCGGCTCGCTCTTCCGGGGACATCATATCGTACATTGAGCGCTCCTCCTTGCTCAGAAGATCGGGCGAGTATTCGGGCACGGGAGGATAATCCTCCGCACGTAGTTCCTTGGGGGGAGGAGGCATCACCGGATCCTCTTGGACGAAACGAAACGGCGAGGTTGAAAATGAGCGTGTAGCGAAAAATCCAGGGCCCCTGTAGGCCAGGGACCTCGTGGAGCGAGTCAATGCCCGAGCGGTGCAGGCCATTGTATGGAGCAATTGGAGGGACAGGCGTATCGTAACTTTTCGAACCCGCAACGCAAGAGCAGTACTGTTTTCTCCGCGGTCAACGCTAGTCCTGATCAGGCAGCCACGTGATCTCGAAATGGCGTTGGCCAGTCTGCCCGGCGACTTCCAAGCTTGGTTCAGTGCTTGGATCATCAATTACAATGATGATGGTGATAGTGCCATCCAATCCTTTGACACAATGGAATTGATGTCAACAAGAGCTTGCTTCGTCACAGTCGGGGCCACTGCGTCGTTCCACAAATTGATCCGCCAAGTTCTCAATGAGCCTTTCTTCGCTCAATTGGCTAAATATCAATACACCCATCTTTTGGTTCAATATGGAACAGATGGGGAGAAAATTTGGGATGAATTTAATGAAAACTTTCCGCCTGGGTCCAAACAGCTTCACGGCCTGAATGTTACGGGCTTTGATTTCAGACCCGACCTATGGCGGTATATGCGCGTGGCCTCAAAAGAAGGAGATCAAAGGCTCGGTATCATCATTTCTCATGCCGGTATGTCCTGAAATGTCCTTCCTCGATTCTATCAAATTAACCATCTCTCAGGCACTGGAACCATCCTGGATGCGCTCCGCTTGGCCTTACCTTTGATCATTGTGCCCAATCCCGATCTTGCGGACAACCATCAAGAAGATTTGGCAATGGAAATGGAGCAAATGAAATACGCCGTTCGTGCTGATATCGAGTGAGTTTTCTTCCTAGCCGTGTCTTCCCTCCCCCCTCCAAAGCGCTCCAGGGGTATTGACCCTTGTTTAGGAATTTGATGACGGCACTCGATACTGCAGAAGCTCAGGCTCCTGAACAGCTGAGTCGACCTCATGGCCCAGAAAATGCTCTGACTGGTTTGGTTGCCGATCAGCTCCAGGATGTGGACTGAACACACTCACACCCCCTCTCCGAAGGTTTACGACGAGACGACTTGATGATATTGGCGTTGCGATATTGCGATCGATGGTGTTCTCTCACTCCTCTTCGGATGTCACGTTGATCGAAGCTCATGAACATAAATATACCATAGAAAAAATAGCGAAGCAGCGAATATGACCTCTTTTTTTTCCCATAATCTAGTCGAAGAAGTAGACTAATCCCTTGTAGTTGTGGTAGACCTTCTGCTCAAACCGAGTGGAACCAGCGCAGACCGTCATTGGCCCGAGCTTCTTGTTGACAACTCCCGACGCGATTCCGCAAAACCCTCCCGGAGACTCCTGACAACCTCAGCGAGGTGATTGTGATCGCCATCATTCAGGCCAACGCATGCTCCCTTTCCTATAACATCATCCTTGAATTTCAGAGTCGCCAGCCCTCGGCCGTGGGGCCATCTTGAACACTCGCGACCCCGATCACCCCCCGACCTCCCTCTTCACAGGCATTCCCAACTCCCCGCAATGGCTGAGGCTACCCTTCACAACGTACCAATTGTCATAGACAATGGAAGCGGAACCATCCGAGCAGGCTTTGCCGGAGAAGAAATTCCGTCATGTTATTTCCCCTCGTTCGTCGGCCGTCCCAAGCATCCGCGGGTCATGGCTGGTGGTCTGGAAGGCGACTCTTTCATCGGCACACGCGCACAGGACCTTCGCGGACTTTTGAAGATTCGGTATCCGCTAGAGCATGGCATTGTCACAAATTGGGAAGATATGGAATCGATCTGGCATTACGTCTATGAAAATGAGCTCAAGACTCTGCCCGAAGAGCACCCCGTCCTGCTCACCGAACCTCCGCTGAACCCCCGTGCCAACCGCGATTTCGCTGCTCAGCTCATGTTCGAGACCTTCAATGTCCCTGCTCTCTATATGTCTATCCAGGCCGTGTTGTCACTCTATGCATCGGGTCGTACTACTGGTGTCGTGCTGGATTCTGGCGACGGCGTTTCCCACGCCGTACCCGTCTATGAGGGTTTCGCCATCCCGAACAGCATTCGCCGAATTGATGTTGCTGGTCGTGATGTGACGGAACAAATGCAGCTACTTTTGCGCAAGGCTGGTCACGTACTGCACACAAGCGCTGAGAAGGAGGTGGTGCGCATGATTAAGGAGAAGGTCTGCTACGTGTCGTTGGATCCGAAGCGCGAGGAGAAGGAGTGGATGAACAGCTACCACAAATCGGATGCTAAGGCTGTTGATTATGCTCTTCCCGATGGCCGCAAGATCAAGGTGAGTTCATGATCTCAAGCTGCTTACTCCCATACGCAACTCCCATTCCATACTAACACAACCATCTTTCTCCCCTCCAGATTGGTCAAGAACGCTACCGCGCCCCGGAGATCCTTTTCGACCCAGAACTGATCGGCCTCGAGTACCCCGGAGTGCATCAGATCGTCCAAGAGGCGATCACCCGCACAGATCTCGACCTGCGCAAAGCTTTATACCACAACATTGTGCTCTCCGGCGGTTCCACCCTGTGCAAGAACTTCCCGGATCGTTTGATGCGGGAAATTAAACGACTCGCAGTTGAGGATATGAAGATTCGTATCTCTGCACCTGCGGAGCGCAAGTATACCACGTGGATTGGAGGAAGTATTCTTGCTGGTCTGAGTACCTTCCGAAAGGTATGTAAACCGAGAATTTCCTTGATAAATCCATGCTTATTTGTTCTTCTAGATGTGGGTAAGCGCGGACGAATGGCATGAGGACCCGGAAATTATCTTCAAGCGATTCGCTTAGAACAGGTTCAATCAATTGATGGAGCACTGCATAAAAGTCGTCCCTCTCTCCCAGAAAAGACTATTCAGCTTCACATACAAATCCCGTCCAGCTCGAAATCCTCGGATCTCTCCGACACCCTCTGAGAAAGGGCGAAGGCACTAATTCCCAAAGAATGATCTGCTGTGCAAGTCATCGTCTTTCCCCAGGCAAACAGTACACAGCACAGACGTGGGGTGGTTAACAATCACTCGCACGAAGACTTGTTGAGTCCGGGCCCTGCAATCCTGCGACTTTTGATACCCCCTTCCTACCATGTACCCCAATCTCCTCAGTGCATATCTTGTGATATCATGCATCATTATTATTATCATTTACATTTTTGCAAATCCAATTTCCCTCTACAGATACCCGTGGCACTTGTTTTGCTTGAATTGCATGGTTCCAGATTTGTGTAACTAGGCACATCGATCTTAGTAGTTATTTGTAATAGGCATTATATGATAAACATCACTTCTCCCATCGCAAACCAGCCCTATTTCAAGGTCAACCTTTCACGATTGATTCTAGTATAGCTATCCCGATCCAACAGTGTTATCAGGGAGAGGTCCAAGCACGCAATCCCCAATCTTCTGGCGTGCGGAGAAGTCCGCCAAGAAATGCCGCTTCTCTCAAGCCAACTAATTCTACAGAGTACAGGCCGCATCATCGTTGTTTGCAATAACCACTGGGTATATTCATGTCAGACTTCTATTCACGGCCCGACCGGGCAAGAGCCGTTTGTCTACACTGCCATGCGCGAAAGGTTGAAACCGGATTTGACCCCATTCTAGCAACCTATTGACTGAACGGGCTCAGGTTCGATGTGATCTAGAAGACCAACCAGGTGGGGTCTGTAGCAATTGCAGAAAGCGCCACCAATCATGTCAGTAAGTTAAAGCTACCTAACTACTTGTCCAAGGCAAAACATCGACCACTGACCATGCTTACAGGCGCCGAGGTCGCAGACCATATCCGGCCAGGGCGAATGGCTCGAGACAACTCACTGCGCCGAGGCAGCCCGATGCAAACACAAAAGTCGACGAAACTCGCTTGTTGTGCTCTCCAGCATCATCTGGTCACGACTCACAGGATACCGGACGGACCAGGATAGCGTCAAGGGAGCCGCCCGCCTTTGTCGATGAACTGTCATTCATGGCCCCTTTGGCGACTCAACAAGATTATATCATTCCAGAGTCGGTCATTGCAGCTCAGGACCACCTCTCCAAGAATCTTATTCAGGCTATCTCTGCCACAACACTGCCGCCTAAAGCCCAAGTAGAAGCATTCGCAGATTCCTATTTCGATCGTTTCTATCACCGCGCGCCGTTGATAGATAAGGCAGACTTATCAACTGAAGACCCTTCAGTTCTGGTGTCCCAGGCTATTTGCATGGTAGGATCTCTTCTTCGGCACTCTGGTCCGGACTCACCTCTTGGGGATGCTGAGCACTACTACGGCAAAGTGAAAACACTCCTCTATACCAACTATGAGCCAGACCAACGCAATGTACTGAAAGCTCTTTGTCTCCTGAGCTTCAGAAATCTCACACCACCCAAGGTTGTGAGCCTTGACTGTTCATGGCAATGGTTAGGTATGGCAACTCGTCTCGCCTATCAAATGGGTCTTCATCGTGAATCAACTTATGCGCAGCTCCCAAATCCCGGAAATGCGCGTCGAATTATGTGGTCTCTATTCGTAAGGTCAACGCAGTATTCCCAAATACCACCCATTAATTTCATAAATAGGTCTCGGATCGACATCAGACAGCGTGCTTCGGGCGACCGTCTATTATCAGAGCTTCAGAGTTCGACGTGCGGCTGCCAACAATATACGACTTTGATAAGCAGGATGACAAGGCGGAATTATTTATCCAACATGCCAAGCTCAGCATTATTCTCGGTGGAATTGTGGACCGACATGCTCAAAAGAGTGAAATGACACAAAACGAGGTATGAAAAATGACAGCCAGTCCTCAGTGCTCTTGCATTTCCTCATGTTTCTTGGACAGGCTATATCCATCCTCGAATCTCTCCAGCAATTCATCAATAAGATACCAAGCCGGCTTCAGCTGCACGAGGGCTCTAATCGACGTCCCTTCCGGCCAGATATTTATGAGTTTCATGCCAACTACTTCGTTTGCCTGATTGTCTTCTTCCGACTTTTCGGCCATGCCTTCCCAGCTCTCACGGTCTCAGCTGCGTCTCTGGTTGCATCCTCTTGCATCGCCCGTCTCTACGAACAATTTCTTTATCGTGATGAAATGAACTACTTGACCCCGCTACATAACTGGTTCGTCATGGTAGGTTGTGCACCGCAGATTCATCACAATGCAACCTGCCAAGGTCAAGACAAACTCTGCAATGAAGAGCTGCCAATCTTGATAAATACCCTGCGCTATATGCGATTGAAATCACCACCGGCAGGCGTTCTATTGGATATCATAGAACGCCTGAGCGAAGTCAGTCCCAATGGTCCAACGAACAATGTTTCCTCAGTTCCGCGAGAAAGTTCACCATCCGAGGAACCGTGGCTTGCGCAGCTGCCTCATGCCGGTCTTTTAAACTCCTTATTTCCATTTCCTGGGTCCCTGAGTCCAAGACTATCGATGATACATGGAACGAACCATGAATTGAATGACTTGGCGGTTCTTGACAGGATGGTGGAGCAGGAGGACGATGATCTCGAATGGATTTTCAACGAATACCAGCTGAATTATTTCGATGCATCATTTGTTTAAATACGGATATCGAGTTGAATAGTGCCCGGGGCTCAATAATGACCTCAAAACAAGCATTATTCAGCAAGTTCTTGGTTTCAGCTAAAGGCCTACATGTGTGTACATATTTGAAGAATATAGCATCCTACTCATTTACAAAATCCAACAAGCCCAAACGAATGGTTCGAAATGAAGCTTCGTTTTTTTCATCCAATGATGTGCCCTGGATGATAATCCAGACAGGGGCCAGGCGGCAAAGAACGTCCTTCGGCTTAGATCCTTGCACCCGAGCCGCAATTTCTCCGTACAAACCCCAAATCCAAAGCAAGGAGCGTACAGGACTTTTCGAAAAGCCAAATGAGCTTATTTAGGTCAATCATATTTGTCACGCTACCGTCTAACTTGGCAAACAGGCAGGGCCGTTGCTAAGGGGGTCAACCTGATGCAAACACTGATCCCTAAAACCAACGGCGCCAGGTAGTTATAGAGGAGGATCCATATACAAGTTATACTAGGGAGTGGTGATATTTGCAGGATGATGAATTCTTCACAGAATACTGAGTGGTTGGTAGATCTTTATGCCTAGCAGATGCCTAAAAAATGAGACAGCAATGACAAAAATCTGCACGAAGAGACAATCACGTTCGCTTTTTAGAGTAGGTTAAGAGACCAAGCCTCAAAGAGTCTATGCCTCCATCCATCCTTGCTCGTTTTGGTCTGCAAAGCTCTCCCGATATGGATGCTTTTGGATCCACTCCTCTGCGCCAACAACTGTTGCAGACTTCTCATAGAACTCGGTAAGAACGTTGTTGAGAGCTGTTTAACCGTTAATTACCTGCCAAATTTACCCCGCGGTCTTCTTTAATACTTACTTTCAACTTCGATGGGCTTTGAAGGCTGTAAGGAAAAGCGCGAAAGGCCTTCTCTCCATAAAACCAGCGCGGGTGGAATAATAGTACCTAAAATGATGAGCCTGTTCTTTTACTTTAATTTGGAGCGGTGAGTAATCAAACCTTTCTGGATACAGATCACAGTAGGATCAAGCATAGGTTTGCCGTCATCGACACCTTCTTGATAATGTGAGAAATCAAATTGCAGAATTTGTTGCATAAGACGAGAATTGGGCATGAAGATGGGCCCGTTGGAGTCTAGGACAGAGTGAGTACTTTGGCACTACATAGCGCTTTTCATTAAAGCAAAAAAAGGGGGTTTGCTTACAGGGGCTTGATTTCGAGATCATCGCATGAACTAGGCCATCTTCTGACACCTTGATGCCGTCCTTCCGATGGCGGGTTTCCTCTTGGCTCGCGTCGTATAATGTCGCGTTCCGGTGAAGTTGGAACCGATACATCGTTGCTGGGAAAGAAGTATGCGTGGAAAGTAAGGAGAATTTCCGCGCATGATTGAGTCGGATGACCCTGGAGGTTGGTAGCCGGTGGCTGGCGAGCATGGCTGTAGTGAGGTCTGTTACAAAAAGAAAATATTCAATGGGATCAAAGATAGGGAAGAAGAAATGGAACGCGAAAGGAGAGAAATGTGAAGATGGCAGAGATACTGTCAGCCTGAGTCTTGGTTCGATTGATTTATAGAAATCAAGGAGATATTAGAAAGCACTCAACAACAACTAAAAAGGAAAAGCGCCGGGCGTCACGTGTATTATCCGGGACTCAGAGATTCCCCGCGGCCAAAAATTGGTCTAATTTCACTGCCTGCGGGTACGGCGGACGACAGTGGCCTCAGGCTTACTACGATCAAAATGACGTTTTCCTTCTCTCCTTCTTTATTTCTTATCTTCAATCTGGAAGTTCCTATCTGTCTCTCTCTCAGAAGGCACGAGTAAGTTAACCTAATTTCCATCAATACTATGTGTATAAAGTTCCTACTGAGTTGCGATAATTACTAGGAACTCACAGCACAGCTATCCGATGAGGTTGACCTTGACTTCCCAAGGCCGTCCACATTGAAAATGATATCGTCTCGGACGTTCCAGACGATGATATCCTGCCTGCCCGCCCGCGGGCCAGTCGCAACTGTGGGCCTAAACCCGTGCCCATCCTGAAACCTACAGCCCTTTCTCTTCTCGCACCTTTGGGAGTAGGCTCGCAGGCACTCGGATTTTATGGCGATATCATGCCGCGAAATCAGCAGAAGCCGCAAAAGCCGGCGCAGCCGCAAGAGCCGCAGTTCCACGACCAGCCAGTAGCGCATTCGGGCATCCATTCGCAGCCAGAGATCCATTCGCAGCCAGAGATCCATTCGCAGCCAGAGATCCATTCGCAGCCAGAGATCCATTCGCAGCCAGACGTGCAGTCCCAGGAAACTCTGCTCGACGAGGATCCGGGCATGCAGAATATGGAGGCCAGCAAGTCCAAACGACGCGAGTACAATCACCGTAACTATGGAGAGCTAACTGGTCTTGGGACCAGCAAGAGTAACAACTTGAGAAAGTTTGCGAAGGCAGCTTCCAGGTCTCAACATCCCCTTACCAACGATCAAGCCCTTCTATCCAAAACCAAAATCTCACAGTGTGATATTGTACAAAAACCCTGGAACTGCCGATTGAAGTTATAGTCTCGATCTTGTAATACATCGAGCTCTACTATATACTACGTCTACAAAGGGTTTCAAAGACCTAGAAAACTTGAAGACTTCTGTCTTCCTACACCGTGCAATACGCTACCAGTATGATACAGATGCTGGGACCGTGGCTCGCAAACGAGACCATCCAAGATACCGCTATTTTTCTCAAGAAAAGAGCAAGAATCAACGATGCTTGCTTTGCATTAGAGATTACCTTCAAGTCTACATGCAAAGGAGAACGGTGTGTCAGCACAGGGAAATCCACACACCATTTATCTGGGTGTATGTACAAATGTCCTTGTGCTGGCACACCGTTCTTCCTTGCATGCCGGCTTGAAGGTAATACTATCTGATGCGTGGACGCACGCTACTAGAATTCAGAAGGCCTTTATCCGGCATAATGTCATATTTTGCCTTTGTGAGCAATCAGAGGTGTTCATTGTGTGCTAGATCGAAATTCGCAATCCGGCTTTACAATTAATTTACAAACAAAGATTTCCATGACGGATACACTGTGGATCATGGGCTTGTAAGGCTGTTCAGGTGATCTTGTCCACGCTGTTAGCATGTATTGACCGCCTTTTTTTTCTTCGTTCGTTTCTCAAGAAAATTTGTTTTGAATGGAAATCCAAAACCCAAGTCAATTGAGAGAAAGTAGAACAAACCCAAAATGCAAAGTCAAAAGAATTGATAAATTACAGCCAGTCCAGGTAATTGCCACGATGACATTTCTCTGTCAGATTCTTTGTCTGGTTCTGAGTCATGAAAAACTTGAACCTGCGCGGTTGTTAGCGCCTACATTCGGCTGCAACGGTGACTTTGGTACGACCCACGTCTAAACCGGTCCGAGATGTCGCCATCAGCTGATCCACACCGACACACTTTTACCAGGCTACGGAGTACGGTGAATCATAATGAAGGATTTTACAAAGGAGGTTAATGAGAGATCGCTGAATACGGCCTTGCGGCGGGTATTTCCATTGAAAAGCCAACAACTAGAAAGTAGTAGTTGAGGCACGATTTGGGGGAATCTGTTAACTAGTAAAGAAAATAGCCATGATAGGCAAGATGGGAAACAAATGAAGACAAGAAATAAGAAGAGTGTGACTCCAAGGGACGATGCAAAAGGAGACGCGATGAGTCTCGAATGATGCAATTCAACAAGAGATGCTTTGCCCGCAAGGAAAAGAAACATAAGACTAATTCCAGAACCGGGCGTGATGCATTGGGTACCGTGGTGACCCAGGGTAAAAAGCAGAGAACGCCGATATTCCATGCTTGAGTGAGGAGTTGTTGAGTTGTAACACGCGTTTCAAGTTTGTTTCACTGTTGAGAAAACATAATGCGAGGAAGGTGGCTGAGCAGTGGAAAGGCGTCTTTGTTTCGAGAGCCTCCATCTGCTACTCGAAGTTTCCTTGGGTAGTCCAGGTCGGGAAGTTGGCGCAATTAAAAAAACGAGGTAAGATTTGAAAGGTTGAAAGGTCGAAATGTCGACATTGTGTTGAAAGAGCAAAGAACTTTTTTGGGTTTGTCGTTAAATGTCGTAAGGTGCCATGCAATTCAAGGGCGATGGCGAACCCGCGGGATGTCGCAGATAGAAGATTGCAGTTAAGCAGCACCCTTCAACTTGCCCCAACCCTTCTCGAGGCCACGGCGGGCCATGTCGCGAGCACGATCGGCAACGGATCCGGAACTGCTGGCGGTGTTGGTGCTAGTAGAGGAGTACTTGCGACTCAAGCTGCAATTGCTGGCGTCGTCCCGATACATCATGTTGCCGGCACCGCCACGACCGACGTGGTAAACTGGTGCGGCGCGGCGAAGATCGCGCTCGAGTTCTTCATCGAAGCTGAACATGGCGCGTTCGCTGGAGCTGTGGACGTTGCCGGCGCCACCACGGCCAGAGGTAAAAGTCGTAGGAGCGCGCGAGTTGAGGCGTGTCAACGAGGCAGGACCTGTGGCGGTGCGAGAGTCGGTAGTCTTGGTATTCTTCAAGCTGATGACATTTCCGGATCCTCCACGGCCGGTGTAAACGGCAGGTCGACTGGTATGAGGCACCGAAGGATGCGGCTCAATAACGCGGTAATTTGAGGCGGGCATGGTGAATGTGATGTGGTGGTTGTAGTAATCGGAGAGGTTGTAGATTAGATATAATAGATAGCTGCAGCGCAAGCTATAAGGATGTCAGGTCCATGAAGCAAAAACAAAGATTGAGATGCTAAAAATCTGTGAATTATGGAGACCCATTTACAGCGGGGACGAGGACTTAATATAGTCCCAGGGCCATCGCTACCAGGGAGAGTCATTTTCACCTCTCAGGCACGACATCCACGGGTCACACGCCGGTGGGTCGGCGGCTGTGGGGATTTTCTTTCGAATTTTTTCTGGGATTTTTTATTTTTTCGGTTTTCAATTTTTTCTTACCTAGTCTGGAATTTGATCCAATCCACCTGGCGTCATCGGTCCACATAAGAGTTAAAGCAGCAGGAAGACGATTACTGTTTAGGGGAAAGTAAGACTGCTGACATAATCCACTGGGTGCCTCAGCAACGTGCCAAGAGTGGCCAGTCACGGGACAGAAAACAGCCAACTTCCCCCCCAGACAACCTTCTCACTGGTTGATTCCTTTGACATTCTGTTCATTTGACTCCACTATACTCCATTATTCTCCACCCACTTCTCCTCGCCGCTTTTATCTACCAGACACATCATCTGACCCGCGTTGGACCCCCAGTGCCCCCCCAGTTCCAGCGCTAGGCGCCTCCAATAATGGGGAGAGCCAGGGGCCAACACGTAACAGAAATTGACTCACCTGCCAATAATACCCTGTTCAGCACCCCAACAGGGTAGTCGAGTGGACACGATGATTCTCATTACCCCCAGAAAACTCCCAAAAAAACCTCATGCTGGTGCCCAGACTCTTCCACTCAATAAAACTAGGGGTAAAAATCGTACGCCGTACGCCCTGAACACCTCACCGCACCCCGTGGCTCGACTCGGATCGCTTGCTCGTCAGGCGCATTTCGCCATTCCCCCAGCTTCCGCCAAACATTGGACCGTGTGACACATTGAAAAATTGCATCATCCACCGATGTCGACATTCCTTTCCTAATTTGTCTTCACGATAGTTACATGTCGACTGTAGCACGCAACAAGGTACATCGAAAAAAATTACCCCTACCTTGTTAATTCCCATTTCGTCCACAGGGTTTGCAAAGCGACGAGGACCCGTGAGCACACTCCTCTCAATTCTAAAAAAAAAAACCGAAAAAACCTCACACCCTATCCACTTCGTTGTAACTCTGTATTCAGTGTGTATACGCCGTCTCAGCCTAGTAGAGAGGGGCCCGCTGATCCAAAGCACGATGACCCCATAGCCCAAGAATTGCGGGATAATTCTTCCCTCTTAGAAGTCTCAGACCCCCCGGGTGATCCGCCGAGGGGCAGTCTAGTTCACGCCGGTACCTGAGATCGTCGTCAAATTCGCGCAATCCTTGATCCCATGTGTCCGATCTGGTTGACTCTGCCGAGAAGAATCTATTGATCATGCCCAGGATGCCTAGACTGCCTAGAATGCAAAAAAGCGCATCGCCCCCTTAAAAATTGGTCATTGAAAATAGGCAAACTGGAATAATCCACGCCACCGCACTGTCTCTTCTTTCAGCTTCTCTTTTCTTGTTGCAAGGTTGTCATTTCTCGGCCCCTTCGGCTGTGCGTCCAAAACCGGTATGGCGTTTCCCCAGAAGAACCAGCGGATACGGTGGACAAATGACGCCAGGGTGGCCGAGAGAATCAAGGAAAGTGGAAATTGAAAATTTTTTCACATTTTTGCCTCCCTGGGCCACCTGACTGGCGGGGGGATCCGAGGACGGCGCCACTGTCCACTTACAGTGTGAGCTCGGACTTGTCTTTTACCCCAGATTGTTCTTCCCCAGACTCAAGACTCAGCCCTTCAACTGCTGGTCTACTGCTGATCTACTCTGGCTACATTGGCCTACTGCACTGTGACTCCCCCTCATACCAGCCCCTTTGGATCACTGCTCCCCGTGATCAACCCCGGAACTGCCGCGCTACCCAGCCAAGGAATCATTTCCGCCTCAAACTGATGTGCCATGGCCACATGGACGTGCTGCTTGAACCGTTGGGGCACTTTCAATGAGGGGGAACTTTGTCCCCTCACTCTAATCCCCCCCCCGCCGCCCAATACTGGTAGAATGCCACAATTCTAGGCAATTCCATTGTACGGGGTATACTAGTCAACATTTCGACCCGTCAATGCGGCCCTGCAGGATATCCAAGGAGGTCTTCTCCGGCAATCCGTATCACATCAGCCCAACAAGCATATACAGTTTGTGATGCTCCCATCGTAAACCCCTCATTCCCATTCCCATTCCCATCCAACTCCAAAGCTACTCCATACCCCCTGCAAAATTGTGGGGACATACGAAACAAAGCCACCGCTTCTCCCACCTTATTATCTAATAGCGAGCCAGGATGACACATGATTATCGTCGCCGCCTGGTCGAGACCACCGGCAACCGGCAGCCAACACCTCACGACGGCCGGGACGGGAAAGTCGAGTCTCGCAATGACGCATGTTCTATTTTCGCCTTGAAAATATCAAGTAAGTCTGCGCGGCGTGTACATGTCGAAAGTATTTTGTCAGATGTGCCATGCATTGCGATTACGGTGTGCGTTACAGCCGATCCAGATCTCCAACTACTTGCAGAATAGACCGCATTATTGCGCGATTTTAGTTCCGGGTAAGTTACCTAAGGTTGTCCTTTTTTGGAATGGAGGTAGTACTCTGAGGGCTGTCAATTGTGCAACCTTGGTGGCCTGTCTTGAGGTTGGGGCTAAGCTCTTTGGATTCCCAACTTGTCGGCTCTCTGTGCGTCGTAACCAGCTGTTTGGTTTAAGACCAGTGTCTTGTTGAGTTTCGTCATAAGTCTCCGAGGGTGAAAATGTTGAGTCCGAAACCCAAACTTCCAGTAATCAGCAAAGAAGATGTTGCGGCGCTCACGCTATGATCCCCCGGATGTCAACCTCATTTAAACATCGATTTAAATGACTGGGGCGACGACCTCCCGAGACACATACCTCGAGAGTTGACTAGTAAATCACATTTCAATTACACCCAGTGAACCAAGCCAAGATCCTTGGACCTGGCCATGGTGGTTTCAAAATTGCTTAGTTCTCGTTCGTGATACAACAGCGAAACTTCTAGTCTACGAAACAGAGCCATTCGGGAGCCGGGGGTTCATGTTGCTCGACCATTTCAACTAGTTGAATTTGATACATGTTGGTCTTAGCTCAGCATATTGTTGCAATGAAATCCACTTTCTATCAGTTTTTCCTAAATTTCTCGATTCGACTTCCCATGGTTCCCATTGAGCGTGACTTATTTGTCGTTCAAGACAAACATTCCTCCAAATCAGCCATACGCCCTGTTCGGCCTGCGGCCAAACCGCCGAGCGGTGGTAAAAGGCACTTTGCCTCGCGGGTGTGGTTCGTGGAATTGAATGCTCCTCTCAACATCTAACTTCGTGGGCTGGAATTGCCAAACCGAACCATACAGCTTGGTGGCAGCGAACCCGACCAAAATCATTGCGTGGAGGAAATCATTCCATGGAACCTCGCCAGGGGTGGAAGTCGTAGCAGGGCTGAAGAAGATGGTGCGGAACACTTTCAGAGCACGCGCATTTACGGGGAATGTGGGCTGGGTATCAAATGGGGTTTGTTCATGCAGGTTTTCGGCTTCTGTATCTGCTGCAAAGGCAGGACTGGGCTTTCCGCGCGTTTTGGTCTTCTGCTTCGGCGGCGCAACGTCCAGTTGCCGGGGGGAGATGCCAGAATAGACCTTCGAGACTGGCAGATACAGGGCATAATGATCAGATTCGCCTGATTTCGGCACGGGTGCTGCGGGCGAAGCTTTTTCGGGCTTGGTCCATTCTGGAGTCCGCTGGAGGATTCGTGACTGGGAGAGAATATTTCGTACTGCGGTGTTGCGCAAGTCGCCGGCTTTGGCGACCATGAGCTGGTCAATGCTAGCCCAGAAGGCGTCCAGGTTGTGTTCAGCCTGGCGTAGCGCCACGACATTCTCCTCGGTACGGCGCTTGTGAATGGGATAGGTGAACTTGTTGCCAGATGGCTTGCCAAGCTTGAATGAACGAGTTGTGAAGCTCTTATCACAGAGTGCGGCCAGCATCTTGGCCCATGACTGGGCTCGTTGAGCATACATTTTGGAGGTATCCTGGTCGATCTCGGCCATTTTGCCTAGCCAGGTCTAAGCCCATGGCTAGTAGAGTTCCAGCTAGTTCAATGACTGAGAAATGATGGAAAGGTCACTGATCACTGAGCTGAAATAGGGAGAGATGAGTTCCTGGGCAGTTGGTTCTGACTGAAGCAGACGCTCCAGCTCATCGACAATGACAGGCATACTTGCTAGGAACAAGTTTGGCTATCATCCCAGAGGGTGCTAAGAAGCCACACTAGCTGTGTCTCGAGGTTGTTCATCTTGATGTCAGGTTTGAACATTGTTCGAATCTTGGATGAGTATGGGTCGACGGGAGGTTCACGAGCAAAGAATTTACGTAGGGGTGGAGATGCCGGCGCTGTTATTTTGAGGTGACTTAGTGGTCCTTTCGCCGCCTGGCTCACATGTAATCGATCAAAGCGAGGCGTCCTCAAATTCTTGGGGAGGTCTTTCGAAGGCACGATCTGGCTGGCGCACTTTGTAAGGTGACTAGCTGTTTGGCTTGGGTGCTCAGTTCAGAGAAGATCTCCAGCTCCAGATACGCGTCTGAAACGACAGTGCCGATGATACGTGACCAGAAAGTGTTCTGCTGTCCCATTCGGAACACCGAATGGGCGTTTCCAACAAAATCTTTGAAGTTTTCCTGTCGGTAATCCTTCGCCTCGAGAGCAACATCAGAGAAGTATTCGGGATCCTCATGGAGAGCCCACTAGTGACCCTCCGCTGCCGATGCTCTAGCCGATGACAGGGACTCCATCTGAGATAAATATAGTTTTTCAGGCACTCGATATGGGGCTTCCGCTACCATCACCCCCAAGGACTCGAATCCGTTGATCTCTTGATCAGTCTTGAGTGGTGGCTCAGCTAGGGTAGGGAACTCATCACTAGTGACAGTGGATGGGGTGATGTCATGAAGAAGCTGCAAGGAGCAATCAATTAGAAACTCAAGAAATCGCCTTTGAATCTCCAAGATGATGAGACCCTCTCCCGAAAGAAATTGTTTGCGTTGTACCATCCAGTCAAACGCCTCTGGCTCTTCATCCCAATCCACGAGTCGCCCATTGTCCCGGGTATTGCCATTCACTCCGTGCAGAATCATGACATGTTCGTTCAAAAAAATGGGGACGATGGATTTGGTGACAAGTCCCAAGTGAATGGCCCGGTTATCAGCCGCCGCAAAATGCGACGGGGGGTAATGACCGCAAGCATTGAGAAGCAACGGCAGCGTCTTTTTGCTCAGGAGATCCTCTTGGTTGATGTACGGCCAGAGAAAACTTCCCCGGTTTTTCGTTCCTTGGTTGCGATCCACGGAGGACTCCTTACGGAATGTTTCAAAATCAGGCCGATGGCTTACAGGCATGTCGGGCCAGGAATTTAGCAAGACCTTGAGTCTCTGCTGGCGGGTCTTTCCAGCCATCGCTTTCTAAGCGTAGCCTCGTGGCGCTCTAAAATGCCGTGTAGGGTCTCATAACGGTTGAAAATGTTTTGCGACCTTTCACTGGCCTCTTTGCGAACCTCCGTTTGGAAACTCTGGCAATGGCAAGTTGCCCGGCCCGCGGGCATTGAGAGCTTTGAAGAAAGACGTAAGATCGTTCCAATCTATGTTATCGATAGCGGGATCGGGTGTGTCGTATTTAGCTGCCTCAGGAGAAAAAGGATCAAATTGATGGCTTGGTCTAAGATCCATTTGATGGGGTCTATTGTCATTGTATCAAACCCTTCAAAGAGAAGAGGGTGGAAATGGAGCGGGTAGGTAGTCGTGATGGATTTGGGGGGAATCGGGAGTTGAGGGGAACCTCAGGAAACAGACCAAAAAGAAGTGGGTCGTGAAGGTGCAGATTGATTGGCGACGTGATGTGATCCCATATCCCACTGAACGAGTGAGGATTTTATTGGTACGGTTTGTAAGTCTCAGTCTCAACCTTGGAACTAAGATAGGTACTCCGTATCTGTTAGGAAACTGCGAGATGGAGATAGAAAGAAAAATCAATGAGGGCTAACTAGTAGTACTACTACCTAGGTAGTAATACGGGATGAAAGACAGAGGACGATAAAAGGTGCCTAGTTGGAGTAGATTATAGAGGCAAAGGAGAGAAGCTGACATATGTCGATCTTGAGATGCCTGAGACATATACCTCAACAAGAATCAATAGAGTTATCAGTATGTTTGGAAAAAACGGCTGCGTGTAGTACCTAGTAGGTATACCAAATGGATGGACAAATGCCCAAAGGTACTAACTACTAGTACTGGTACCAATGCATTGGAACGCTCATGCAAATTTCGGTAAGGGCAGTTTGCGTTACTCCCGACTAGCCAACAAACATCATCCCTTTCAACTTGAACTTTGCAAGTACTAGTAGTAGTAGTAGTAGTAGTAGTAGTAGTAGTAGTAGTAGTAGTAGTAGTAGTAGTAGTAGTAGTGGTACTAATTATCTTGCCTATGTGTATTTTGCTATAAGAACACCCTCTTTCTTTCTATCCTCCTTGTTTTGCCCTTTTTCTGCTAACATCCAAGCCACGCCGCGTGTTTTGAATTGTGGAGTATATCTCTTTGCTTTATAAACACAAATACCATTTTGCACTGGCACCATAAGACTACAAGTGCCATTGAAATATTTTATTCTAAAATATGCAGGAGAATGCAGAATTTCGTCAGATACTAGTATCATATTGATATAAATACACAGGCTAGCATAGGTATACCTGCAGGTAGTAGTAGTACTCTTTAACAATGGAGTATATGCCAACATGAATATATAAACCCTAGACAGTCTGAGACCAAGATCCGCTTGATATGATTCGAGTCGTAGCATGAAAACTGATAACAGCCCCCAAAAGTGGAAATATAGACCGCACCAAGTTTAGCTTTGCCCACTTCTTCAAGAGCCTAGGCACCTCATTGTCCGCTTGGGATCGCTTCGACTGTTCTTCTGTGCTGTGCACTGCATCCATGGCATCCTCGGCGTCTCCCTTATTATCAAATGCTGCGTATGAATCCAATTTCTTATTGGTCTTGAGCATAGCCAAGACAGTCCAGGGTGCAATGCTCATAGCCACGGCAGCGGCAAGCAGATAGTGATTGGCCATATTGGATACTGCTACCGTTGTACCCCTCAATTTCCAGAAGACGTACATATTTGCAAGAGACGCAAATCCTGCAATTGTTGGGAATATCTTATGACCACGATCATAAAAGTCCAGCCATTGATGCGAAAGATGGGCGGCGAGGTTACCAGGCATTTCGTAGAAGGCGCGGGCAGAGTTGGCAGGGCGACGAGCCGGCAGGGTGAGGTTGGGGATGCATGCGATTGAAAGCGTCGCAATGCCCCCTGTAAAGGTAAGAAAATGGTTCGCTGTGGTTGGCTTTTCGCTGTGAGATGGTAGATCTTACCTGCAGCTGCGGCACAGCCAAGCGTGCCGATCGCCTGAGCGATGTAAACCCCGGTAAGCATCTTGAATTTATAGTCGCAACAAGAAGAATTGTCTAACCCGGAGACTAAATAGAATGGCAGTTCTAAATATGAGTCGAAATCAGGATTGACTTTTAAATGTCAGGATTTTGGCCCCGATTTCTCGGGATTTGCGGGCCTTCGCAAACTCCGGTTATACACCCTCCGGTCAACATTGAGGAGAAACATGAACTTGCATTATTAGGCAGCCATTAAGATATTTGAGAACTGGGGTATTCAGAATCCAAGCTCAGTATAGATACAAATTGTAAAATTCAATCAGAGGGCGTAAGAAATGATCATGAGTATCCCAATATTTGGTTCTGCGGAATAAAGTAAACCGTTGCACTTTGTTAAAGAGGGGTCTGAGATCGGCTAAGACTTGTCAAGAATACTCCCCATACCTTACAGCTCTAAATTATTCTTCGCGGTACATTAAAAGGCGCTTGAATCCTCAACTTCATTAAAAAGCTGCCACTAACGCAGCGCCTGCAACACCCACAAAAGGGCCACTGGCCTTATAGCCGGGTATCGTCGGCATGGCGGCTAGCCCTGTCGACGTCGAATTCGAGGGCCGTTTAGCTGTTGTCGTCCTCGGCGAATACGGCACAATAAACGCCGGGAGATCTCCCGCTGCATCCGGAATGTTCGGGCCATTGCCGATTCCCAGAATTTCATCCGGATCGGGATTCTCGTTCAAGGCGGCCACCCCAACGAAGTGACTGTTGTACATAGGTAGACAATGCTATCAACATACATATGCTGCCAGAAGGCCATGCCAATAACACCTCCATCGCCAGTTGCCTGGGGATCCTGTCCTAACATGGCAAAGTAGCAAATCTCTCCGCCCGACTTCAATGGACTTGTTATGAACAGGTCCCCCCCAGGTTGTAGAGATAGTGGTATTTCTGAAGGTGAGAGAGATGGTATGATTTTCGCTGTGTTGCCTGGAGCAGTCTATATATGGGATAGTTCTAGTTCTAACTAACGAGATGTCAAGGTATTTGTATAACTGCTGGACGGTATCATTCGGAAGATAAGTAAACCCTTGGTGAGTAGTCAGCCTGAAGGAGAGGCTGGATCCGAAAGTATAGTTTTTCGAAGCATTCGACTCGTTTTTGACTTGGAATCCGGCCAGGAGAAGAGCGACGTATCTTTCTGTGTTGTTGAAAGAATAGGCCTGTAGGGGGGCATGTTACTTGGCTTTGTTGACTCCTCCGAAGAGCACACCTCCTTTGGCCCCATTTCCAGATTTGGATACATTGCTCCATATACTGAATGAAGGGGATTTGATCAAGCCTTGGTCGACCAAAATGTAAGGGAGCGATGTATTGGCTGGACCCAGCCCCGTAGATCTGTCTACTGATTTGCGTTAGCTCGCCCGGGACACCAGTAATAGAGAAGAAATTGGGTGAGTACGTACAACTCGTGGCTGATATGGGAATCGGAACGAATGGTACATATTTAACTTTGTTTTTTTTTCCGATGGTCATGATATCAGTGGGTTGTTTCCCGTCGTAAAAAATAGGGTGCCATTGATCGATGATTTGCTGGCGTTATAATATCCATATTCGGGGCAATATGGATCATCTTGAAATTGCACGACTGTACAGTCCCCGCCAGAAATATTAGGCTGAGAAAGAATCTCTGTCTATGTCAGCAAATTACTAGAGTGCCAGGTTCCGGCGCGGCGAGGCGCTGCGCTACTTAGCAGGGGCGGTCTTTTGACTCGGGACTCTCTTGTTCCAAGATTATACAGTCGCATGATGGCATATTGATGGCCCTCGGTACTGGAGGAGAATCAATTTCTCATCACCGGCCCTAGATGTTCGTGATCAATGCGGCTCTAGGGAAATCCTTTGTGGGTGGAGCTGCGAGGCAGCGTATGCATTCGGGGACTCAAGAAAATCACCCGAAAGATTGGCATCTAAGCCCTACAGAAGATCTGCATACAGCTCGATACATAATGATACTGCATTTATCAATATCATACTCCGTACTCGAAATACAAATTGATTATGGCCATCTCCAGTCATTGATATGATTATCTAAGCCGATAAGCTTGAATTCTGCCACATGGTACCGCCTCTGCGACCCTCCCTGAAGGTCGCCGATTTGAACCTTGAAACCGCGCTGTTCTCCGCATTCACCGTCAAACACCTGTCGCAAGCTCTGTGATTGAGATCTGCAGCATCTTCAAGTGTGAAATCTTGAACTCGTTTTCCGGGACATCTTCACTGGCTCTCCTCCACCCCGAGCTGGAATTTTTGTCTGTCGCGCGATAGCACCTGAACGCCCGCAGAAGTTGACAAGATGCCGAAATATAAGTCCTCCATGTCCTCATCTGTCCTTCGCATATAAACTGACTTTCTGTGAACTCTTTTGTAGGTCCTCCGTCTGCCATGACTATCCGATTCCACCTGGTTCCCAATTGTCTCGTGAAACAGCAACACGACGAACATTGCAGATATGAGCTGCCTCAGGACGAGATAGAGCGCATCGTCAAAGACAGTCGGCTAACCGAGCTTAATATGCAGGTGATTATTGCGATGTATACCTTACGCACGACTCAATGAGCGTGCGCAAGGCGCACAATTCCGGTCGAAACCATCTGAGGAACGTCGTGGAGTACTATCAGCGTACGCCCCCGAATCTTCAAGAAAGTCATTCGCGAATATCCCTAACCACACCACGATTAGAAATCGGACAAGAAAACGCTCAATCTGTCATTGACTCGATCACGGCATCCTACGCCGCAGAGGGCCAGCCCCTCCCCAATCCCGCCATGGCACCAGGTGCATTCCCACCTCCATTTGGCTTCCCAGGTACACCCCTCGCTCATCGTCATCACCAACAACCTCAACAAACAAGCCTAACAATGACCCCGCGAGGCAATTTAGGTCAAGGGCCTCCTCTTCCATTTGGCATGCCCCCACCAGGAGCCCCCGGCGCTCCAGGAATGCCACCTCGTATGTATTCCCAGGAAGCCTCTCTTCAACGTCTACACCCACTCCGACACCCGCCAACACCCTATCTACATGAACAAACAACTAACACATCTGGTTTCACCTGTACAGCCCCTGGCGCTCCCGGCGGTCTCCCCTTCCCGCCTCGCTTCCCATCCAATGCCTCCGGCACTCCTCCTCAGGGAGGTTTCCCGCCCCCGCTTCCGAACCTGCCTCCTGGATCAAGCCTGCCTCTCCCTCCCCCAGGCGGTTTCCCCGGTTTCCCGATCCCTCCCCCCCGGGGCGGCTGGTGCGTTTCCACCACCCATGCCAGGTGGCCCAACACACTCACCCATCCCATCTGGACCCCGTGGTTCAGAAGGATACCCTCCTCCCGGGGGCGGTCCTCCCCCGGGAATGGACAAGTGGTGAGGAGGCAGCTAGTTGAGCTATTGTTTGTTTTCATCTTTCAGGCTTGTTTTTCTCTGATATTCCTTTTGCGTTCCCTTTTTTTTGCGATTCAAATCGGTTGAATACATTGTTTCTGGTTACGATTACACGCAGGCCGCCATTTGTGGTGGATGGCAAATAGTCTCTCTAGGGCGTTTTTCCCTCGGTGTTGTATGATAGCGGTTTTTATGGGTTGCTACTACTTATTTTATGGACTGATAGGCAATGACGGTTTCAAAATGCATAGGATTTCAATCAATGTCGTCTGCACTTACTGCTACCTTTATGAGGGGCATATCTCAGTGGGGCATTGGATAGGAGGCATTCAAGTTGTATCATGATTACTGACGCGCATGAAAGATCCATGTACTTGTAATGTGGACAAATAGCGTGTGCTGTTCATCCGGTGACCTTTTCTTTGCGACCGCAGTAGGCGCCCAGATCTTGCGCCACTGATGGCGGCCAATGCCTAGCGACTTTCAAGGGCTCAAAACCCCCATCTGTGTTCTCTCATGATTCCAAATGGCTTGCCATAGCTTCTTGCGAGCGTGACACAGGTGGAATTCTTCTCTGGGAATATAATGAGAGTAAGAACATGCAAATCTCAAATTTCTGGCTTGGCATTGCTCCCGATTACAACCCTTCGATGTTCTTCTCGGGCGATTCTAAGTACTTTATTACAAGTTTAAGAAACGGCACTGAGGATCCGGAACCCGAGCACTGGCCAGTGCACCAAAACTCTAGATGGGAATTGGGAGGCAGTAGCTGCATCCCATCACTCCAGGTTGCTCGCCTTGGTTTCTCATCATAGTGGCTATGATGGGAGCATTCAAGTTTGGAGTTTTGATGAATTCATTCCTGCATATTCGGACATTTTCCATTGATGTGACCCTGCAGTTCCGTCCTATCATGACTTTCTCCGTCGATTCGAAATTGATTGCTTATTCTGATAAGAACAGTTTAGAAGTCCAGAATATCACAAATGACCGACACCTACAAATTCGGGTCAAAGATGATGATGATAATTATGACAATGCTAATGGCCTGAGCCTCGACTACATCAGTCGGATCACTTTCTCGTCTAATTCTACCCTGATCGCCAGCCATTCGAAACTTTTTGATTGCATTGAAGTATGGGATGCCACAAGTGGTCAGTGCCTGCATTATCTTAATACCCGTCTTCACTTCAGGGACATCAGTTTCGACGACACCTGCTCGTACCTCGAGACAGATCTGGGGACCGCTTGCCTGCCTGCCGTATCAGACGGCCGCAAAAAGCAGAAGGTGCCAGAAATCAAAGGATACAACATCAGTGAAGATTCCAAATGGATCACACGGGATTCGGAGAAGGTCATATGGTTGCCGGTGGATTACCAACCGGTTACAGGTGGCTTTGCAGTATCGGGATCGAAGATCTGCATTAGCTGTGCGTCAAACGAGGTAGTCATTTTGAACTTGGATCCTGCTGGCCCATTTGGTCCTCAAAACTTGGAAGTTCGCGCTTCCTTGAAACGCCGTCACAGTGGAAATTCCCCTGACGAGGCGGCGAAACGCCCGATGGGAGGACCTTCGATGAAGAATCAACCAACCTGAGCAATACCTTTCCAACTAAAATGATGCAGCGATGAGGAGTGTTGCGGTCTAAGAATGAAGTCCACGACTCTTCTTTGGATGAAATCGTACTTCTATCTGCTTTCAGAGCTACCGAGTCCTCGTACGGGTAATATTATGATCGATTGTTGCCTCCTTCTATCTCTCTTAATCTTTCTGGGGGTGTAGAGCCTCGATGCTTCAAGGTATCTTTTTGTTAGACATGTATCCATCAATTAGGCTCTCGGCCCTTGGGTATCAACGCTTGCTCTTTCAAGTTGTCGAGTCACCTTTTTCGACCAGCTGACAAACGCAAGAGCCCGTTTGAGACTCGAACTCGTTAGCTGAGGATGAAATTCACCCCATAAAGAGAGCGTCATCTCATTTACATACATGTGGGCATACTACTAATAGTATCATCTCAAAGGATGCAACTACGCTACTACTACCTAGGTAGTGCCCAGATGTAAGGCATATGGACCTGTATTTACCACTGGCAGTCCCCTCGGGATACTTGGTAGATACCCAGGTAACCTCCGCACCTGGACAGGTGTGAAAGCCGAACACTTAATAATTCATTGAACAATCGTCCCAATATACAGAAGTACCTAGTTCAAGTGGTGGTTTTTCGAGGAGAAGAGCAAAAGTTTATTTTGGAGCACATGAAGTAGAGCAAACCCCATGACCATACCCTAGATGCAACACAACGCCTTACTAAGTAGCAAAGAAAAGTACACTTCGAACACAAAGAAGCCTCCACTTTCGCGAAGGGAGTAGATAGAGAATTAATTCTGTGACAGGGGAAAAGGAGAGAAGGAGAGAGGGGTTGCAAGGTAGGAAGAGATCAACACCGACTCGGCGGTGGAAGAGGAAGAAGTGTCAAGGAAAATTCGATGATCGACGATCGATCGCAGTGAACAAATTTAAGAAAACCCAAAAAGATACCGGACCCAAAATGGATGGAAAGAGAAAAGAAACCATCGCTGCCCCACGCTAAAAATCACATGTCTTCATTTCGAAATTGAAAAGTAACTGGGTATAACCCGAAAGGAAAACGCCTAGTGCTCGTAGCCGGCTCCTCGTTGCCACGGGCTAGAGCTATTTTGTTGCCGATAGCCGGTCTCGAGAGCTGATACACCAACGGGAGCATTTTCATAGGCTGTTGGGGGACCATGATGAGTGGCGGGAGCATCGCTGGCGGGGAAGAGCGGTAATGATTGGTCAGTGGGTGAAGGTTGGCGATTGGCATTGTGAATTGTGGTAATTTGGTCCATCTGGGCATGGTTGTTGTGACCAGTACCGCTGGAAATGGAAGCCGAAGAATCCCCGAAGGGATTGGTAGGCTCGTAGACGTGGGACTTCATATCACCGCGGGCGGCCGCACTGAGCGCATCCAGTTCGGTGTTCAGTTGAGTCTGAGACTTAATGAAAGAGCCACGATCGTCACGCATTGGCTGGTAACGGGTATCGGGGTTCCTTGAGAAGATTGCGAAGCCTGAGGCGATGAGGACCAGAATAATAAGTACCAGAGCAAAGACGGCGTTAATGACAACAAGAATCACACCCATGAAAGCAATCATCATTCCAGGTGGGTCGAAGACATTGGAAAACACGAGGAGGAAGATGGCGTTGAGAAAGTTGATGACAGCAATGGAGATGTTGAAGATATTGGTCTTTTTATCCATCCAAGGCCGAATAACACAGACGCCGACTAGCATGGCGGTCTCAAGAACCACCAATGCTACGGTCTGGACAACGGGGGCAGGCTGGCTCAGACCAATGAACATGCCTTTAATCAGGACGTAAATGAGGAATGGTACAACGAAGTAGTAGGCCGTCGCCCGGTACTGCACGTAGAGAAAACCCCACTTATTCAGAGCAGAGGGATCCGAATAGAGAATGTAAGCCGGGTTCTTGTGCATGGTCACGGAGCGCTTGGCCAATCGAATGACCTTCTGCGCAGCCCAGCCCAGCGCAATAAGCAATGAGAGGAACATGACGACAGCAAGAACGACTTCAGCCGGAGAGTCACGCTGGGTAAACTCCCAGAGAGACAAGACACACATCTGAGGGAAACCGATCAGAGCCAGTCGGAAGAGGATTCCTCTGAGAACAACCCTCCACCCATTGCGGAAGTCCTGGAATCTGTCACTCTTCATTTTACCAGACTTAACAAGCAATTCGCAAATCCCCTTGAAGGCTGCGACGATGAGAATGACAAAGCAAACGAAGACAGTGAAAAAGATCAAACCAGTCAAGAAGATATTTGTCTCTTCCATATTGGCACGGAAACCGACACGATTGATGCCTCGTACAACTTGGACCTTTTGGCTCGAGTCAGCACGCTTCGAGAGCGTGTTCATGCCGCGTCTCATCAGCATAACGGCTGGGTCGAGCAAGTCGCGCTTGCGGCGTTTCAGCACCTCCACCGACGTGTCACTGAGGGAGGAAAGAACCGTAGACGGGCTACCACCAGTGGAACGCTGATACCAAGTGCAGATATTCTGGAGGAAACCGACACGGATAATTCCCATGCTCCACTGGAAATTCTGGGTCCATGATTCGAAGATCGGTGGGCTATGGACCGACGTCATGCCGATCATTGCTTGACTTTGGAAAAATCCGAAAAGCGAGAGGGCGTTAGCAGCAACGTGAGCGGCTGTGTTGGAATGGCCCAGCCCAGAGGTAATGGCGGACGCCGCGAGACCTAGACCGGATATTACTGCAGTTGTCCAGGCAACTCCGACTTGGTAAACCGTCTTGCCGTTGGAGAGCTGCGCCTCTACACAGGCAATCTTCTCAAGCCCCTCCAAGGTTTTGATCACGATTTTTAAGTTGGCGTCAAGATCTGGAATTGTATAAGCCATGCCTGTGAGGTAGTAGTTAGCAAATTGGCTCCCGACTGTCTCCGCGCGTGCTGCTTGGCTTACCTGGAATGCTAGAGGCAGTATCTCCGGCAATCGGAAGGGTGACATCGGTTAGATCGATGGGGCCTGGGGCCATGGGGCACATGCCCATACCATCGATTGAACATGGGTTGATTGTGTTTTGGTAGAAATTGATGCCGTAAGCAGTCAGGGTGATTTCTGCGACAACCTTGCCGGAGATGTAGGAGACACCATCGAAGCTGATCATGAGCGAATTATTTCCAGGGTAGTAGGCGACATTGAAAAAGTTGGCAGTGAAGTTGCTACTTTCCATGCACACATTAAGCGCATTGGACTCGAGGAACTTCACGGCAGACACCGACGGCGCCACGAAGGCGACGAAGATGGTTAGAAATGATAGAAGTCTCATAGTGGCGCACTTCGATTTCGGTCGAAAATCGATTCAGAATATAGAAGCCACACGGCAGAGAATGATGAAAGGGAAGAATATGACGGCTAAGCTGGGACCGATACTCCGGAGTACCACGTTGCCAGCCGCCGGATGCGGAAGTCTTGAAGCAGCCGAGTGGTCGGCGGACACGGTGGGATTGGTGGGGATCTCTCGGACCCGGGCGGTCGATCGAAGTCGCAATGTGAATGTCGAAGACCAAGAAATCCGCGAAGGAAGGAGCCAAAAAAACCAAGAAAGGCGTGTAGTTTGGTGGGGTCGCCGAAAGGTCTTTTGGATTACAGCTTCATCAGGCCGTGTCGGATGGCGATGATGTTGGCAGAAACGGATGAGATGGTCAAAGGGAGGGGTAGAGAGTGGAAGAACGAGAGTCGGAGGATATTAATGCCTGAAAGAGGAGTGATGAGGTGATTAGACTGCAGCGAAGAGGTTGGGAGTCGAGTTGCAGCAAGTAGTGCCGATCGGGAGGCGGGTCAAGACGCGGTCGGGTTGAGGAAATAGAATAGAGACGAGATGGAGAGCGGAAGGAAGAGAAAGCGATGGAGAGAGGGGGAGGGAAAGAGATCGAGCGAGCGACGCGGCAGCACAGGGGTGGGAGGAGAATGAAGGGAAAGGAAAGACAAAAAGGGAGTGGAAGGGAAGCGATTTGCCTCTTTGGAGAGGGAGTGACTTGGGTGAACAGTCACTGAGCACTGAGACAGGGACTGACAGTTCAGGGACGGACAGGTCTGGAATGGGAATGCGGTATTTTACGTATCGTATTGTCAGCGCCACCCAAGACTGCCGAGATTGCCAATAATTGGCGTGTATTACCATGTCATAACCGTTTCCCTGGCCAACCAGTCCCTTTGATCCCGTGGTTTTTGCCTACGCTAGGCACAGTACTATTCCTCCTTGATCCTCACCTGTCTGGGAGGATCCCTTGATTAGGCCAGTTCATTCTACTTTGGGGACGGAGGACTCAATCTTGATATGTCGCGATGATGATATAGATTTACAATATCTTATTGGGTGGGGCGGATTGGAGCTGCCCCAGGGTGGCCAAGCCATATGGACATGTAACACACTTTGTTTGGATCGGTGGAGTCATTACCTGTCATTGTTCCGGGGAAGCCTTGGAGAGTGGCCATCCTTGTAAATTACTCCAACTACTATAAACTATACTGCAGCATAGAATAAGTATAAAGCACAGAGCACTCTGTACAGATTTTACTCCAATATTCTGGTGCCCCTCTGGTACCCCTGAGGAGCAAGGGAGAGTACAGTAGGTATCACTGACTTGCGAGGACGTGCCTAAGCGCTGGTGGACGGCGGCACACACGAGGTACTCCCAGTGTACAGTGACATAAGTTACTATTTATATCCTGCACCATATTGTCGCACAAATCTGACCCGTTAACGCCCTGGGTTTGTGATCAGGCGCCTTTCCAATCCTCCCATCTCATCTGTACGAATTACATGCCAACTTCATAGACATGTCCCTCCTCCATACACATCGGCACAATGTTATTGGTGTTGTTTTGCCCCCACACTTAATTTTAAAAAATCCAAAATCCTGCCTACTACGGAGTACCTAGGTGATCAAACTCTTGCCATTTCCACTCTTCTCATTACTTCCCGATGGGTAGACGCCGGCACTGCCCCCCGCCAAGTGTATCTCAACCACA